TCACTCATTCATTCATTCATTTATATATATTTACATACATATATATTTATATATATTTATATATATATATATATATATATATATCTGTCTGCCAAATGTCAAGGTCAAGGGAAGTGTATTCTAAAAATAGGTACAGCTTTGTTCATCTGGGGAATTCCCATTTCCCAATGAGGAATCGAAACTCATGTGTTTGTATTATTTATAGACTTGTATTTTAAAATTGTAGGTGGTACAAAAGTGATGATGATGAAGAAGATGATAAAGATGATGCACATATTTTATTATCATATATATACTTGTATATATATATATATATATTCATCCATTCATTCACTCACTCATTCATTCATTCATTCTTTCATTCACTCATTCATTCTTTCTCATTTCTTTCATTTGTATCTGTGTGTATTTTTTTGTATAATGTTACTTTTTGTATCTCATTGTATTTCATTCTCTCTCTCTCTCTCTCTCTCTCTCTCTCTCTCTCTCTCTCTCTCTCTCTCTCTCTTTCTTTCTTTCTCTTTCTTACCATCACTATCTTTCTCATCTCACCATCCTAAATTTTTCCCTCAATAAAGATCTTACAGTTAATGTTCAGTAACGACTGCATTGATTCGTACGTCAGAAAATTAATTGCGGTACGGTGCAGAGAATGTTTTGGATCACGTGCACACGCACACGCTTACACACACGCATATACGCACGCATACTCACACGCATACACACACGCATACACACACGCATACTCACACGCATACTCACACGCATACACACACGCATACTCACACGCATACACACACGCATACTCACACGCATACACGCACGCACGCACACATACGCACACATACGCACACAAATGCAGACGCGTAAAAACAATAGAATGAAGGAGAGTAAGACAAAGATAGAGAAATAAAGAATGAAAATGTATAATATTTATACACTCATACACTTCGCATGTCCATATTTATTTGCATATATATTCTTAATTTTTCATTCTTCATTCATTTTCTCTCTCTTTCTCTTTCTCTCTCTCTCTCTTCCTCTCTCTCTTTCTCTCTTTCTCTTTTTCTCTCTCTCTCTTTTTCTCTCTCTCTCTTTCTCTCCCTTTCTATTTTTTCTTTCTCTTTATAACCTTTTAACGACCTTGACCTTTCAACAATCCATGCTGGTGACCTCACTTTGGACCAATGAAATTTATTGGTGCGAGATTTTGTCACTCTGTCTATCTGTCCGAGGCATCATTGTTGCTATCTAGGCTAGATTTCGTCGGCTGTCAATAATTTTTAGAATATCTGTGTTTTTTCGTATCTATGCGCTTTTATTAAACATCCTTGAATGTCTATGATATATGATATCCAGTGTATCTGTTGTACAGTCTCTATTTAGTAGTATCTATTGCAAGTTGGGATCTATGTTATCTCAGTTGGACATCTTTGGCTGGCCGCACTTTACATATCTATGCAAGGTTAATCTTCTATGCTAACTACTACAAATATCTATGGTGGCTGGCTTGTGGTTTGGTGAAGCATCCATTCTACTTAATTTGAATTTCAACGATTTCTGTATTTTGTCAGAGATTTTATTATTTACTCATCTTTAGTTATTTGTTTTTTAATATCTGATACAAACATACAAACTAACTAACATACACACATACATCCATGCATGCATATGAACATACACACACATACACACATTCGCACATACACACATGCATGTACATACATCCGTTTTAATTCGTAAATTGTATGTAATGATGGGACATGATTTCCATATTAATAGACCAGCACATGTTAACAACATCAATCTACGTTTGAGTGTGTTAGTGCGTGTGCGTGCGCGTGTGTGCGTGTGTGTGCGTGTGCTTGTGTGTGTTTGTTGTGAGGTAAACACGCTTTTGTGTTTGGCTTGCTGGCCTTTGATCATTTGATCCTTATGTAAACATCTAATTAGTGAATTAGTGGTGTTAAGAACTCTCGTAATCAAAGTTGGCTAGTTATTTGTTTGCTTGCGTCAACAAACAACTAGCACGACCACTATTATCATCATCATCATTTTCATCATCACCATCACCACCACCATCATCATCATCATCATCAGCATCATCATCAGCATCGTTATCAGCATCGTCAGCATCATTACCATCACCATCATATCACTTCCATGTATTTGTTTTGATTTTTTTCCTTCCAATTCCACATTACGTAATGCAACGTTTGAGCCTTAGCGCACTGGGCATTGTTATATAATATATATTATGTATATTATTATATAATATATATAATATACACATAAATATATTGTGTAGGATATATATAGTACATATATATCTATCTATATATATATATATATACATACATACATACATTGTAAACAAAGTTTTTATGTAGCGCTGATATATTTTTTGTGTTAGTGCTGTTCGTGACGTCATTGTATCAATTAAATTTACCTTTTCATCCCTATATTATTGTTATCTTCACTTTTAAACATAGCTATTAAACGACGCTTTATCGCCATGTTAATTTTTCCGAAAATATTCCGAAAAAAGTTACTAAAACCGACTGCTCATTTCATTTAAAATTTAATAAATTATTTTTAATATTGCAAACTTTGTTCTTAAATTTGTTATTTTATTCGGTTTTTTGAAAATTAACTGATTTTCTGGTTCTGTTTCACGGAACCAAAGCTAAACAACAGCCGACGTCCTCTAACTAACTTAACTACTGCTCTTACTTAACTAACTTCTTGATATTAAAAATCTCAAAAAAAGTCATAGAACTAATTCGTGGTTAATGAAAAATGGCGGAAGCTAGTAGCAGTAACAGTGCTACCCCGAAAGGTATTACAATTTATTTTTAATTTAATTTTGTAATTTTACTTTTTATTTTTAAATTCTATTTTAGCTTATGCAGCCAGCAAGCCTTAGCCTCCTACTTAGCTTAAGTTTCAAATAATTTTTTCAAGGCAGATTGTCATTGGTAGCAGCTAAAACTAACTGAATGTTTTCTTTTCTAGGCTTGTAACTTATAATTATAACATTCTCTGTATAAAACTCTAACTCTGACTTGAAATCTGTATATTTTATTTTATATAATTATAATTTATAATAGCAATGAAGTATAGTAGTCAAAAAAATGAAATTTTGTCAATACTTTTCCTCACTTAAATTGTATGATAAGTCCATCCTTATTAATGATAGTTAGATGGTAAGTGTGTTGATGACATTTTGTCATTATTTACATGTGCATATAATAAATAAACTAACTTTTTGTTTGTATATATTTTAAACTCTAATTCTAGCTCAGATGATGCTTGTTAACATATTAAGTGGTATGAGGGAGTGGAAAAAATTATTTTTTTTTAAATTTTCAATTCTATTTTTAAATTTTCAGTTTTGATTTAATATTTTATAGCCAACATTTTACATGTTCCAGAAGACAGAATCTCTGCTAAAAAACGAAGTTAGTTTGCATTTTGTCAGTTTTTAATTTGGAATAAATTGATAAAGTTCATTTGATTTAATTAATATAATAAGGTTATGGTAACATAGTTTTTATATATACATAGAGTCAGTTACTATATCTTATTCAAGTTACTTATAACTTAATTAATAAAAATTACATGCAATTAGGTCATGGTGACACAGTTACATGTACAGCTTGCAGTCAGAGATTGGATGCCTACAGAGTAGATTGGATGAGGAGACATCCTTTGTTGGGTGTGCTTCTATGCAAGGTTGCTGCTGATGATGATGGGGATGATGTTGATGGTGGCTATTATTATTGCAATTTAAATTTTAAACCCACAATTTTGCAAACACACCACAGAGATGTTTCCAGCTTCACTCAAGAGAGATACAGGTAGGAGAGGATGGAATGGACGAGGCGTGCAGGTGGTGTGCCCTGGAGGGTGACCTTATTTGCTGTGACTTTTGCCACAATGTCTTCTGCAAGCTCTGCATTAGGAGAAATCTTGGAAGAGCGCACCTTAACATCATCCTAAATGCCGGTTAGTGTTTCCTCTCAAGTCATTGCTGTGTTGTGTTTGTTGTAGCTGTGTTGTGTTTTAACCATCCTTTTTTTTAATTTTGTCATGTAGTTTTATTTATAATGTATTTTCTTAATGTAGAGGATGATCAAAAATGGCAATGTTATGTCTGCAACCCGGAACCTCTGCAAGGGTTGGTTGCATCATGCTCTGAAGTTTTCAGTTCAGCTGAGTCTGCCATTTACATGAAAGCCACAAAACGATTGGCTGGCTTCAGTGACCTATCAGATGAGGCCTCTGCTGGGTCCTCCCCCAAGCCTAAACGAATTAGGAAGAGCAAAATTACTGTTGATACTGATGATTCCACATCAGTTATTAAGGTTTGATGTACAGTACATCATTCATAATTATGTATCTATAATTATTTATAATTATTATTTCAAAACTATATATTTTTCATTTTGAAAGAATGATGAGTTGGAGGGAACGGTTTCAGAGAAAGGTGAGGAGATAAATGACAACGAGGTGTACAACGAAGAGGAGGAAGAAGAGGAGGATGAAGTCATCGAACATGTGAAGGATGGAGAAGAAGAAGAAGATGAGGAGGAGGAGGAGGAGGAAGGTATTGATGTGAAGCAAGTATTGAAAAGTATTAAATCAGGATTGAAAAAATCTGAACTTGGGATTAGCAACGAAGATGATGATGAGAACGAAGATGATGTGGACGAGGAGGATCTGAAGCGAATTCTCAGTGAGATTGCAAAGAGAGAAGTGAAGGTGAATGATGTCCTAAATGAAAGTTCTTCCTGCAGTGATCCACCAAAGCAGACCGCTGCTGCTGCATCTAAATCACCTGTTCCCATCCCAGCAGCCACGCCTAATGTTTCAACAGCAGCTAAAAAACAAAAACTTGATAATGAAGTTGTCTATATAAAAACGCCAACCGGAGAAATTGTAGGATTGAAAGCGACTTCTAAATCCTTCAAATCAGCTACTCAACCAAGTGAAACAGCGACTCAGCCTTCAGCAATGGCGTCATCGATGACACCTGCTACTGAAAAAAAACCAAAAGGTCGGCCAAAACTTCCTCTCAAAAAACTTGAAAAATGCATACAAATGCCGGGCTCAACCTCTGGCAAAAAATACCCAAGGGCCAGCACACTAAATAAGAATACTCCAAGCAGCTTGGCTGCAGTAGCCGGATTGAAACTTTCTTCTCGACCTCCCATCATCGATCAGAACAACGTCTGGAACGTTCTAGAAAGATTATTGGCAGCCACACAGTCAATGACCATGCTACTGACCTCTCTGAAGGAAGATCTCAGACGTGCTGCTGCCGTCAGCTCTGGATTTACAGGACCTGGAAAGATTCCTGATTTGAAGAAAAAAAGAAAAGAAGTAGGATGTTTCTCTCCAGATGAAATTTTCATTTGAACAGTTTCATTTTTTTCTATAAATTTTGAAATTTCAATAGTTATTTTATAACATTTTTGTTTTGAAAAAATTCAGTTATCTACTGTCAGCTATACTTCAGTTTGTTTATTTTACTAGGTTGCTGTCAAATTATGGAGAGCATTTTTGGCTTACAAGAAATCCTTTGTTGACATTGAAATTTACACAAAAAAGAAAAAACATCAATCACCACCACAACAGCAACCACATCAGCAGCATCAGTCTCAGCAGCAGCAACTACCACATCCACATAAACTATCGGAGGAGTTTCTACGTGACGACCTAGAGGACAATATTATTTGTGACAATGGTGCCGTGTTTGATGGCAAGTCGAGCGAGTCAGATGAGGAAATGATTGATGAGGATGAGCAGGTTGAGGAGTTGTTGAATATTACATCGGGGACTGATGTCGGTTCGGGAATGTATTTTGGCAAGCAATACCTGACAAATGAAGTTCTGAAAAGCAGTGTCATGTTCAAGCCACAAGCTAAATTGGTGGATAAGTTTGAAAATGGAGGATTGCCTGAAGCTGGTTGCGTTTACGACGCTGATGGTGAACTAGCTTTCAAGAACATTACTAACAATGATGATAAGGTTGAGAATCCTGGAGGTGATGATAATAATAATATTAAGGTTTGATCCCATTTTGGTTTTTTTTTCTAATTGATTCTTAACAATGTTCTCTGTATATGCTACATTTTAATAATTGTTAATGTGTAAATTACTATTTGAAAACTTTTATTAGTTAATTTTATTTCCTATAAAAATTTTAATATATTTTAATTTTATGAAAGTTTGAAGATGTTGCAGATGCTGCCGCCGCCGCTGCTGCAGCTCCGAGCATTGATAAGGTTGAGTCGTCTATGGAAGACCAAAATGATGATTTTGCACTGTAAATGATTGACTGATTAATCGAATATTTGATTGATCGATAGAACATGTTTGGTTGGCTGGCGAGTGGGTCGTCAATCGGTGGATGAATTTTTTTCGTTTTTGTCGTTAAATTTCAGTTCATTTCTTATTAAAAATGTTGACTAAGATTACGCAGTTTCAATTGACCAATTTGGTTTGTCTGTACCGGTGCGGACGCTCGTGGCGGTGCTATTCGTGAACAGCCGGCGGCGTACGGTAGATAAAAAGCTTTGGCTTTCTATAGTTATAGTACTTTGTCCCAATTTTAATGCAATGATTTATTTAAACTCCGTCCTTTAGCGGTCGAAATTTCGCTAACTTGACAATATAATTAACTAATCCTAGAGATTAGTGATGGGCTGCATCACTTCGAAACATTCATTCAAAGATCGCAAAAAGCCAGCAACATTTTTATTGGAACTTAACCCGCGTTCGTTTAGAGTTGCAAACGTTGACGACGATGGTGTCGAACAAAATTACGGAGTCCTGGAGGTTAGGGACAACGATTTGTTATTTCATCAGTCAGACACCTTAACTACCATACTACCAATGGATGCACATTCTAATATATTGAATAGCAGTTCCGAACAACCGGCCCCGATTCGTTGGCCGTTAAAAAGTTTGCGAAGGTACGGTTTCGATGGGGATTTATTTTCGTTTGAGAGTGGCAGAAGATGTGCTACCGGACCTGGAATTTATGCATTTAGGTGCGGCAGATCCGAATTATTATTTCAATTAGTTCAGGAGTCAATTGTAAGACTGGGGAGGGAAGAGGAACAACTTGAAATCAGCAGACGTTTGTTAGTTGATCAACATCAGCAGCAAAATAGGCTGATTAGTACTACCAATCCTCATGGAAGATTAGTGAGTAACAATGTGGATGCATTCAATCATCAGCTTGAAAGTGAAGTTAGAAGTAACATAATTAATGACACTCCAGACCATCTCACTTCTCAGCAAAGCCACCATTTTCTAAACGAACAACATCAGTATATCAACAAAGATGGTTGGTTCCATTCTTAATTGACATTTTATTTTTTTTAAATGTATTTGCTATAATTTGTTATATTAATTGATTATATCTAAATTAAATTATATAGACAAAAGTAGATAATATTTAAGAGTGATGTTCTAAAAGATTTCACCACTTTTCCATTCCCAAACAGCTCAGAACTACGTAAATGCAGAGATCAACCCCACAGCATCCCAACTACCAAACTACGTCAACCAGTCAGATAACCACATCCATATTAATGGTCAAAGCTTTGACCAATCACAGCCCTCTGTTCAGTATGCCCAGTTAGACTTACCAGCCATGCATGATATAAGCAGGCAGCTGAGTAATCACAAAAATGATGATGATGTTGATGATGATGAGGAAAAACCCATAGCTGGTAATGATTGTGATCTTATTATTAAGTCAGATGATGCTGATGGCGGTGATGATAATGATGAGAATAAAGTTCCAGGAAATGGTTACATAAACGTGCCGATAGTCAGTGTTTTCAGTAGAAGTAAATTTCTCAACAACTCCGCCACTACAAATGATAATTTTTCTTCCAGTTGTAAAGGTCTCCACTCATCTAACAACAACAAGTCATCGGCAACAACGACATCGACATCAACAACGACATCAAAAGGTTGCAACAACGCCAGCAACAACAACATGTACTTGAACATCACACCACCCAGTGAAAAAATCAACTACATACAACTCGATCTAGAACCAAACAACAACGTCACTAACAACAGCAGCAGCAGCAGCAAATTAAGCACAATCACATCAACTACATCCTCCACAGCTTCAGCAACGACATTAACACGTGCTAACATCAATAACAACAATGATTGCTATGCCGTCATCGATATGGCTAGAACCCAGGCCATCAGTAACAAAGCATTGCTAATGCAGTCCAATAAAAATTACGATAACTCAAAATATAAGCGCTTTAACAGTACGAATAATTGAGCTTGTTTGTGGGCGGGAAGTATTTTGAATGAATCAATTTAATCAATCAATTTAAAAATATGGCGGGAAAGTTTTATTTTCGATGAAAAGCAAACTTAAGATACAAATTTCTCTTTTTTTTTTTTATTTTTCCTAATTTCATTTTTCTTATAAATTTTTTTTTTTTGAAGAATTTTTAATTTTTCCCATTTTAGTTAAGGAGGGGTCCAGCACTAATTAGTAAGTAATTAGTGAAATAAATTTTTTAAAACAGAAAAAGAAGACAGTTACATTTTATTTTTTTTACATTCTTCTTGTAAAGATTCTTTCATATCTAGATCAGTATCAAAAACACATGTATACATAAGTTAATATTCCATAATATATTTAGTTTTGTCTCATATTAATAAGTTTTTTATATTTTCGTTTTGTAAATAAATCAATAATAAGATGAATAATATATATATTCTGTTATTTTATTTGTAAATAAGATTGTATAAATAATACACACACATACAAACACACATACACACACACATATATATATATTATGGATTTTTTAATGGATGTATGTAAAAAAGGTGCTATGTTAGTTTTATAAATTATTATTATTGTAATATTAAAGATTTTCATTGTTAATATTTAATACTTGATTAAGAATGAATTTGGTTAAAAGTTTATTCCATTTAGAGATGCTATTCTCACGAAGAATATTGACCATATTCACATGTACATAGACATACATACATACATGTATTTGATGTTGTTGAATTAATGTTTTACTGTGTACATATGCACTCACTCACACACACACACACATATATATATATATAGAGAGAGAGAGAGAGAGAGAGATTGAGAGGGTGGTGGAGAATAAGGTTGAGAGAAAGAGTTAATCAATCAGTCAAAGAATACTTTTTATAACAACATTGTTTTCTTTTGTTTCTGAATATCATGTACACACACACACACACACACACACACACACACACACATATATATATATATATATATATATGTATATACATATAATTTTTTATATGTTTAAATTCATATTTTTAAACAACCAGTTATTAATAATGCCTTTAAATATAGTGTATTATGATCAAGCTTTTATTCATTCATTCATTATTTGATGGATTTTATTATTGTTATTGTTGTCGTTGTTGTCCTTACTGCTATTGCTGTTGTTGTATCTTCAATTTTCATAATATTGAATTATTCATATTGATTTGATGTGATTGATTTTTGTGTATTTATATATTTATATATATATATATTTAAATATATATATATATTTAAAATCGTATATTTATATATATATATATATATATTTATATATGTATATATATATATATATATAGTCATGTTATATCTAGTTATATATATTATTAATTTAATATAGTTCAGTGTTGGTTAATGATAACGATGTTCATTGATGATGAAAATTATTGAAGGTTTTTATACGATTTTTGTTTGGAAAATAAATTTTATATGCGTGTGTGTGTCTGTCTGTGTGTGTGTATTAGTGTGTGTTTGTGTCTTTGTATGTAAGTTGAGTTAATACTAGCCAGAAACAACCGGTTTGCTTATGTGATAGTCAATTTGCCAGTATAAGAATCATATTCGATTCCTATCGAATAAATTTTACCAAATAGACATATGTACTTATTTTAAACATTTATATTTTTATAATTATACATTTAAATTTTACAACTGTTGTTAAGTAAGGCGTGGTCTCAAGTTATTCTCAACTCTCTCGAACTGCCTGCGTTCACATGTATCGCTAATAACTGAAGTTTAAATAATGAATTTATATCGTAATAAAACTAAAATCAAATATAATAGATGAATCCAGCCAGCTCTCACCACGAGCTAAGGTGCCTTACTCTGAACTCCTAAGCCTAACTCGTTCTAGGCTAGACGCGTTCCATCCCTTATGAAACTGTACTTGCAGGAGCCAGTTGGAGATTATATATATGTATGTATTTATACGTAAGTGTTCGTTTAAATGTATACATATATATGTGTGTGTGTTTAATTTAGAAACTGAGCTGAGCCAATTGAAAATAGGTAAGTTAGAGTCTGAGCTGAGCCAATAAAATATTGGTAAGTTAGAGACTGAGCTGAGCCAATAAAATATTGGTAAGTTAGAGACTGAGCTGAGCCAATAAAATATTGGTAAGTTAGAGGCTGAGCTGAGCCAATAAAATATTGGTAAGTTAGAGACTGAGCTGAGCCAATAAAATATTGGTAAGTTAGAGACTGAGCTGAGATGGCATACTTTATGCAATCGTACCTGCCAACCGTACTTGCGGGAGCAGGTCGGAAATTCTCACCCTTCATAAACTACGCACGCACCCGTGTATTTAAGTCGACTATATATATATATATATACTTGTTATATGTATGTATATATATATAGGCTGGAAGTAGACCATAATTGATGCAATATTTATGCATGTATGTATGTATGTATGCATATATATGTATACACACACGTTTAAATATATATATACATACATGGAGATGCAATTGTTGCTGAAGCTGATGAAACTCTTTTTGAAAATTCATTCATTGCTTTGTGTTGTTGCTGTGAAGTGAAAAGTAGTTAGCATTGTGTCTGTGTGTGTGTTAGCGTTTGTGTTGTTGTTGTTGTTGCTGCTGCTGCTGCTAGTTATGATGATGATAATGTTTATGTAGTTGCCGTATTGTTGCTGTTGTTATTGTTGGTGTCATTCCTTCCATAGCATTCAACTTAATATAAGATTAGGCTGTAATGTAAACGTTTGATCATATAAACTAATGTTAATTTAATATTTATATCGATAATAACTATTACGATAATAACAGTAATAATTACACTTTAATTTGTATTGTTTTCTATTACTTTTTAGCTTCAAATTTGGATATCATCCGTAGTAATTGAACAATAGAGGCCAGGAGTTAAATCCCATTCAAATTGCCAATATCCTGAAGGGATATAACAAATAAATATCCGGATTATCAAAGTAAATTTCACATTTGAAACAAATTCACCCAGTTATCATACTTCCTACAATCAATTCAAGCAAAGCGTTTCAACACATTTCAATACATTTCGAAGTTTACATTAATAAAAATAACAATAAAAATAATTGTTATTATTATTATTATTCACAATGATGACGTCATAAATACGTCAGAGAATGTGCAGCCAGGCGTTGATATCGCTGAAAAGACAGGACAACAACCAGCCCTGGGGTTTCAGGTTGAAGGGTGGGGCCGACCAGGGCCTGCAGCTTTTCATCGAACATGTTTGTGCTGGTTGTTTTTATCCTATTCATTTTCGTTCGTTCGTTCGTGCGTATGTTGATTCTCCTCTTCCTCAGTCTGTCTATTTATTCATTCTGTCGTTCATTCATTCGTTTATCTCCTAGTTCATTCATTTTCTAATCACTCGATTAATCAATCAATCAATCACACATACTTAATTATTAAACTATAATTTCGTATTTAATAATAATTATAATAAATATAGATACAGCCGAACGGGCGCGCAAGTTATGCGGGGTTGCGAGCCGGGGATCTGGTGCTATCAATCTGCGGCGTGCCCACTGCCAACCTAACCCATGCCCAGGTCAAGGGTGAAATTTTGAGAGCCGGTAATGATATTGATCTCGTTATACAAAGGTCGGTTGTTTGTGTGTTTGTTTGGTTAATTATGTTATTATAAGTAGTAGTATTAGTAGTAGTAGTAGCAGCAGCAGCAGTTATAGCAGCAGCAGTAGTAGCAGTAGTAGTATCAGCAGTAGTAATAGTGTTGTTACTATTGGTTTTCAGGGACGGCGAAGTTAGTGTATCGAGTCATGGTGAAGCCGAACCCGGTAACGAGCCAAGATCGGTCATCGACGAAAAACCGTTACCGAAATTAGGCGGTCCCCGTTTCAAACCGGTACTTCGTGGTTTATCATACCCTTCCTTCATTCATTCATACCTTCATTCATTCATCCATTCATTCATTTATTCATCCATTGATCAATTTTCCCCAGGTTCAACAAAAAACCTTCCAAGTGTTAGAAGAACAACTGCAGCCAGCCGCTAGCAGTGCTGGTGGTGGTGCCTCGCCCGACGCACACGTGGCAGGTTATTATTATGACGTAATTATGACGTAATTTTGATTTAATTATAACGTAACCGTTGTATAATTTTATCACGTAGTTATAATTTTGTTGTCGATCATTAAGATTCAAATTGAGTGAGTGAATCAATCAATCAATCAATCAATCAATCAATTAGCTTATAAAGCGCTATTTCCGCGATGTTCAACAGCGCTCCTCAATGAATTTTGAAAACAGATGGGTCTTGAGATCCGCTCTGAACTTCGCAAGCGATGGAGAAATAGTTAGAGAAGTAGGCAGAATGTGAGTTAGCGAGTAAAATAAATGAAACTGAACGACTGAGTGATTAGAGAAATAAAAAAACGAATGAATACCCTGATCAAACGTGGAATAAATGAACGATTGAACGAACAAACAAACAAATAAAGGAGTAAAATTCCTCTCACCATTATCTAATTCATGGACGCAAGGTCTGTGTGTAATAGATCGTTTGAACTTCTTGAAAAAAATGCATTCAAACAATCAGGTGTGATGTTTATTATTATACGTGTGCTGCTACTTATTAGGAGGGAAAGAGGTAGAGAGCAAGAGAGAGAGAGAGAGGTGCCAAGAAGGAGAGAGAGAGAAAAATACAAAGAAGGATGAAGAGAGACGATGCAGAAAGAGAAAGAAACATGGAACGAAACTCGCAAAGAAAGAGAATGTATATATCCAGGCTCCTATGCATCAGTACTATAAAAATTTATTAGGATGAGGAACAGAGAGAGAGAAAGAGAGAGAGAGAGAAAGAAGTAAAAAAAGAGAAAAGGAGAGAGAGGAAATTATAAATTGATACGAGCAGCCAATGCACATGTTATCATACTATATTTAGGAGCGATCAGGATAGTTAACTCTGTATCAATATCTGTTCAATAGCGCTAACATTTATCATTTTAATTGAAACGGTAAATCGTGAATTAAAAGAGAGAGAGGAGAGAGATAAATGTAAAAAGCAGAGATTGAAAAAAATTAGAAAAAGAGAATATTTATTATATTTTTGTCTGCTGGTACTTTATACACAGTGAGAAAAAATGCTATTTTCAAGTTAAAAATTTTAATTCACCGATCATTCAATCAATCAATCAATCACTAGCCAACCAGCCAGCCAACCAGCTAACCAGCTAACCAGCTAATAACAAAAATAATTTGGAAATTCTATTCAGATGCTCCAAGACCGGCCTCAATTTTCGATCGCAAAAAGCAAGAGAGGTCAGACTACTTAGTGGCCAAGGGCAACACAATTCAAAAAGCCTTCGGAGAGAACCCATATTAACATAATGCCTGCATAAACTAACATATAATTTACATATTTTAACATTAATTTAACGCTAATTTGCATCTATCCGCTTGAATTTAGCGTGAATTTTGTGAAATTATAAGATGGATGTTGCACATCATATGTAAAAATATGATGTGCAACATGAAGGTATAACTAAATGATAACTTATATATATATACATATATCCTTATTTTGATTGTTAATTAATTTATTTTCAATTTTTCAAAATTAATCGTAATAATTAATTTTCGAAAATTTATTTCAAAAAGTTTATAAAATTGAATATGAGAGGAGAAAATTTGATAGGAATCACAAACTTTTGAAGCACGTAAATATTGTATATCAAAGAAGCTTTGATTGTTAACTTAAATCAGATTTATATATAGAAGTCTGTGTGTGTGTGTGTGTGTGTGTGTGTGTGTGTGTGTGTGTGTGTGTGTGTGTGTGTGTGTGTGTGTGTGTGTGTGTGTGTGTGTGTGTGTAACATAACGAAAAAAAAAATACATATGCAAAAAATGTATCGAGTTAAATATAACATACATGCATGTTTAACCATATAACTTTAGAAAAATGAATTATATTTATAATTTATTACATATAATAACAATAATAATAATTTATTATTATTTAGTTGAAGCATTAGGTCTATGACATTAATCAGATAATGTACCTTCATTTACGTTTGGTTACGAGGAATTTGTGATATTTACACAATTTAATTAATCAATTTAATTAATTATTTATATAACTAGATAATTAATTAGTTAAGTAAGTAAGTAATCAATTACTAAACAAATGGAAGCAACTGAAAATGATTCTAAATGAGATAAACGCAAGAAAAAAAGTTAAGAACAAATTTTGAAATGTTCGTCTTGGAAGAATCAACAATTAACCAATCAAATTTGAAAACGTCATCTCATTAAAATACACAAAATTTCATTAGCCAATCATGTCAGAGAACCTCAACCCATTATTTTTCTCGACCATCTTCTTAACCAATCAAATTTGGAACTCTCATAAAGAATTGACGGACCAATAAACTTTTACACCTCCATCTCATTATTATTCCCGACTAGCCGGCCGACCAATCACATTTTAGCACCTCATTTCATCAATAATCATGAGTTAAATAATCGCCCCGAGCTTAATAATTAATATTCATGTGATGCTAATTAAAGAAAGGATTTAAACTCCTGTCGTAAGAATCCAGTGACGTCATGCTCTTTTCTCTTGATTTTATCAGAGTCGTTGTTGGCGTCTGGAAGAATTCGGCGTCATCATCATCATCCTCTTCTCCGTGTATTACGTCACTGTTGTTGTTGTTGTTTTGTTGTTGTTGTTGTTTCGCCATTGAGGGTATTAATGAAAATTTGGGATTTTCCGAAGCGGAAATACCAAACACCTTGAAATAGAATTATAAAATTGTGAGATTGTCATGTTACACATTCTTACGTCACCACAAACATCATCATTGGCATCGGCAACAATAACAACATCAACAACAGCTTCAACAAAAACATCAACAACAACAACAAAGATATCAACAACAACGGCGTCAACAACAACATCAACAACAACAACATCATCAACATCAACAACAACATCAACAACAAGAAATTACGATTGGTGGAGAAGGTGCTTTGCGTTTCAGCGGGCTATCAGTAACAGATAAAGGCCTGATATGTAGATTGGTAATACTACTTTTGTCGTTGTTGATATTTTTGATGTTGCTAATGTTGCTGTTGATGTTGCTGTTGATGTTGTTGTTGATGTTGTTGTTGTTGGGTTTTTCGTTCATCAGCGGAGTAGTATGAATACTCACATTTTCAGTAGTTTTGCCAGCACCGCTACTCGCATTACTAATGGTACTAGATCTTATGTTGTTATTACTACTGCTGCTGTTGTTGTTGTTGTTGTTGTTGTTGTTGCTGTGACGTAATAACTTGTTTACATTTCCGGAAGTATTGAAACTAATGTTACTATTATTAGACGATCTATTTTTAGCACTGTTACTAAGGCTACTATTAATACTACTAGATGATGACCTTTTGTTACTATTATTCTGGGGCCTGTAGATTTTGTTGTTGTTGTTGTTGTTGTTGATGTTTGAACGGTCTGAAGAGGTATTGTAGTCAACCAGTAAGACCGTTTTTGAATTTAGGGAATTAGGCTGTGGGGTCACCTTACGTAATGATGACGTGGATGAAGTTGATGCCCTGGTTGTCGGGATTTCCGGTTTTTCCAGTGCATCAGTTTCGTTTCTGTTCAACTGCGTAATAGTGGAATGAATGAATAAATGGGTGGATGAATGGATGGATGGATGAATGAATGAATGAATGAATGAACGAACGAATGAACTCTATATATCTCTATATAACGCTATATAACCCAATATAATAATTTTACTTAACATATCTTATGAAAGTGGAAGGAAAAACGCGGAAATAGCTTAAAAAAACATGGAATGGGAATTTTTCTGGAACGTTGTCCTAAATGGGAGTTCGGGAGGGGATCGGGAATGAGAGAAAAAAATGGGAAGGATTTGGGATCGCATTTCAATTCCCGCTCAACTACAGCAGTGTAACAACAAGATAATAATAATAATAATAACAAAACAATAATGACAATAATAATAATAATAATAATTAGATAATAATTATAATAATAATAATAATTATAATAATTATTATAACCTACGTACAGTGTTGGATGTTAAAAATTCAAAAGACTGAGGGTATCTGGATGAGGTGTTTGAATACTTGGGATTCTCAATCTTTTCAACGCTCTTCTGCCTGTTACGATGAATGAAAAACACTGCTGCTGCTACTACTGCTGCTGCTGCTGCTACTACTGCTACTACTACTACTGCTATTACTACTACTGCTACTACTACTGCTGCTACTACTTCTACTGCTACTACTACTACTACTGCTGCTACATCACAATCATCATCACAATCATCATCACCGGCTTACTCACTTCATTTTTTGTTTCTTCTTTTTGATGAGTATGTAAGATATCGCCATGATGATTAAAAAGAGGAACAAAACTCCAAATAATATGCCAAACACAAAATAACTATTTCGGGCTTTTGTCACTTCTTTGGTGGGTGAGGTGGAGATAATGATGATGATGATGATGACGTTTGTGGCGATGATGATAATGATGATGACGTTTGTGGTGATGATGATGATAATGATGTATAATTGATGAAACGAACGAACGAATGAATGAACGAGTACTTGTTATTCTATGAAAAAATGAATAAACAGTTAAAAAATGAATGAATGAATGAATGAATGAACGAATGAATGAATGAATGAACGAATGAATGAAAGAATGAATGAATGAATGAACAAACGAATGAACGAACGAATGAACGAATAAATATTCAAAATTTTTACAATTTAGTACATCTATTCAAATTAGAGTTTTTCTTAAAAAAATTTTTCCCTTTAAAATGTCATCATCATCATCATCATCATCATCATCATCATCATCATCATCATCATCATCATCATCATCATCATCATCATCATCATCATACTCACCATCTTCCCCAATATCGTCATCATCATCAGTGGCGTATGTTCCATTGGTTGTGATGTTGTTGCTGTTCTCAATGTTACTGATATTTGTAACGTTGTAAAAGTCTTCAAAATTATTATTATTATTATCATTATTATCAATATTATTATTATTATTATTATTATTATTATTATTATTATTTGATGATGATAATGATAATGGCGATGACGGTAATAGTAACGATGATAACCAAGACGATGATGATAATGATGTTGATGTTGTTGTTGTTGTTGACGAGTCGTTAAAAAAACTTGTAGTCTCTTTGGCGGACATTTTAGGGATCGAGTTAATTTTTAAATTTTGATGCTGTTGTTGTTGTTATTGTTGTTGTTGATGTTGTTGTTGTTGTTGTTGATAGATTACTATTGCAAACAGAGAAGATGTCGTTTTCCAGCTGTCAGAGTTTTTAGAATTTATTATTTTATTATTTATTATTATTTAAAATATTAAAAAATTATTATTTATTATTAAATTTTAATATATTTATTAGAAAAAAATTAAACACATACACACACCACACACACAAACACGCACACTCACACACACACACACACGCACAAGTATGATGCACGTGTATGTATTTGTGTGTTTGTATGTATGCATGTATATATATACACAGACACAAATATATGTTATGGTTTCCAGCCACTGATGTTTATGATTTAGGCTGGTCCTAAGTATGTACATGAGAAGAGCTTGCGATACTGATGATGATGATGATGATGGCAAGGGTGCTGATGATGATGACAATGATGTTGATGATGATGAATTTAATTTAAAAATATAAATACTAAACCTATGAACTCGTACATACATATACAATACATACGTACAACACAAACATACATACATACATACATACAAACATAAACTCACTTAAATATACTATGTATGCACTTAGCACAGGTAAAAACACGTAAATCGCACTTGAAATACACACACATACATACGTACACACACATATACAAAACATGCACACACATACATACATATATACCTACCTACACATACACACACATATAAACCGTTATATTCTAACAATTTTTCGGTTAAACCTTAAGGTAAGGTAGGTTTACAATAAATAATTAAAATGAAACTAACCTTTTTTTCAGTATTTTATCACCATTACTGCAAAAAATTTGTATTATTAATAATAATTATCAATAATATTAATAAATTAATAATATTATTGGACGATAACTTTTATTATTAATCAATTCAGTGGCTAACAGGCATAAAATGACAGATTTTTATTGGTGATGATCCGCTCTTTAACTTTAAACTATCAAATCTATACTCTACTAATAAGTATAACGAAGGTTATTAAAAATTAATAACAATGTTATATATATATATATATATATATATATATATATATATATGAAAATACATACATATATATATATATATATATATATATATATATATATGAATATATATACATATATATATATATGTATATATATATATATATATATATATATATATATATATATATATATATATATATATATATATATATATATATATATATATATATATATATATATATATATATATATATATATATATATATATATATATATATATATATATATATATTTGCACCTGTAGCTACAATGTGCATTTGTGTGGGGCTATTGATCTTTGCATACATTTTGTCTGTCAAAAATGAGCAATGAATGAAATATTTATATATGTATATGTATAAATTAGTAATGTGTTGATGTTAAGTTTGTTTGTTTATTATTAAAATATTATTTTGTACTTTTGTATGTAAGAAATTTTGTTTTTTAACGTGATTTTTTGTGTTCTTGTATTTCTAAGATTAGTTTCAATGATAAATTTAATTTATATAAACGCACCCTCCTTAATTTCAATTTCGGCCCTGTAACAGTTTCGTAACAGGCGCTTAAATTTGAAATTTTAAAATTCCGGAATTCTATTGATTAGGCGGTCAGTCCCCAGTAAACGCATTGACGCTCACGTACGTAAATTCAATATATATGGTTTTGTTAAATAGCATATATATATTTGTTAATTTTTCGTTAATTCTCGTTTTATTTTAGAATATAAATCTAAAATCCGGAAAGAAAACCGGAAAAATTACTTTTTAATTTTTTAAGAATCGAAGTTAGTGTAGCGTAGCTGTTGTAAATTTAGTTAACGATCATGAGCGAACCCACGTTAGATGATGTCACTCAGGTTTTATTTCAATTTTTTAAATTAAATTATTCATTAATTTAAAAATGATTGAAAAATTAGACTGGATACTTGTATTGTATTATAATTAAATAAAATTGAATTGTTATTTTATTTCTTGTATTGTTGGACTACTGTCTAAAAACTAAACACTGCTAAAATAAAATAATCTGCTAATGTTTTATTTTTAATTATTGAAGTTACATGAGAGATCAGATATGAGTACTGAGGTTTTTTCAAAATTATTTCTAGGCCATATTAGAAAGAGCCAAGCAGCGCAAAGAAATGCTTTCCAAAATGATCAACAGCAACAACAGTAGTAGTAATAACGAACCGAAAACATCACCATCTTCACTTAAAAATAGATCCAATAGTAACTCGACTGGTGCCACAACTACTTCTAATTCTGACGATGGTAGTCCACTTTTAGTTGAATCACTGTTTAAAATTTTTATGTTTTAGTTATTGATTGTGGATTGTTTGAATGAATAAATTATATATATATTCTATTCATTTATTTATTTATTGACTATTTGATCAATTGATTCTGGATGATAGGTGTTTGTTTATTTTATTTGTTGTTTTTGTTTTCTTTAGTGTCCCCCAATAAAAGACAATGTTTAAAAGAGATTGATTCAAATGTTGGCACGCCTATAATGGTTTCTAAGTCTGGCAGCGACGCTAGAGGTAGTATATTTGTGGAAATTATGAATTTAAATAATTAGAATAAAAAATTAGAATTGTAATTTTTTTAACTTGTAAGTTTTGCCATTACAGGTTCGGATTTGCTCATAAGTTTATAATTATTTTTGAAATTTATTCAATAGACGTCGGGATTGACAGTTTCTCAGCCACTGCCAATCAGAGTTCTTCAAGAAAGTTGAGATTGGCAGCCCTGGCCGAGAAACTGAATGAGTGGGAGGATGAATCAAATATACATTACAATATAAGGTGTACTACTTTTGTTATACCTATAATTACTTATAATAATTCACCTATTTCAGTTATAATTTAAAAACTTATGATTTAATCCATTCATATTTATTTACTTTTTATTAATATTTAAATTGTTTCCATTTCCATGCTCCTCTTACTGAAGCAGAACTGAAAGAGCGACAACACCATCTAAATATAGAAATAAATTTGATACTGCTGCTGTCAAGTCCACCTCTCAGCTATCATCATCAACAACTCCATCATCATCATCAACAACTCCATCATCATCATCAAAAACTCCATCATCATCATCAACAACTCCGTCATCATCATCATCATATTCTTCTACATCCTCTTCATCGTCAGTTGCTAAAACCACCACAACTAAAATAAACATAAAGACAACTAATGGCAATAATAATCGCAGCAGTACTGATACTAGTACCCCAATTAAAAGTGAAACTATCAAAATAACAGTGGAAAAACCAAAAGTCGAGATTGCAGTTGGAAAAACCCACACTAGCTCAGTTTCAGTTATCATCAACAGTGGTGGAAATGGCAAGAATGCCAATGTGAGTAGTGATAAAGTAAAGTTTGATGATGAAAGTGGGAAAAACCCATCATTGCCTGATACTAAGAGTACCAATTCTACACCCAATGCTGCTGCTGCTGCTGCAAATCCTTCATCATCATCATTAAGCAGTACGAATAATTCTGGCATCAACAGCAATAACAATTCGCATGCTGCATTGCTAAGACGCATTGATGACATTAAATCTGCATGCAACAACAACAACAATAATATTAATAATAAAGACGTTAATAGTAGAGGTGGTCGCAGATTGAATGATAGCTTTGGTGACGAACCAACCAGAAAGTCCGTCCGTGAGCGTTTGTCTGCCTGGAAAAACCGAGTTCAACAAACTTCGGTTCGTATTTTTATAATTATATTTATAATAATTATTAAATATATCACGATCATAATTATATATAATAATTTTTGCGATATGACAGTCTGTTCCTATGCCTGCTTTAGCCTTCACACCGACCACTAATAGCAAAATGAAGCAATCTGCAGCTGTCCAATCAGCCCGCAGAAAATCAAACGACAAGAAAAAACCATCGGCCAGTAGGAGATCCTCTAGCTTGAAGAAGAAATCTGATTGGACGCCAGGAGGTAAGGCTACTCCCAGTAAGTCTCCCGTTGGTGGAATGAAGGTGCAAACCTCAACGGAGAGATTGCAGAAGAAATTGATTGAACAAGTTCAGTCTGATTCTAAGGTAATGATCAGTATGACATTACCATTAATTATAATTATATTATAAATATTAATAAGTATTTTATTATGATTATAATTTGCAAAGGCGCAAACGTTAAAAAAAGAAAGAGAAAATGAGCTAGCAGCTGTTGGATGCAGATGGGAGACTGAGAAATTAAACGACGACGATGATGATGATAATGATGCTAAAGCCTGTGCTGCTGATGATGATGCTGCTGGTCATTTCACTGGAGCTGATACTGATAATGATACTTGTCGTCAGGGTGGTGATGGTGCAGCAGCTGTTACACCTCTGAATAAGAAGGAAGAGAAAAGGAATAAACTCAGAAGTGGTATGATGATGGTGGCGATGATGATGACGACGACGATGATGTTTGTGTGATGATGATGATGCTTGAGGAATTTGGAAATAATAATAATTATGATGATGATGATGATGAAATAATGATCTAATTGATCCCAAAATGCACTTGAGTTAATTCCAATTTTGTATTTTTTAAACTAGAATTTGACTGCAAATTGAAGATGATGGGTTTCGACATTGAAGACAGCAGCAGCAACAACAACACTAATAAAACATCAACAACATACTTCAACATCACCAAAAATAGCAACACCCAACATACGTCAACAACAGCCATTACTAACAACAACAACAACAACAAAAATACTGGAAAACCTCATTCCCTGTTCAATCTTGTTAACAATAATTCAGGTATCCCACCTCCGAAACCGCCAAGACTGTTGAGTTCGAACGATGACTCAGCAAAGATAATAAATAATAATAATGGTGTTAAGGATAAATTTATCGATTCATTCGACGATGATGATGGTGACTGTAACAATAACATTAATGATGATGATAATCAGAAGGGTGTAACTTTTGGTGATGTGGCTTACAATGAGTACAGTGTTGCTTCATCAGATAGCATTTTGAGGTTCTCGTAGTCACTCTAATTGTTGTTGTGGCTTTGGTTGTTGTTATTTTAATTATGGTTGTTTTTAAAGTTTGCTGTAACTTTGATTTATTGAATTTTTAAATCCTAATTATCATCATCTTAACTGTTAAGATGATAGAATAGATTGATTGATTGGTTTGGCTTGGTTGCCGATTGTATGATTAATTGATCAGTTCACTAATTAATTGATTGACTGATTAATTGATTGACCGTTAATTAATTGATTGACAGTTAATTAATTAATTAATTAATTAATTGATTCTTGCAACAGTTCAAATAGCGCAATGGAGAACAAGTCCAAAAGCAATGATGGCTATAAAAGTCAGCCATCAAACATATATGAATCCATAACAGAGGAATCGGCCGTAGATGACGATGATGATGATGATAGCGATGATGATAACGATGATGATAACGATGATGATGTTGATGTTAGCGGGATTCTAGATGATAACAATAATAATAATGATGATGATGATGGACTCGCCGTCCAAATTCCACCAAATGATGTTAAAACTAACGACGACAATAATAATAATAATGACGATTATGATGACACCTACAATATTAATGATGAAAAATCTTCAGTTAGTGTTGTTGTTTGTTGTTGTGTTTGTCGTTATTATTGTCAATCAATCAACAATATATTCACGCCATGAAAGAATCAATCTATTCAACCAGCGAACAAACAAACCAATAATTAAATAAACAAAGCAATCAATCAATCACTTGATCAATCATTCAACCAACCGATCGAAATTCAGGCTCCTGTTGTGATGAGAAAACACACTAAGAGAAGGTCAGGGTCGTTTCAAAAACCCAGGGGTTACATATCATTGCAAGAGTATAGACAACAGGTGCGCGCGTGTGTGTGTGTGCTTGTTTTATTGGTGTGATAAATTTATGGAATCTTTCTTAATGGTGGTTATATTTAGAACTTTAATTCTTATTGGTTCTATTATTTAGAATGTTAAATCTCATAGGTTGGTTTATTTTTTAAGAATCTCAATTCTCACTGGTCCATTGTATTTATATATTTAAAAAAAATTCCAACTAATCAGCAATCGAGGCCTAAAAGTCAACCACCCCCAAGCAAACAGCAGAGAACATCTAGAAATAATAATAATAACAATAATAATAACAACAATAATAACGATGGAGATGGCAATAATTACTACGTACAACAACAGCAACAACATTATTACGAAATGCATAAACAAAGACAGCAGCAACAAACTAACAACACTACTGGAGGCGTCGTAATGTAGGGGTTGCCAGTGATTTTATTATTATTATTATTGATCCTGTATTATTATTATTATTGACCCTGTATTATTATTATTGTTATTATTATTATTGCATGCATACAAATATACAGGCGCAATAAGAAGCTTTATCCCGATCTAACAACAGAACTGAACAATATCCAGAATAATAATAATAATAACAACGTGAATGTTAAAGAACGAATTAAGGTATTTATTAGAACCCTATTGTGATAGTTGAGGTGGTGGTGGTAATGATGATTATGATGCTAGCTGGCGAATATCATTACAATGGTGACGATCGATTAGTGAACATTTAAACTCTAACATCAATCTTAATATTTCATTTGGTAAAACATTGGATCACTACCACCCCACCATATATTATATATAGGAGCTGCAAGAGTTAGTAAATCAGGAAATGAACGTAATACACCAGACAAGTAACGCATTGAATAAGTGCTGTCACGATATGTCCGTGTTTGCCGGATCGGCTGAAGCTGTTGAGTGTAATAGACTGCTACTTGTTGCTTGTAAGTTCGTTCTTTTGTATTTTTGTTTGTTTTTGGTTTTTCACTCATCTATTGATTTATTTTTAAATAACTTTTTTTAAATTTTGCACTCTTTGATTATGAACATTTTGTAAGGTAAAAAGCGCGAAGCCTACCTGATAGAGATGCAGAAACTGAAAGAAAATCCGAACTATCAGAAAGTGATGGTAACATCAAGAAGGGGAGGGGGAGGTACATCCCTACTTGGACCCCAGGGCAGGCTGACCATCAGTGACATCAGGCTGCCCATAAAGGGAGATTTCCTAAACAAACTGGGGACAATTCAAGATACGACGACTCATTACTTCCTGATTATGATCAGACACGAGACACACATCATGTTCACTCAGATGACGTCAACGCACGACGGCCAGCTCTACGGGTGCAGCAAGAACAGGGGACGTAGGGACTACCTGGAATTCCCCAACCTTATAAATATTAATAATGTCGGCCAGGATTTTGACATTGTCGTTGAGATCTATGGAATGGTCGGTAGATTTTTTAAAACATTGGCGTGATAATATATTATTTTAAAATTATTGGTATTAACAATTTATTAAAATATTAATTATAATAATAATTTATAAAAAAAATTGATACGCTTCAGTCAGTGACAAAAGTGTCACCAAGTGATCCAATAAACTCACCTCGAAAAAAGACACCAAAGAAGACAGGACTACTCAATCTGACTCCCAGATCGTCGAGAAGATATGAAACGTCGTCAGGTGTGGGTTCAGCAGCTACGACAGCTGCTTCAGTCAGGAGCACAAATTTCATTCAACTAGCCTCCATAAAGCTGAATAGATCACATGTATCACTCAGTGCATTTGCATTAGAAAGGGTTTGTAGAATTTATATTCATTCCTTTGGTTCGCTGACTGAATAAATTAAATTAATTGAATCAGTGAATGAATAAATTATTCAAATCAGTGAATGAATAAATTATTCAAATTAGATACCCCAGTCCTGTCCTATACAGAATTGTATCATGATGAACCTCAAATGCATGATGGAGAACGTGATTGAGAGGAAAGATTTCTTGGTATTTCTTTGTTTCTCTTTCTGCTTTTCTCTTTTCTTCTGCCACTACATATCTGCTGTATTGGTATAAATGTGAGGTGTGTGTGTGTGTGTGTGTGTGTGTGTGTGTGTGTGTGTGTGTGTTTGTAAATAAGCATAAATAGATGTTAAACTCAATCAAAAAATTACTCCCTCTTACAAGACAATGTTTGAGGATGTTAGTGGGTTGGGAGCTTGGCACAGAAGATGGTTCTCACTGAAAAATGGAGTTCTGTCATATTGGAAGTACCCTGATGACGAATTGTATAAGGTTGGCTGTGTGTGCGTGGTTGTGTGTGTGTGTGTGTTTGATTGTGTATATGTTGTATTCATGTGTACATGGCCTGTTTTTGTACAAATACAACGTATGAATGACGGCATATTACACTTTGCAGCGACATCATCATCATCGAGCTAACATTCATTTTCAAACATTTTTCTAAGGAGCCCCTTGGAACGGTCGATCTAAAAACCTGCATAACAGCAAGCGTGGGATTGGTCACACGCGAAGTTTGTGCCCGACCCAACACGTTCGAGATTGAGACTATGAGAAACAAGAGGAGAGGTGATCGAAATACACTGATACAGACTTGTAACGATAAACTGGCCTCTATTACTACTAAGTTAGTGATTAGTTTGATTTCTGATTAACTGGAAAGCCAGATGGCTTTTTAATTAAATCATTGAAACTTTATTCAACCAATCAAATTTCAAAATTTTCAGACACTGGTTATCAGCTGACACCAAAGAAGATAGAGAGTCTTGGTGTAGAAGTTTAAATGAAGCTCTAGTTAATTTAAGGGCCTGGCATGCTGACGCCATGAGACCCATCTCTAAGTGGCCCCAGTAATGTGCTCGTCGTTGGCTGTTGTTGTTTTGGTGGGAGTAGTTGTACCTGCCTATTTTCGAGAATTATAAATTCCGGCAGTTTGTCATTATTATTAACCTGTGTAGTTTTTATCTCCAAATTTCTAAATTTATTTACCACAGACGTCAGGTTGAAACCATGAAATGAATTAAATTTTTCTCTAAACTTGTTAAACAGCTTTTAAACCTGTAATTTTATACTGCGTTGCGGATGTACGTGTGTATATGTATGCTAGATTTTTAATATTGGTGTTCATTTTATTCACATTATATATATATATATATATATACAAATATATTTTAGTTTTAACAGTTTGGCGATTCATTACGTATTTTAAATTCATTCATCTCAAATCTTTTATGATATCATGCGTGCGTGTGTATGGATTTATATACAGTTAAATGTATATTTACATATTTACCTTATATATATGTGTGGGTATGATATCCTCATTCAAATGACTATCTTTTCGTCCATTTTTATCGCATGATGTGTTGTGTGTGTTTCTTTATATACATATTGATAATCATATTATATCCATTCCTTATACATACATATATTCATAACAGCTTTTACAAGATATATATATATATTATCTACCATACTAAACAGAACAGCTTTATTTTTTTTCATATTGATATAAATATTGTGTGTGTGTGTGAGTCTGTGACACTGTTTTAGTTAATGATATATTTATGATATTAGCCATCTTACTGATGCTTGTATGGCTCTCATAAAACGCTTTGTGATAGATGATTGTTAATAACATTGATTATATGTTGTATCCAGATACTATATATATGGTATTGTATGAATTCTACCGAATATATATATATATATATATATATATATATATATAGCACCTTACTTTACTCGTTAGCTGTCTTATATTTTGATTTAACGTATTAACCTTTCATAATATATTAGAATTAGCATGATGTATGTGTTTATATATATATATATATATACCTACATTCTATTCATTCATCAATCAATATATATATAATATACATTGCATACATACATATACACCTGCATACATACATATACACATATTAAGCATTCTGATTTTAAATTATTAAGCTTTATTTTAATTAGAATTGACATTAATACTCTCGTTATTATCAAACGAACACATGCATATATGTATACTATCTTAATGAATTTTCATCAGATAACCATTTATAATTTTAATTAGATAACAATATTGCTTAAATTTGTATTCTAATAAATGTTTTTTGTGCGTCTCATATATATATATATATATATATATATATGAAAAACAATATATTATAATATAGCAATGATTTAAAAAGTTAGTGTGTGTGCATATATACATATTTGTTAATATGTATGTACATTATGTATGTTGAAATATATTTGTATGTATGTATAATTAAGTTTGTGTGTTGTGTTGTGTGTGTATATTTTATGTATGTGTACCAGTGTGTGTGCTTGCTTATTTTTTGGGTATAATCAACTTCAGCCACTTCATGTTTTGTACAAAAAATTGCGGCAGACGAGCGGAAACGAATAAATTATTTCCGTTGGGGAGGAACTCAGGTAGAACCAGAGACCTAGCGTGCAGGTGCATCGCTAGGTGGCGAACTTTTGCCTGTCTAATCCCTAATTTCTCTAGCATGCTTGGTGGCAGTTTCTGGAGGTATTAGATTAAAAATTTGAAAGTAAATTCTATTAAAATGATATTTGTAATATGATACTATATCTAGAACAATTTATTACTAACATTATAACTGATTGTTAAAATAAATTAACTTTATAGCTAAAATCTTAACCTGAGGAGCTATCTTAGAAAAATGTGAATACTTAGGATCTCCAAGAATGGGCGTGTTCAAGGCAAACGCCATATGACACCTGATCTGATGTTTAACTCCTGCCAAATTTAAAGGTCATGTGATGATAGCTTTCTAACTTGTTCAATATGGAATGTGTGCATTTGTATAAAAAATGTAAAAAAAAAATAAACTCATTGACAGCCGTAGATTTATAATTATGAATATTCATGGTAATAATTTACGCGTAAATACATACATACGTACACGCATACATACGCAAGTGCATACCAGATTCTGGAGTGCATTCAACTAAAGCACATGAATCACTGCTGTCCAACACCCTGTAATTAGTGATTGCCTCCTTCACGTCATCCTTGTCGAAGTTGGGTGCTGATTTCTTTAGTAACTTCATCTCGTCTGAATACCTGGGCCTGAGTTCCATCTAACAAGTGAAGGTTGGTGATTAATTAAAATAATTTCAACTGCTTATTTGGTTAGTAATTAATTTTGAACGACTGAATGCATAAACGGGCAATCAAACTAATTAGCAAATTATTCAATCAATCAAAATGACCAATCAAACAAAACTGATCGATTAATCAAACCAACCCGATATCTGTTACCAACTGTCCCTTCAGCCAATGGTATATCTATTTGTCCTAAAGGTTTTAATAAATTTACAGTTAATAAATAAATCAATAATGCTAATTAATTATTTATGATTATAGATAATTATTAAAATAATTAACAAAGTATCTATGCAATTTGATAATTCCCAACAATTTGATGCTGAAACTATACTACTTTGATGATTTAAACGTGAATAATCATCTACACTTTTAACCTTGTGGGGGTTTTGGTACACCTCTGGTTATTAACCAGTAGGTTTTTATGACCTGCCTCTTTTTGAACATTCCCATCAAAATGTCCGCGACTTGCTCTGTCCTAACCATTACAAAAAATTAGGGAAAGAATTATAAATACTTTTTAACACCTTTTTTGGTTATAAATGAGCACTATATAAATTGAAAAAGGAAGAAGAATCAAATTTTCACATCACTAATGCAAATTAACTTATAAAAAAAATGATCAAATCAACGAAATGAAATAGATAAAAAGTAAACTTGAATTATATTTACAGACTTAGCTAGTACCATGACTCCTGTAGTTTCTTTATCGAGCCTATGGACTAATTTGTAAGATTTTAGAAACTTTTCTCTTCGATTGGCCATGATGTCGAGCAGTGAAGACACACTTTTGTCCACTCCTGGACCTCCTGAATCAAAAAAATGTACCAACAGTGAATACAGATAAAAAAAAAGGTTCAAAAAAAGTTGAAATCTTTGTCAAAAGGTTGAAAAATTGCGCTACTAGTTTGTAATTCTATCATTTATTCATTCTTTCATCCATCTGTAAATCATTAAATGATTTATATCATGATATCAATCATATACATGACTGATATATCATAATATCAATCATATAAATGATTGATATCATATAAAGATTGATACTTATGAAAATCATAACTGACCGTGCGTAGGTAGGCCGTATGGTTTGTCAATAATTATTACTTGCTCTGAAAATAATCAAGAGAGAAATATTACAAATAGTAATTGAGATAAAATTTTATGCAAAGATACATGCATACATACACAGACACACACACACATATACAAGCACATATACACATACATACAATACAAACCATTTTCAAATAGTATAGAATCACAGAGCATGGAGACAAGATCAGAATCAATCATATGCTGTACATCCCTCTTAACTTGATCTTTCAATATCTTGAAACCCTTACTATCAACTGGGCCGGTCCAATTTTTGGCTCTTGAGGGGGTTACAAGATCTGAATTTTATTTATTTTCAACAAATTTGAGAAAGTGTTATAAGTTAAGAATATTTTTTTGTATAATTTTTGATAAATTTTTGTGATAAAATATTATTTTATTAATATCAAATAATAAAAAATATAAATGAAAAAATACCATCTTCATTCATCTTTTCTTCTTTCTGTTTCTTTCTCTCAATCTTCATTTTAACCAAAGCATCATAGGCTGTTACGGGATTTTCAATGTTCACTTTTTCACTTACTAATTTTTTTAACTGTCTTCTAGTTAGTGTTTCAATTTTTGTTGTTTCAGTTCTGTTACTAAATTCATCTAGGTAGGGGGTTCCAGTTAGTGAGTTAGGCAAAAACTGGCCAGTACTGTTATCTCTGGAGGTTTCTTCATTTGTGCGCTGATCAGTAAAAAACTGTTCATCAAAAAAATTTAAGATGTTACAATTGCCATCAGGTATTTTGGTAGTTTTAATGTAGACTTTGTCGGTAGTTTCATGTGAAAATATTTTGTTGTTAATACTATTAGGCTTTCCATTATTACTACTGCAATAATTACTGAATTGCAGATGAGTCTGTTGATTAATGAAACTCTCTAACGATGATGCTGATTGTGACGGTGCTGAGAATGATGGTGATGGTGGGGGAGACATTGGACTACTACTATCACCAAGATCATTGCATTTATTGCTGTTTTGTTGCAATGAACCAAAGTATTGCTGTTCAATAAAATTGTTGAGATGAAGATGATGTGAATTATCATCATCGTGGTTATTAACACTCAATTTATTATCTTTTTTAGATACACTTTTATCATCATTGACATCATCGCTGTCGTTTTTCTTTATATTTTTAATACTTTTCTCGTGCCCATCTGTGTTCAAGTCAAGTTTAAAATACTGCTCATCAAACAAATTAACATCAGTTCTCTTGGCCATCAAGTTGACCTCATTTTTAAATAAGTCATTATTATTAAGGTTTTTAATATTCTTATTAATTGGTTTGTCTATTCTCACTCTGCCATAAGATAATATTTTAACATTGTCGGCCCCATCATTGTCCTTAGTTGGTGAAGATGATGTCAACAATGATCTGATGAATTCAGTGTCTTTTGATGGTCCTTCAGTGTTGAAGGCAGGAGAAATATTGTCATTATGTTGTTGGCCGCCATCTGCTAGGGTGTACGGGCTTTCCATAAAATCATTATTCCATTTTGTTGAGTTCTGACAGACGTTACCTTTATTGTTAGCGTAATTAGTGTTGTTACCGTCGTAGTTATCAATGATATTAGTAGATTCTAATTTATGTAAATTTCGCATTTTTTCCCTCATTTCATTCAAACGAAATTCATCCAATTTTGATTTTCTCAAGTGTTGTCTCTTAGCAATTTCATTTTCACTAATACCAGTCGCATAGTTTAGCGATTTTATTTTTAAAACATTTAAAATCTTTTGCCTAATTCTAACCGATCCAGTTGAACACCTTAAAGCGTACATTTTGTAAGCAATTAATAAACTAAAAGTGAAACAAACATGTACGGCTTTTTATCGCTTACTGTTTGCCATAGGCAACGCAATCAATAGACTTTGAGGCAAATTGAATAACAATTTTAAAAAATTTAAATTTTAACATTTTAAATAAAAATATTCCGTAATTAGTAAATATACGATCGTAACTTTTGACCGTTAAATGTGAGTGAAAAGCGAAATGACATAACGATTTATTTTTAATTTTGTAATTTTATTAGAAAACTGTATCGAATAAACATTGAAACGAATGAAAAAAACGTTGAGTCTTACAAAGAAATGGACATTGTCTAACAATCACTAGCCAACTAAAAATAAATGATGGCAGCAGTCAAGAGATAACAATGTTTCAATCATCAATCAATCAACTAATCAATCAATCGAGAACAACCAGCAAATAGGTCATTAAATCATTATTAATTGATTCATTATCAATCTATCCATATTAAAAAAAAAGAATGATTATCATTCAGTCAATAACAATCAAAACTACGAATTCAACACATTTCAATAGTCTCATCGGGTCTTGCGCAGTTGTAGTGACTGAACTCGTATTTCAACACCAACCGACCGACTTTCGATTTCGGATAAAAATCCGGCATCCACTCGATTATAAACGGTTTCGACAATTTATAATCTTTGTTAAAACCGATCTCTAGCTGAGTCTTCAAGTGCAGTGGTCGAATGATCGGTTTAGAGTTGGTGAGAGGATTATTCGAATCGGTTGTCGGTATCTGCGGCTCGTATTTGCTGTAGGTACCGTCCTTGTTTTCGATGAATAACTGAGATAGATCGAATTTATTCTGCGAAATAATTAGTTAGATGATCAATGTGTGATTGACTATTTGATTTAACGGCTGATTGTCTAGTCGACTGATTGATTTGTTGAATGAATAAATGAATGAATGAATGAATGAACAGTTGACCTACTGATTGAATGATTGATTGATTGATTAGCCAACCGTATCAGAAACTCGACTTGAAAAAAATTAGGGAAACAAATTTCAAAGAATACAAATTAAAGCCAAACCGTTGAGGTAGAAAAGATATACTGGACATGTTTAGGGTCCTTAAGGTTCCACATATATTGCAAAAATTGACCGAACGGCGGATCTGTGTCGGTTGGCGGATACCGAGAAACGGTTAGTATCGAATCCGGAAGTCGTTTCTTCTTCAGTCCGTGAAAATGGGAAATACGTTCGTGTACGACGTCGAAAAAGTTCTGCGGGGTTAGGAGGTGCAGTGGCCTGGGTTTACCTGTTCAAAATTATTTAGTATTAACGACAAATATTATAATTATGAAATATTATAGTTGTTATAATTATTGTTAGTATTAAATTTAATAAACCTGGACATCGGTAGTGCATTGTTTCATGGATGCATTCAACTACAAACAACAACCAATCATCAAATGACTGATTGATTGATGGAGGAATGAACTGGGACGCTGAAATAAAAATAATAAAGTATTAATTAAATTATTATTTAAAAATAATTTTTCATAAAAAATTCAATGAAACTGAAAAATAGCAAAAAGAGAATTACATTTGATGTGAATGACATTAGCCAGCTTGTTGTTATTATTCAAGCCAGTAGTGTTAATGTTACTATTATTAAAAATGTTACTATTAACGCTGTTAACAGCACCAATACTGCTGTTATTGATGTCACTAATATTGTTATTGACAATGTTATTAGCGTTATTGCCGCTGATGTCATTGCCTTTGTTGCTGATGCGTTTGACAATGGTTAAACTTGGTTTAAAATTGTTGCCACTACTTATAACTGTCTTATTAATAATGTCAGTATTATTTTTGTTATTTTTATTATTGATTGCATTAATATTATTGTTATTGTTGTTGCTGTTGTTAACATCTTGAAGCTGAAAGGATTCTTTTGCTTGTGAAGTTCCGGCTTTATCTGAATTCGAATTTAAAAAGAAATATTCAAAATTTAAAGAATAAAATTCAACCAATGATAAAGTTATATTTAATGAACCTTCATCATTCTTTGGTAAACTTTTTAAATATTCTAAAACATCTTCAGATCTCGTAATTGGGTCATCATCCTCTTCGTTGCCATTGGCTGGTGACTGAGAATTAATTGGGTCAACATTGAACATGGACTCCTGAACCATGTTCACTTGATTATAATCTGAGTCAAACAATTATGAAAAATATGAAAAATTACACCAAATAATATTATTAAATACGTTTATTGTGAATAATAAAAATATTTTTTAATTGAAAGATCATTGTTATATGAATATTAATGAACAATTGATTTTATTATGAAGATATACAACTTAAATAAAAGATGCTGTCAATGAAAATTAATGAAAATTAAAAAAATAAAATTATAAAGATATGATTGATTGATTGATAGATCATTACATTCATCCATTTCAGACAAAAGGGGGAACGAAAGGCTGTTATAAATGGAGGACGAGCTAAGAGCCAGCAGGCAGGCAAATAAAAATGTACAGGGCTGGTAGGTGGAGTCCTGAAAAATTCATGAATATTAATGAGGACTATGGACAATTATGAGATTATTTATAACTTAATACAACATTCATAATCACTGAGTTAGCAACAGCTAAAAATAATTCTACCTACATTTAGAACCAAAAAGAAACAAAAACTAAAAAATAAACCTTAAAAAAATCCAGATCCAAACTAAGACCACACCAGCACTTTAATGAAAAATTCTTTTTTAAATCATTACTTCCAATTAGAGTTTCACTTTCACTTTCCCCAGAGATACCTGTCACATGAACATGGGAAAATCCCAGTGGGTGCAAAAAATCTGAATTTATCCTGACCACAAAAACATGATCAGAAACTCTTTGGACAATGACATTTAAGTCTGACTGGTTGACAAGTAGTTTAGTGAGTTGGATTTTTGTCTCCATGGGTAGATACACAGTGTCCAAAACATTTCGGTTGATGGGGAAGATGGTGCCTGTGTGAGCCGAGAGGTAGGCTGCTTTGATATGCTCACATTTTGGTTGGCTCATGTCTTCATCATTGCTTCTTCTGATTTTATGCTTCTTGTAGAGTGATGTTCTTGAATCTTTTGAAAAGTTCTCACAGCCTGATAGAATGATATATTTGAAAGATAAAGATATTAAGGAGTTATTAAAAACAAAAAAAAATTAACATACTTGTCATGCTGCAATTTGCCATCTTTTGGAAATTTTCAAAATCTTCCAAAACAATATCATCAATGGGTTTTCTATTACGAGGATGTTCAGAAAATGGCAAATACACAAAGCCCCAATCCTCTTTTCTAAATTCACATTCATCCGTCACCAGTCTTTGGACAGAATAAAATCTATCAGAAGATACTAACTTCACAATTTTGTAAGTTTTCTTGAAATACTCAGTATCTAAAAATTTATCCACATCAAAGAGAGATTTATCATTCTCAGCTGGTACGACTAGCTCATTTTTGAACCTGAATGCACAACTCTTATTCTTACACTGAAATCCTCGCAGGCCATTCACGTAGCCACACTTAGGACACTGCCTAACTCCTCTCTTCGTTGGCTTACCTAACCCGTCAAGAAGTTTCAATAAGATGGTAGATTTGTGGTTGATGTTATAAGCGAAATTGTTACTGCTACTGTTAGTGTTGTTTAGGAAATTATTATTATTATCGGCCGCAGTCCGTTTAAACGTTTTCATGACTATATTTTAAAATGTAAAATCGAAGAAAATTTAATTTTTTAGTTGATCATTCGTTTCCACATCATTAAAAAATTAGTCACTTGTTTAAAAGCGTTTGATGCTTAGATTGACAAAAGTAAACTTAAACGTAATTTCGAGTTTCACTCTGACTAAATTGCTGATCATATTTACAGCAGACATATATATATAGAGAATATAACACATATTATATATAATTTGTTATGTCTATATAGAATATAAATATGTTATATTTTATATATACAACAACAAAACCCTTTACAACAATACAACAAAATGTTTGCCAAATTTTAAAGCTAATATGTGACTGAATTACTAATAATTACATATTATTAAAATAAAAATTGCATAAACTTTCCATATAAGTTTCATTTTAGAAAATGTTATAAAGCTATCGAGACTTACGTAAACATTTAAAGAGACAATATTTTTAGAGTATAAATTGCATTTAATAACAAAAAATCCAATTTTTATTTTTAAAATACAACTAAATAATTTTAATTTGTTAAATACTTTCTTAAATTTCTTTTCAATTTTGATTCGTTTCACTCTCACAAACCAAACCAGGTAGTAGTAGTGTAGTGTCTCTTTTCTAAAAGTAAAAACTAAACTTTAGTAGTTTAGTTACTAAGACTTAGTATTGATTTTGTATTTCCTAATTCAACTTTTCAGGAGATACCGTAAACTGGCACTGGCCTTATTGAAACGAATTTACTAATAAACCATTCATTTTTTGAATTCAGAAACATGTTAAAAAGCTCTCCAAGCCTCTTCTATGATAATCCAATGGGTGTGTTAGTATTTGTTTGTGATTTTTTTTTTTCAAAATTTAAGAAGTCTGTGTGGTGTGGTGTTAAAAATAAATTTATTAAAATATCATTTAAAATTTTAAATAATTAATTAGTCAATTAATTGACAAATGATTGAATGTATATAAAACTATAAAATAAATAGATAGCTAATAGGAGATAGATGAATGAATTAATGATAAATGAATGGCAATGAATGAATTCATTAGTTAATCAAATGAATCTATGAATCAATCAGTGAATTATTCAATTAGAAGATTTCTAATTTTTTATCAAATTAATTGAATTAAATTAAAATTGGCAAATGTGTCACTAGTCATTTGGTTAGTGAAAGTTGGGGTTTACCTTGGGGGCATGTTACTAAGGATCACTAGATTATTATAATTATTGTTATTAATTTTATTATTATTACTAATAATACTATTAATATTGTTTTAATTTGGGTATTTTTTTTCATTTTTCAAAACACATAGGTAATACCAGCCAGCCAGCAGATAATTTACGTAAAATTTGATTTGTAATGGGGAGTTTTTGAAATTAGAAAATGTGAGAATTAGACAAGAGAAGTAAAGAGGGAGAAGATTCATTTTGGGAAATTTTTCATTTTGAAAAAAAGAATGATGACGACAGTTTCTACTACATTTTACTCGAAGTCTTGCAATTTCACAACTGCAACTGTACATGATGAGAAGACATCAGCAACATCATCATCATCAACATCATCATCAACAACAGCATCATTACCATCCCCTTATCCAACATCATCGTCATCATCAACATCAACAACAGCATCATTACCATCACCTTTTTCAACATCATCATCAACAACATCAACAACGGCATCATCATTGTCACATTGCGTTTTAGACTCTGAAATTGCATTCAAAGCAGTAAATGCATATGCAACTACTACAACATCATCACCATCGTCATCACCACCACCATTATCATCATCATTATTAACAACAACAACAACTTCGTCGTCATCATCATCATCATCGTCAATAACGATAGTATCATCATCATCACCGCTCTCCTTGTCATCATCGTCATCATCGTCATTTTTTTTAATACTACCAGCAGGACCACTAAGTAATGATAATGATGCCAACAAAAATATCAGCAGTTATGATAGTGATGATGTTAACGATGATGATGATGATGACAACGATGATGAAAACAACACCAACAACAACAACAACAATAGACAAACTACCACTCCCTCTTGTCAATCAAATAAGAAGGACACAACAACAACAACATCTGCAACAGCAAACAATGGTTATGTAACGCCATCGTCATCATCAGTACCATCATCATCAGTACCAGCAACAACAACGACATCATTATCATCATCATTATTACAATCATTATCATCATCAGCGACAACAACAACATCGTCGTCGTCGTCATCGTATTCTAAAAATAGTAACGCTAATGACGTCACTTATAGATGTAATAATAACATTAAAAGGGTTAACTCTATGGTGGGATTTTTTACCAGGTAAACAAACAAATGAATGAACGAATGAATGATGGATTGCATGAATAGATGAATAAATGATTAAATGAGCGAATGGATGAACGAATAAAAAAATGAATCAGTGGATGAATGGATGAATTAATGCATGAATGATTTGGTTCTTGATCACTTGCATTGCAACACCGCCAGGTTGAATGAATTGGTGAATGAATAAACGAACAAACCAATGAATGAATGAACGAACGAATGAATGAACGAACGAACGAATGAATGAATGAATGAATGAATGAACAAACAGATTAAAAGACAAAATTCCATCCTCAAAGTCCAACTTCACAATACTTGAAAAATCAACGACAGCCCTAATACTCCAGTCCAGACAGGCGTTAGTTACATCAGCTAATTTGCATAATTTATGCGCATATACAATTGAAATTTGATACCATCTTATAACTATCTTGTCATTTATTCACTGTAGTATGTTAATTTTTACTCATAAATATTCATTACATGCATTTATTCGTTCATTCGTTCGTTCCTTTTTAAATGGATATAATAGTCGTTTGTCATATTCTATTCGTTCGTTCGTTTATTTGTCGGTTCATCTTTTCATTAATTCATCCATCCATCATTCATTAACTCATTCATAACTTTATTTTGCCACTTAGTTATTACAATCTCTATGAATAAATTATGTTAATTAAGTGGCCTACCTAGCAAAGATATTGAGGAGGAGGAGAAGCATAGAATCATGTATCAGGAGATGATTGAGAATCTTAAAATTAGAAGTAATGAGAAATAACATTAATAAAAATGAATGAATGAATGAATTTACGAATGAATGAATAAATGAATGAATAGATGAATGAATTATTTAATGAACAAACGAATGGTGAATGAATTTTCAAATGAAAGAATAAATGAATGAACAAACAAATGAATGAATGTATGTATGAAATCGTACATGATTGAATAAATTGTTGAGCAGTAATAATTAATAAAATAAAAATAATAATGAATGAATGAAAAAGAGAAAAAGGAAGAAATGAAGATGAAGGAACGACTGAAGATGCAATTGAAACTGGAAGAATTAACATCATCATCAGTTCTTGTCTGGAAGAACGAATTGATTCCATATTGGGAGGATGTGTTGGTTTATTATTATTATTATTATTATTGAAATTATTATTATTATTGTTATTATAACAGGAAAAACAATTATAATACGAGGCAATTGTGGTGGTTAGGCATTCCGTCGAGTGTCCGGGGCCAAGTTTGGAAATTAGTGATTGGCAACGAGCTCAATATTACTAAAGGTCGGTTGGCTGGTTGGCTGGCTGGTTGGTTGGTTGGCTAGTTGGCTGGTTGGTTGGTTGGTTGGTTTGTTGGTTGGTTGGCTGGCTGGCTGGCTGGTTGGACGGTTGTTTGGCTTGTTGGTTGGCTGGTTGGTTGGCTGGTTGGTTGAGTCATTTTATGATTGGTTGTTTGATTTTTTGAGTCAGTATTTGATTGGCGGGCTGGTTTGTTCAGTCAGTATTTGATTATGGGGTAGATTTAACGTTGAAACATCTCTATCCTTGATAACGTAAACTTTTTGTATTCGTTCTTTCTTTCATTCATTCATTCATTCATTCATTCACTCATTCATTTACTTACTTTTTCGTTCATTCATCAATTAATTCATCCATTCATCAATTAATTCATCCATTAATTCATTCACCACTCATTCACTTGCAGAACTTTATGAGATATGCTTGCACAGATTCCAAGATTTATTGAGGACAAAATCAACGACAACTTCAACAGCAAAAACCGCTAGTAACAACAACAATAATAATAATAATAATAATAGCATTAATAATAATAATAACCACCATCATCAACTTCATCATAAGAAATCCCCATCGTCACTATCGTCATCATCACATCTTTCCGTCATATCTTCATCGTCGTTGTCCTCATCATCATCCTCATCATCATCATCATCTCTGGCCAACAACAACAACAACAATAATAATAATAATATTAGCAATAACCATAATAACGAAAATGATGACGCTTACAGCTGTAGTGATTTCACATCTAGATCATCCAACTCAGGTGTCAACGGTACGGAAATACTACAAACATTATTATTGTTATTATTATTGTTGTTGTTGTTGTTGTTATTATTGTTATTAATACTATTGATTAATGAGACATGGAACTTCTAGCAGCTGAGCTAACTCGGTAGATTAATTTAATTCAATTTAATGCAGTCTGTGGCAGTGATAATATTGAAGATGTTATCGCCTGCAACAACATCAGCAACAACTGTAGCAACGACATCAACTACAACTGCAGCAACTGTAGCAACGACACCAACTACAACAACAACAACTGCAGCAACAACAACAACATCAGCAACAACTTTAACAACGACATCAACTACAACTGCAGCAACAACAACAGCAACTGCAACAACAACAACTGTAGCAACAACAACAACAACAACTGCAACAACAATAACAACAACCTCAGTGTCGCCATTAGCAGGGAGAACAGTATAGAACTTATCAGGCTTGATCTATCTAGAACTTTCCCCAATCTGGGGATTTTCCAAAAAGTACTGATGACGATCGTGGTGGTGCTACTGATGATGATGATAATGGTGATGATGATGTTGATGATGATAATGATAGTCGTGATGATAATGATGGTCGTGTTGATGATGATGGTGATGAATGGTAATTTTAGGCCCCAAATTAGTCTCCATGTTAATCTATTAAATTTTTTTCCAAAAAATTGCATACATGCATACATACATACATACAAACATACATAAATACATAAATATGACGGTTCAGTGTCACTCATCATGTTTTGGTTTTAAAATACATACATACATACATACATACATACATACATACATACATACATACATACATACATACATACATACATACATACATACATACATACATACATACATACATACATACATACATACATACATACATACATTTTGGGTCCTTTATTGTTTCTGCTTTATACATCTGATGTGCTGAAGATAATTGATTCATATGATTTTAAAAGCCATGCATATGCAGACGACATTCATATTATGTTATCAGGTAAACCGAAGTTATTTCAAGACGAGATTACGAGATTCATTGAATGCATGGCGGAGGTTAATCTGTGGATGTCGAGAAATGAATTGAAGCTTAACCAGGGTAAAACAAATAAAATAAAATAAAATAAAGGGTACCTGGCAGCAGTTGGCGGACTTGGATATAAATTCAGTTGTTATGAATGATAAAAAAATAGATTTCTGTAAAGCAGTGTCGAACCTAGGTTTTATAATTGATTCAAACCTAACAATGAAATCTCATTTAAAGATGATCTCTATATCATGCTTGGCACAGATTAGAAGAATGAAACGAATTCGAGAATCACTTGATAAAGTCGCAATGCATACTCTGGCGCACGCGTTAGTGCACTCACGTGTCGATTATTGCATTAGTTTATTTTATGGACTCCCGGCTAGATCCATCAAAATTCTGCAATCGATACAAAACCGTACTGCCTGGATTGTGGCTGGATGTCGATGGTATGATCATGTCACACCGATCCTGAGTGATTTGCATTGGTTGCCCATAAATAAAAGAATTGTTTTTAAAATCTCTGTCACAGTTTTCAAATCACTAAATGGTCTGGATCCAAAATATTTATCAGATAAACTGAAATTAAAAACTTCGATCGCATCTGGTGTGCGTCTGAGGTCTGACGATTCGAACATTCTTGTGGTTCCTCATAGACAGCTAAAGATTGGATCGCGTGACTTTGCTGTGTCAGGCCCTGTCGTATGGAACGGCTTGCCGTCAGCCCTCAAAATGCCTGGAATGAGCATTGCTGAATTTAAAAGACAATTAAAGACATACCTTTTTTCATTATAGTTCATCTCTTTTCATTCTTGCTATTTTGTTATTAATATTAGTTATAATTTGATAGCGTTTGTGAAAACTGCTATAACGAACGCTATATTAAGTTTTCTATTATTAATAATAATAATAATACATACATACATACATACATACATACATACATACACGTGCCGATGTGGCGCAGGGGCGGACGAGTTTGGGCACCACGGTTTGGTTTGTCGCCTGGGTGGGGTCGTCAACTACGTTACTCAGCGCTAAACGAATACATTTGTCGACTCTTCTCCAAGGCTTCAATCCCGGTTCTCAAGGAACCATCCGGCATTTCTGCGCATGATGGTAGGCGCCCGGACGGATGCACACTAATACCTTGGAGAGTCGGCAGATGTTTGGCGTGGGATTTTACGGTCCCTGGCACCCTCGCCGAACGATACATAAACCTGACAAGTAAAGAATGCGATTTGGCCGCGGCCAGGGCAGCGGACGAGAAAATGAAAAAATATGGGAACGCCCTCCCCTCGATGGAATTCTTGCCAATATGTATCGAGGTTCTCGGTCCGATGGACCCCAACACCCTTAAATTTTTTAAGGCAATATGTAAAATGATCAGCGTCAGATCAGGCGACAGCAGGGAACTGTTTTTCGCAACTAACCACATTCCGTGCTTGTTGCAGCGGTTCCTGCGTGTCTGTGTGCTTGAAAATATCCAACTGAATGCCGACATGTGCAATTAACGACAAATCAAAGTGTTAATCCATTTGTTACTTGATGTTTGACGGTTCAGTGTCACTCATCATGTTTTGGTTTTAACATACATACATACATACATACATACATACATACATGCATACATACAAACATACATACATGCATACATACATACATGCATACATACATACATACATACATACATACATACATACATACATACATACATACATACATGCATGCATACATACATACATACATACATGCATACTTACATACATACATTTACACTTACAAGAATGGTCCATATCATGAATATTTGGAGGGACTTCTAGGTGCTTACGTTTGCTACAGGCCAGACATTGGATATGTAAATTTTTTTTTTTACTTCTTTCAATATTTATTACCATTATGATAATTAAACACGCACACACACGCACACGCACACACACAGGTCCAAGGAATGTCTTTCGTGGCCGCGATGTTTCTACTGAATATGAATGAGGAGGAAGCTTTTGTTTGCTTTGCCAACCTACTAAACCGCCCCATCTTTGTGGCTTTCTTCAGACTGGACTCCAACATGGTACTTGCCCGACCAACGCTAATTACATTTACCACTGACCTTGTTATTATTATGATAATTTTGGTAAGTGTTGTTTTGTTTGTTTCAGATGACAATCTACTACAACGCGTTTAATTACTTCTTCAAATACAACCTACCGAAACTGTACAAACATTTTACCGATCAAAAACTAACCGCAGATCTGTATATTATCGATTGGTTGGTTGGTTGATTGATTGGTTGATTGATTGTTCATTCATTCGTTCATTCATTCGTTCATTCATTCAGGATATTTTCTATCTACTCAAGATGTTTAAATCTGGATTTAGCTTCGAGAGTTTGGGACGTGTTTTTCCGGGATGGAGAACAATTTCTGTTCAGAACCGCCCTTGGTTGGTTAATTGGGATCGGATAAGTGATTGGTTGATTGATTGGTTGAGTGATTAATTGATTGACTGGTTGGTTAATTGATTGACTGATTAATTTGTAATTAACATTCCCAACAGGGATTTTAAAACTATTCCAATCCGAGCTACTTGACATGGACTTCATTGCAATGGCCCAGTTTCTATCCAGGCCCCCGGAAGCAAAAGTAGGTCAGGTCGAGTTATTTAGGTCAATAGAGGGCATTGCAGTGGAGACCAGGAACCACAGTTTTAAACAGATTCTGGAAAATTTTAAAATTCATCAACAACAACGACAACAACCTAGACTGCCGCAATTATAATGAAGACTACGACGACGACGATGATGATGATGATCATCATCATTATCACCACCACCATCATCATTATTATTATGATCATCACTACTACCACTCTTTCCATCTTTACTAACGTAAATGTTGTCATTTTATTTCCGTCCTTAATTATAATACCAATGATATTGTGACTTTCCGAACCAAACTCATACTTTCCGAAACAAACCAAACAAACGTATATATATACACACACATATATATATATATATATATATATATATATATATATATATATGTGTGTGTGTGTGTGTGTGTGTGTGTGTGTGTGTGTGTGTAATTTTATACATGAATTTGTGTGTGTGTGTGTGTGTGTGTGTGTGTGTGTGTGTGTGTGTGTGTGTGTGTGTGTGTGTGTGTGTGTGTGTGTGTGTGTGTGTGTGTAATTTTATACATGAATTTTATTCCAATTGTGAGTTTCATAATTTTATCGCTATGCATGTTGGATGTGTTAGTGTTTGTATGTATGTTTGTGTGTGTGTGTGTATATCAGGGAATTGATGAATTAGTGATTTGTAGAACTATTTTAGCGGATTTTTTTTTATAAAATTCATTTTAACACGTCTGTAGATGAATTAATCACTCATCTAATAAGTATGAGATTTTTAGTTAATAAAGGTCACGACTTTTTTCTTTGTCTCAAATTAAAAAATTTAATGAACTTTGTAATTAAATATATTATTTTCAAATGCGTCAGGTGGTTTTTATTGGCTGAATTTGTGTATAAAAACGGTATATATTTTTTGATAAAAAGAGTTACGTTACGCTACAAATTTTTTGACCTATTTTAAACAGCTGCCATTGGTTGTATATGTCATCTTCATCATCACGTTGACCTGGTTACAGACAAAAGAATTTATCGTTAGTGATGATGGCGATATTAGTGTTGTTTGGTCAGATTTTGAAATAAGTATATCTGAAGTTAAATTTATTTAAATCAAAATTATTACAAAAATTATCTCAAATAAATGAATTTTTTTAATTTAAATATGGCGGAATTAACTGTTGTCGATCTCGAAGGTTTACCGGAGAACGTTGTTATGGCTTTGAAAGAAAGGGACGAACTGATCCAGCAACAGTGGGCTGTAATTAGGGAATTGGAGAAACAACTGGCCCTGGCCGTCTCGAGATGGCCATCCCATTTACCGCCGGATAATTTTTCTGCCGGATTTAACACTAATCCAGACTTAAATTCATTAGAAGATTACGTAGATCTCAGGTGGCTGGTTCTCTTTTTTCAATTTTTTTTAAATTTTATTTTATTATTTGTAATAAAAATTTATTTTTAAAAGAGCAATATTTAGGGATTTTTTAATAATTTGAAAATAGTATGTAATTGTAATATGTTTGTCTTAATTTCAATGGATAATTAATTTTTAAATTAATTTTTAATTTTTTTGATTAAGCACCTTAACAGTTAACTCCACATTTTTATTTGATTTTTATTAAAAATCTAACCTTAAAATAAAATGGAATCTAGATTTCTTACATGCATTTTTTGTATTTTATTGGAAAATAATTTTAAAAATATATTAAAATTGCAGTGGATCAATAAACAAACATCATAAGACACACTTATCACTTATGATAAGGTCTTATGATATTTATAATATAAATAAACCATCCATTATTATTATTATTACTTCTACTACTACTACTACTACTACTACTACTACTACTACTACTACTACTATGTTTCCTCAACTGGACTATGGTAGTTTATGCAGCTGTTGTAGTTGTCTTTGTTGCTGTGATGAATAGGATATGTGTGGTTTTTTTTCAAAATTCGGGCCTAATCAAGATGATGATGCTGGCGTTGATTATTTGTATTATTATTATTATTATTATTATTATAAACCTCTCTTTCTTACCTAAGGAAATTATTTTAATATTTCTATAAAATAGTGAAGAAAAACTACATTTAATAATCTTTCACCTGTGTATATATTTTGACAGCAATCAGTCAATCACCTATAACCTTTTTTTTTCTTGGATCTCTTTATATTTTCTGTCTTTCATTCTTGCTCACACTCCCTTTACCCATTCTCTCTTTTTCTCTCTTTCACTCTTTTTCTCTCTCTTTCACTCTCTTTCTCTCTCTTTCTATTTAATCTCTTCCTCTATCATTTCTCAGTCTTAAACTCACCCTCTTGTTTCTTTCTGATTTTTATATATATATCTCTCTCTCTCCCTCTCTCCCTCCCTCTCACTCTTTCTTTTCCATCTTATCTTTCTTTCTTCTCTTTCAGGGTTTTTTCAATCAATCTATGTCAAAAGTTATGTCAATCAAAAGTTATGCTAGTTTTAATTATGATAGAATATTGTGTTGAGTACCTATATTAAATTTTTTTAAGAATCCATTGCATGCAATATATTTGTGTGTGTGTTTGTGTGCTCTATGTATGTGTGTGTGTTTTGTGTGCGTGTATGTGTGTGTGTAGTTACATATGTTTGTGTATTTATTTTGAACTTGTCTTATAACAGACAAGGGTGACAATTATTATCATCATTATCACTAAAGCTCTGATATCAATGTATCTCATGATCATTCAATCACACAAGAGAGCCAATTCTTGGTAATCATTGTCCCCAGCATACAATGTAATGTTAAATTTATGACTGCTGTACTGTTGTCAGATAAATTAATATGTATGAATGTGTGAGAGAAAAAGAGAAAAATATTAAATGAATGAATGAATGAAAGAGAAGGAGAATATAAAGAATGACACTGAAATGGAAGGAAGATGTAGTGAATGAGTGAAAGACAAAATGAGGATTAGACCGAAATTTTAAACATATATATATATATATAGAGAGAGAGAGAGAGAGAGAAAGAGAGAGAAAGAGCGAGCGAGAAGAGATGTACCATATATGAAAATATCTTAATTTTTTTTTTCCTTGCATGTTACTATCATACAAACATTTTTTTTACATGTGCTATACTATGGGTCTTTGTGTTCTTGCGTTCTATTACGCAATATGAGTGGCTATTATATAGTAGCAGAAGTAGTAATACTAATTAAAGCAATGCCTGACTTAACTAATTACTTGAGTGAGGAATATAAAAAATTATGTCTAACTTAATTTACAAATTAGTGGTTTGTTTACTTTGTTTTTCATCAGTCACTTTGTCTAAGTGATGTATGTTTGTTTGAATATATGTACGTATGTATGTTTGTGTGTGTGTGTGTGTGTGCATGCATGTTTCAGTGTATTTTTGTATTGTACATGTTGTTAACGTATTTTTATAAAAGTTGGATTAGCTAAATGCATTGTGAATGATTGTAAGAATGAATAAATATATGTATATTAAAAATGAATGAATGAACATATCAGTGAATGAATGAATTGGATGAATGAAAGAATGAAGGAATGAGAGAAGGAAAAAATGACCTAATGTTATGGTTAGCTCATTTTGAGAATATAAAACCTTTGTTTATATAAATGTTTGTATACATATATAGTATGTGTATATGTTTGCAGATATGTTGGTTCGTTTTTATTATGTATGTATGCATGTGTATGTATGTATGTATGTGTGTATGTTTGTATGTATGTTTGTATGTATTTATGTATATGAGAAAAGTGTTGAGCTAAGATGTAACTAGCTAAGAAAAAGGATTGCGTATGTGCCTATATATGTATGTTGATGTGTGTGCGTGAGTGTGTGTGCGTATGTATGATCGCACGTGTAAGTGTGTAATGTATGTGGGTAAGTACATGTGTACGTATGTACATACCTGTTTGTCAATCCATTTATTTCAATTTCAATGTGTCATGGGCGTTTTATTTTAATGAAGAAATAATGATGAAGACGATGATGATGATGACGAAGATGAAAACGATGCTGATGATGATGATAGATGAAAATGCGTTATTGATTATGGTAATGATGATAAAGTATTACAAACACAGTTTCACACGTACATAAACACATACACGCACGCAGAAATGTGGGATTAACTGTTAACTTTTATTTTCAAATTAGGTGAGTAAGAATATATGTAAACTTTTATCCTTTTGGGTGTTGTTTTTTCCATTCTATCTTACTTACTTTTTCTTCTGTCCCCAACAGTAGCAGTAGTAGTTTCTTATTTGGAGTTTTAAAAAGTTTCCTCAGTTAGTGTCTGAAATAAATGAACAACACACTTTTTAGATGTCTTTAATGTTTTTACCGATGGATCTGGTTGTTGCGGTTGGTTGTTACGGTTGTCAAAATGATGATGATGATGATGATGATGATGATGATGATGATGATGATGATGATGATACAAAAGAAGATGATGATGATGATTTTCTTTAGTTTATATTCATTTTATTCATTGAGCAACTGACATTATTTATTTTTACATTCTTTGTTCACCCTAATTTTATTTATCTACATAAATTTCTTTCAGTATGTAATCATTATTATTCTTATTATTAATTATTATTATTGTTATTTTTTTTATTTCTTTGTCTTATTATTATTATTGTACATTTGTCATTTGTATTTTCATTATCCTCTTCTGCATTCAAAAAACACATTTGCATATGTTACTGAGTTTACTAGCATTAATCAAGTTTTTGCAATGTTTGCCTGCGTATGTTTGTGTGCGTGCGTGCGTGCGTGTGTGTGTGTGTGCATGCGTCGGTCTGTATGTGTATTTGTTTGTTTGTTTGTGTATTTGTTTGTTTGTTTGGGAGTATCTGTGATGAAGATGATGATGATGATGATGATGATGATGGTGGGGATTGTTGCCGGAGTGTTTATAGTAGATTTGTTGCAATGAGGCTAACAATGGTTTCAATATAAAAACCACATTAATGTTTTTTAATTTCAACACAGCTACACTGATGAATGTCACCTCCATCACCTCCACCAAGACAGCTTCTCAATCAAAAACAACACAACAACAACAACAACGACAACAACTAATAGTAATAATAATAATAATGACGCTAACAATTCTGATGGGACCAACCAGAACATTAATAATAACATTAATAGTAATAGTAATAATGACGATAATGCTATAAAAAAGTCGATAACAGATTACAACAAAGCTGCAACTCTGCTTCAACAAACATTCAGAACATATCTACATAGGAAATATTCAGATTCGCAAGACCAACAACTACAAAACAACAGCAACAACAACAACAATGATAGCGTTAATGTTAATAACACTAATACTATGTCACAACGAGCTAAAGAGCTCATTCTTAAGATGTCTGCTGACAGTAACAATCTTCATATCTATGACAACATCGCCATTAATGACAACAACAGCAGCACTAACAACAACAAAACAACCAACTCTAGCAGCACTCCTCTGGTAGACATAAGTAGCAGTCAGTTTGAGGACCTCTTAGAAGAGGTTAACATCAACAACGACGACGACGACGACGATGACGACAGCTTCAACAGTGACGACAATAGCGATACCGCGGACGACTTCAAAACTACCGAGTCCTCGTCTTCCAGTTCTAGAAATTCGACCTTGAGACGTAAAGGTCAATTAGGGTCAAACGAGGTCGTCATGAGGCGCTGGGCTCTTACCCCACCTCCTGATGATGTTTGCCTTGACAGTCCGACAGGAAATGACATCATTGTTAGCAGTGGTAGTAGCGCTAGTAGTTGTGGTGTCGGTGGAAATGCTGGAGGCACTTTAAAGAAAGATCATCCCATTATATCTAAGATATTTTCATCGCCATCTTCCTCGTCGTCGTCGCCTTCGATGATGTCGAATGCAGTTTCATCATCGTCCTCGCCAATGCTTTTGGTGAAAGGTAGAAGTTGTGGATGTGGCGAATGTTTGTATAGAATGCAGTTGCTGCAGCAGCAACAACAACAGCCACAACAACAACAACAGCAATCGCAACAACAACAACGCCATCCTTTATTCTCTCAACAGTTGAAAAATTTACAACAACAGCAGCAACATCTTCATCAGCAGCAACAATTCAGCCCACCTTGGACCCAATCCAGCACTATCAACAACAACAGCAACAAATATCACAATAACTGCTCAACCACACCAAACTCACCATACATGGCAAATTATAGTAACCAACAACAGCAACAACAACACCATCTCCAGCAGCAACAACATCCAGCATACAACAGCCAGCAACAACAACAACAGTTCAACAACTACATGGCTACATATTACGACTGCAACAATAGATCAACGGCCACTCCTGATAAAACTTTAAAAAACGCTTCTGAAGGCCCCACCGCTACAACGCCATCATTATCACAATCATCAACCTCACTAGCGAATGGCGGTTATGATAATAGTCCACAATCTATGATATCATTATCATCATCTTCATCGTTATGCTCGTGTGGCTCGAAGTGCGCCTTCTGTAGCGACAGTAGCCGGGGGTCCAGTTACTTCAAATCATCGCTGACGCTCTCCTCGTCATCGTCATCTTCATCGACGTCATTATTTCCTCATCATTCTGCCGGGGCATCCGTGGCAGCTTCTATAGCATTACCCAATTCGTATTTTCAATACTCTCCCCCACTTTCTCTCCAACATCATTATCATAATCAGCTACAGCCGCACCATCATCATCAGCATCTCACATCTCCCCAGCAGCAGCAGCAGCAATATTTTTTCCCCCATGCTAATTATCATCAGCAGCCGTCGTCGTCAGTGATGATGATGATGAGGCAGCTATCGGAATCATCATCATCGTCGTCGCCTTATCACCATCATCATCAGCATCATAATCACAACCAGCATCATCATCACCATCATAGTCTTGTCCAACAACAACAACAACGTCAACATCAATCATCATCATTATCGTTAGTTTGGACATTTTGTGTAGCTTTCTATTTCCCTATTTTGTAATGATAATATCATTATTATTATTATTATTGGTGATATTATTACAAATTGATATTATTATTATTATTATTATTATTGTTGTTGTTGTTATTATTATTAATGCCACAGTGTGCCTAGGTTGATGTCAGATAGAAATAGAAAGAGAGTTTACAGGGTTGGCCTGAATGTATTTAATAAGTAAGTCAAGTTGGTTCGCTGATTGGTTGGTTGATTGGTTAATTGATTGGTTGATTGAATGATTCGCTGATTGATTGGATGATTGATTGATTGTTTGATTCTGTTATTCAGTTGATTGATTTATGGGCAGAAAAATCATTTTATAAATGTAATAAATGCTCTTCTCTTAGTTAATAGCCAATCTTATGAAACTAACAAATCACTTACTTTCTTTTCTCTCTCTCTCTTCTCTCTTTCTTTCTCTTTCTTTCTCTCTCTCTCTCTCTCTTTCTCTCTCTATCTATCTATCTATCTATCTCTGTCCAGGGTGTGATGATGACGACGACGATGATGATTTTATTATAACTTGATTGAATTTTTAACTCTCAGAGATAACTTCTTATCAGAAATATTTTTCAAGTTCTCAAAGTTTAACAACTAGGAATAATAATAATAATAATCATAATAATATAAATATTAATAATAATATTGTAGTAGTTGTGGTAAAAGTAGCATTAGCAGCAGTAGTAGTAATAATTATAGCATTTATACAGGAATGCACATAGGATATACGCTTGTATTGTACGAAGTGTGTGTGTGTATTCATGTTTGTATGTGTAAATATATATATATATATATATATATATATATATATATATGTGTGTGTGTGTGTGTGTGTGTGTGTGTGTTTGCGTGTGTGTGTGTGTGTGTGTGTGTGTGTGTGTGTGTGTGTGTGTGTGTGTGTGTGTGTGCAAAAATGATGCCTATGCATATGCATGTATGTATATATTATCTACCTTAACCTCCATTTCTATCTTTCCCATCCCCACCCCTTAGAAAGCCAAACAAAGGCATAGACTACATGGTTGATAATAGATTTGTGGACCCCAGGCCTAGTGCTGTTGCCAGATTCCTGATCAGTAGAAAGGGTCTCAGTCGTAAGATGATTGGGCATTACCTCGGCTCCATGCAGGATGCATTCAATATGGAGGTTTTGAAGTTAGTGAAGATGGCTTATGTTTCCCGTTCGTTCGTTCGTTCGTTCTTTTGTATGTTTTTCTCTTGTTGTTGTTGTTATAGGTGTAATAATAATAACAAGACTGAAGTAATTGTATTCTCAGCAACAACAACATTTATAACAGTAATTTCCACATAATAAATTCATTTACAAATTGGTCTTGCCTAAGTAACTTATTTCAAGAATACCAATTGTATGTATGCGTGAGTAACACAACCTTTTTTCATCATTTATTATTATTATTATTATTATTATTATTATTATGCTTGGGGGTTATAGTTATGATTATTTATGTTGCCATTTAAATCAAAGAGGAAATTTCTTTCTTTAATGTGAAGTGCTCTTTGGTTTGGTTGGTGTCGGTGCTGATGATGATGATGATGTTGTTGCTCTGGTGGTGATGATGATGATGTTGCTCTGGTGGTGATGATGATGATGATGTTGCTCTGGTGGTGATGATGATGGTTTTAGTTGTGATTATGATTATGATTATGAAAGAACAGCGTGTATTGAATGAATGCAAGGGATTAGTAATAGCGTCTTCATATTAATACATACATACATACATACATACATACATACATACATACATACATACATACATACATACATACATAACATACATACATACATACATACATACATACATACAAACGTACACACATACATACATACATACGTGCACATGCACCTACATATACACACATAAACACGCGCGCGCGCACACATGCACATAAAATGATGAAATTACCTAGTACCTACCTATATGTATTATGCTATGAGCATGATATTGCTTGCCTTCACATTTTAATAATTTAAATTTAATCTCTAGATTTTGGTTTGCATTAACTTATTTGTAGGTATGTGTGCATGTATGCGTGTGTGTCTGTGTGTAGGCATCTGTGTGTGTAGGTATGTGTGTATGTGCGTGTGTATGTTTATTTCTATGTATGTATTTGTTTTTCTGCAGGTAGATTTGATTTCATAACTATCATGTTACTGTTAGCATTGGCATGTCTGCTTCATATACATGTCTGTATGTGTGTGTGCGTGTATGTGTGTATGAATGTGTATGTCTATGTGTATGTATGCATGTGCGTGTGTTTGTCTGCTTGCATGAATGTATGATCCTGTGTGTTTGCTTGCACTTGAAGTGTTTTAATATTCTTTTTATTTATATTATTATTATTAATTATTATTATTATAAATTATTATTATTATTGTAAACAAATGATTGAGTGCTATAAAATGTGATGGAGTATTTTGTTGCTTTTCATTTGTAACAAATCTTTCATCAGGTGTTTTGCCGAAGAGTTTGACCTCACCGGCTTGCAAATCGACGTTGCTCTCAGAGTCTTCCAATCTCAATTCCAAATTTCTGTTAGTCGAGGCCAAATTTCATTTAGATTCATTTTTCAATGTTGAGTTTTATCTTTTTAGTTTTTATTTCATTCGTTCATTCATTCCTATTCATTCATCAAGACGGACAAGGTTCATTTGCTTAAATGATCCATCAAATTTTCATCGTAAATTCATTAATTTATCCATTCATTCATTCGTCCATTCACTAGTCCATTAATTCATTAATTCACTAAACCATTCGTTCATTCATTCAATCAATTATTCATTCTTTCATTTAATATAAATACTTTTTTCTACTTGAATCACAGGGTGAGGCTCAAAAAATAGAAAAATTTATGGAGGTAAGACATACATACATATAAATATATGTATGTGTGTGTGTGTGTGTGTGTGTGGTGTGTGTGTGGTGTGTGTGTGTGCGCATGCGTATGTGTGTGTAGTTTTCTACCAATGTATTTTTTGGGCACTTTAGAGCCATAGTCTTAGAGGTGTTTATCTTTATTAAGAGCGAATGTAATACATTTTATAATGCTGCTTTTATTTTTAGTGTTTTTATTACCACTACTACTGCTGCTAGTACTACTACTACTACTTACTACTACCGCTTATTACTTCTACTACTACTACTACTATTATCACTACTATTGGTATCATTATCAGTAGATCATCAATCATCGCTACTATCATCATGACCACCACTGTGTCATCATCATCATCATCGTCAACACCATCCTTGTAGTTGGAATCCATTGGCGCCTAAACCCGTGCTGTATGTTGAAGAGGGGGAAATAAGATTGACGGAGGGAGAGAGAGAGAGAGAGAGAGAGAGAGAGAGAGAGAGAGAAATTGTAGATAGAAAGAGAAAGAGGGGGAAGCAGCAATAAATGTTTTAGTAGATAACCTCTCCTGATAAGAACGTTACGTGTCATGGCTCCGCTCTGTTCTGCTCTGTTTGTTTGTACGTCTGTGTGTGTATCTGTGTGTGTGTATCTGTGTGTGTGTATCTGTGTGTGTGTGTCTGTGTGTGTGTCTGTGTGCCAGCCAGAAAGTGTGTGAGAGAGGAAGATAGAAAGAGAGATGACTGCGTGTATTTGAAAATATTATTTTGGTTGTGTGAAAAGCGTATTTATAAGTACGTTCGTGTAGGCACATATGTCTTTGTATCTGTGTTTGTGTGTGTGTGCTTTAATGTTTTATTCTGATTTTCCTAAAGTTTGAAATGATATTGATTTAACTTATTTATGGGGGGAACTCTTTTCGTGATGAGAGGAATTTCTCAAGTATGGTATGAGAATAAAATTGAGATTATTTAGCCATTCCTAGTGACGTCAGTTATGTAAAATGTTCATAGAGACATGAAATTATCTCGTCATCACATCTCATGTCTACGTCTATGCTTCTATCTCTCTCTCTCTTTCTCTCTCTCTCCTCTCTCTCTCTTTCTCCCTTTCTCTTTCTAATGTAGTTGTTACTCAGCTATATATTTCTTGTTTGTTGTTATAACAGAGTTATGAAAAGCAGGAAAATTTTTAGCAAATTTCATTTTTGTTCCTTCATTTTCCATTCTATATTTTATGAAAAAAAATTAACAGAGAGAGAGAGAGAGAGAAAGAGAGAGAGAGAGAAAGAGAGAGCTGTTGTTTGTTTTTCAAATTGTATAATTTTTAAAATTATTCCATATTATATGGAAAGTTATATGAGAAAATTTATACATATTTTATGTGGTTGTATGTAGGTAGATGATGTGAATGTGAGTTCGTCTCTTTGCACTGCTAACTAACTTCTGCACTGCTTATATTCATTGTTGGCTATTTCTTTTATGTTCTTTTATCATACATTCATTTATTCATTGAGTCTGTTAGTCATTTTTAATTCGCTTGTTTGCTTTTTCGTTCTTTCACTCGTTCGTCCATTCATTCATTCATTCGTCCATTCATTCATTCGTCCATTCATTCATTCGTCCATTCATTCATTCATTCATTCATTCATTCGGTCAGTCAGATATTTTTCTATTAAATTCAGTTATTTGGTGGTTTTATTATTTCGTTTTATTATTCAAACATTCACTCTCTGGTCTGACCACCTGTTCATTCGTTCATTCATTCGTTCATTCATTTTTTCTAGCCGATATTTTTATTCATTTATTTCCCATCCATCTATCAGTTATTTTTTTATTTCTCTCTCTCACTTATTCGTTCGTTCATTCTTTCATTCATTCATTCATTCATTCATTCGTTCATCCAGTGTATGCTGTACTGCACTTCTCCATCAGCTTTTACATAAAATTTTTGATATCTCCTCCGTCATTCATTCATTCGTTCATTCATCATCATCGTTATCATCACTATTTCTTTTATTATCATTGTTATTATTATTTATATATTTTTTTATTTTTCTGGGAATTAATGTGGAGGAAAGATTTTATATGTGTGTGTATATGTAGAGAATTACTCACAATAAAAGCTTTTTACTAAGATTAGAATATGTGTGTATGTTTGTTTGTTTGTGTGTGTGTTTGTGTTTGTGTGTGTGTGTTTGTGTGTGTGTGTGTGTGTGTGTGTGTGTGTGTGTGTGTGTGTGTATGTACCCTTCATCATCACTTCGTTAACTTTATAATATTCCAGTCGTCATCATTATTATTGCCATTATAATTATAACAATTTTCAGGTATTTTCATCGCGTTATCGCGAGTGCAACCCTCATTTAGTGGGTAAGGTCATAAGGTCAAGTGACACAATCTTCCTGCTCTCCTTTGCCATCATCATGCTCAATACTGACCTACATAACAAGAACATCAAGCAAGAAAGGAAGATGACCCTGGTCGATTTTTTGAAGAATCTTAAAGGTTGAGTGGGTTGTTTTTTTAACCAATCATTACAAACCATTCCTAATCGACTGACCAATGGTGATCAAGTATTCACATTACCCATTCAACCAATTAGTTTTAACCGATCAATTCAAATCGATCAAGCCAACCAACCAGCTTCAACTAACCTCTCTCACAATCATCCAATCACAGTCATGCAATCACGTCATCATCCAATCACAATCAACCAACCGACCGACCGACCAATCAGGTTTAGACGCCGGAGGTGATATAAATAGCGACTACCTGACAGGAATTTATGAACGAGTGAAGGAGCAAGAATTCATTCCTTCACCAGACCATACAAATCAGGTCATCATACTGGATCGAATGATCACTGGAAAAACATCCGTTCGTTTATTTGTATTTTGTTTCTTTCTTTCATTCGTTCGTTCGTTCGTTTATTTTTTCATTTGTCAGTTAACCTGGTGATCAGTTGCTTTGTTCCTTGATTAATTTATAACCGTTCCGATCAACCAACCTATCAAATCTCTCAATATCAAACCAATGAAATCACTCCGGCCAAACCAATCAGCCAATCAAATCACTCGAATCAAACCGGCCAACCAACCAATCAATTGTTTGCAGAGCTTGGTAGAGAACCACAGACGATTTGTCTGCCATTGTCGCATGCATGAAATACTGGACCTCAACAAAACTGAAAAAATTGGGTCACACGCCAGAGGGCTTTTCCTTTTCAATGACCTACTTATCGTTAGTTTGTCTGTTTGTGACCTATTTACGTGTGTGTGTGTGTGTGTGTGTGTGCGTGTGTGTGTGAGTGAGTGTATATGTGTGTTTGTGTTTGTTTGTTTGTTTGTTTGTATGTTTGTATGTTTATTGGTTGTTTATCACTGATGATTGTATAACAAAGATTGATTAATTGATTGATTGATTGATTTATTGATTAATTGAAGGAAGGAATGATAGTATGAATGAAGGAATGATAGAATGAATGTGTGAATGAATGTGTAAATGATGCTGATGACAACGATGATGAAGAGAACATGACTAAATCCGAACTTGAGTTGTTTACACTTTGAAACGTATTTTCTTCTCCTTCTCTTTTTCTTCTCTTGTTTATTCGTTCATTCATTCATTTGTTCATACCTTCGTTCGTTCATTTATTTATGCATCATCTCTCCTTCTCTCTCTCTCTTCTCTCTCTCTCTCTCTCTCTCTCTCTCTCTCTCTCTCTCTCTCTCTCTCTCTCTCTCTCTCTCTCTTTGCCTGCCTCGAACACAGTTTCTCAATATCAAAAATCTTAACCGGTATATCACAGTACCATCTTACTATGCGCAAACTCACACACACAGAAACACACAGAAACAAACATACATCCACACACACACACAAGTGTTTACTTATACTTGTTTTTTTTATTGTACTATAAATATTGTACTTACGTGTATGAACTTCAACTTTTGTACGATAGTGGTCATAGTAATGATGATGATAATAGTTAATAATAATAATAATTGTTATTATTATAATTATTATTTTTATTAATTATTATTATTTTTATTATAGTTTAATATCTCCAATAGTATAAATAAAAGCAGTAGTAGTATTTTTACTATCAGTAGTAGTAGCAGTGATAATAGAAGTAGGTTCTAGGCAGCAGTAGCAGTGTAGTAGTTGTCGCGACCACAGAAGCTGCCGTGATATTGCTAGAGACAGTGGTAGTAGTAGTGGTGGTAGTATAAGTAGTAATAGTGTTGAAGAAATTGCTGAAAGATTTTTCGTTTATTACAATGTTTTCGTTCTTTTTTTCATATTTTATGCCCTGACCTTGTTCCTGATTGTAAAAAAAAATATGTTTTCTTTCTAGATGTGTGTTACTGTTATTTGTTGTTGTTTGTTGTTGTTGTTGTTTATTGTTGTTGGTTGTTATTTGTTTGCCGTTAATTGTTATTTTTGTTGTTTTTTACGATTTGTTTGCAGTGTTGTTGCATGGGATGATGCTGATTACAAATTCGTAGTTTGGTTTCTGTTATTTTTATTCGTTTCTTCACTTGTTCATTCGTCCATCTGTTAATTCTTCTTGTTCTTTCATTTATATTTTATTTCCTCCCAACTCAATTCGTTCATTCGTTCGTTCATTTCATTCTTTTATTTTACCCCATTCTCTCATCCATCATGGCTTTTAGTTATTTACAATCTTCGCTTGAAAATTCCTGAAGATTAAAAAATTCCTAACAGCCAATAAAATTTTGCCATCCATCCATTTCGACAGCCAATAAAATCCTTCCATACACATCGTCAATTCAAATTATCACTTTAGCCTCGACCAAAATAAATGACTTCTTTATTTCTGACCAATCAAGTCTACGTTTTCATCTCAACCAATCATATAATCGCTTTAATTTTCGACCAATCACATACAAGGTAACGAAACTATCATCTCGTAAGAAGAAGAATTGTGTTCATAGGTTGAAACAGACGATACCATTGCAAGGGGTGTCCGTCTATCTGCTTGAAACTCCACGTATGTTCATGATGATGATGCTGCTGATTATGATGATGATGGTGTTGTTGATGATGATCGTGGTGGTGATTTGTTGCCCTGATCAATATGTGGATCACTCAATGATTCGACCAATCAATTAGCAAATCACCCAATCTACCGACCAATCAGATTACAAATATGGCATCCGCCTGAAGAACGCCACTCAGGATGACGTCATCATCGTAACATTATGCGCTCGAGACCAGGAAGAACAAAGGAAATTCGTTGAAGATCTTAAGGAATCAATTCTAGAGGTTGTCATGATGATGTCATAGCTAGCATCATCGTCGTCGTTGATGTTGTTGTTGTTGTTGTTTTGTTAAAAATAATAATAATTATGATGATTGACAGACCGAACAAATGAATGAATACATGGAAAGAATGAAGTTTCGCGCTACCATGCCGACGAACAACAACAACAACAACAACAGCAAAGATATTGAAGTCGTTGTCAACAGATACAGCAAAGATTCAGGAGTAGTCGATGTTGACGTCACCAGCAATCAACAACAACATCAACAACAACAACATCAACAGTTTCATCAACAACACCATTTAGGAAAGTTGCCAACCAATCAGTCAACGTCATCACTGACTCATTCATTGAGTGAGCTAAATGAAAGTTAGTTAGTGCTTAATTGGTAACGAATGAGGACTGAGACAGATTTTAATTGGTTGTTTGGTGGGTCATGATGTTTGATTGGTCATGGATCTTGTCAAGGAATGTGGTTTTCTGGCTGGTCCTAATTGAAGAATCTAATTCGTTGGGATTGAACAATTTGATTGGTTCTTTTCTCCGTTGGATCTGTTTTTTGATTGGTTGTTTATTTTTGATTGTAAGAAATATACCCTTTAAGCTGTAGAATTTTTAAAACTTTATGAAATTTTTCATTCCATAGATGACAGGCGAAGCAGCAGAACATCAGTTGATAGTGGGATGGTAGTTTACTCACGTTCTTTCATTCATTTGTTCACTCGTTCGCTGATTCATTCAATCATTGCTAATTCATGTATTCATTCATTCATTCATTTATTTGAAAGTAGAACAAAATTGAAAGTATCATTCGTTCTATCTGGTTACGTGATGAATGTAATACTTTTTTTTTACATTGCAGTCTTCAACAGGGTCCACTCATAACAACAACAACTGCAGCACAACAACAACGACAACTTCAACCTCATCGCTGACCAACAACAACATCAACACAAATTCTAATACTACATCAACTACCTCCAAGTTGTCTAGAGCTTTTAGTCAGAAAAAATAATATTGAAAGAATAATAATAATTATTATTATTATTATAGTTATAATAATTATGTGTGACAATAATTTTATAAACATAATTTTTTTATATAAATATAAATATGTGTATGTGTATATATATATGCGGCACTTTTTTGTGTATATTTTTACTTATTGTTATTATCATTATTAATTAAAATTGTGAATTTAATTGTAATTAATAATAATAATTATTATTATTAGTTATTATTGTTATATAAGTTTTATCATCAAATTCGAATTGTAGTTTGATCAATTTATCAGTATTTTGTCGTTTTAAACTTACATATGTGTATGTATGCTTGTGTGTACTTATACATGTACTTGTATATCCGTGTGTATGTATTATGTTTATTGGTATGTGTATATATAAATATATGTTGGTAAATATATATATATATATATATATATATATATATATATATGTGTGTGTGTGTGTGTGTGTGCGTGTGTGTGAGTTTATTTACAAATATATCTATGCTATCATGTATTATCTTAACCGTTTGTATATAACAAATATGTATAACACATGTATAAATTTATATATATATATATATATATAATAAATATATATATAATATATATATATATATAAATATATATTAATAATGATTATCTACTTTATATTATATTATTATTTGTATTCTGCAAATCATAACTTTAATAATTATTTCATTTTAATTTATTTTATGAAAAATTAAAATTATTTTTTATAATAATATTGAAGCTTTTTATAGCTGAGCGTTTTTTTGTGTCATTCATTTGGTTCACATTTGATGCTTTGTAAAATTTTTGTCAACTTCATACTATATATACATATATATATATATAATACTATATATACATATATATATATATATGTATATATATATATTAGAACATTTTGTATATGAATATGTATGCGTTAAATATGTTTTAAATGATATTATACTGGATTTTATAAGTAATTATATATATATATATATTATATATATATAGTTTTATATACAGAGAGAGAAAGGGTGGGGTGAGAGGGAGAATTACATTTGGATTCACTCCTCCTTTGATAGTTTATTTTTATTTCATTTTTTTGGTACCAAAAATAAAAATCGTCTAAACGTTTTTTTTCTTGATTGATTGATTGATTGATTGGTTGGATGAATGAATGAATGAATGAATGAATGAATGAAGGATTAAATTAATATGAAAAAATAATAAGAAGTAAAATAGAGAGAAGTTTTACGAAAATAAATAACAGTACAAACAGTTAACAAGCTAAATATAACGTGTGTGTGTGTGTGTGGCGTGTGTACAACATTTGAAATTATGAATCAATAATAAAAGGATTCACATGTCCATGTTTAATAATTATAATGTCATAATAATGACGAAGCGCCAATATTGCTTCGGTTACTTTTTAATAGGCACCTTTGAAATTGTTACCTGGATTAATTTGTGTAAATGCATTGTGTGTGTGTGTGTGTTTACGTTGTATTTAGGAATGAAATAGCGATAGAAAATATGTGAAATTGAATATAATTGAAACATTCAATAAGAGGGTTGACACGTTGAAATAAAATATTTGATAAGGAATGAATTAATATAATTGAACTAGTACCATTCATTCATTCGTTTCTTCTATTCATTCATTCATTCATTTGTTTTTAAAAAGTGAAATGACTGAAAGTTTACAGTAAATATAAAAATGAAGGCAAGCTGTGTTAAATAAAATAATTTGGTGCATTTTTAGCCTGTATATGCTTTTTTAAAAAATATATTTTACGTGCATGTGTATAAAGTTCAGAAAGTAATGTAAAAGACAGCTAAAATCAACAAAAACAAAGGCAAAAGGCGATCTAAATAAATTGAAATAGCGAAATCTTGCTTAAGTTGCCTGCTTTTTGTCTCGATTTAGAACCTTTTATATGTTTTAGAACCTTTGAGATTAAAAAAAATTCTCAATATAGTGCTAAAAACATCTAAATTAGTTGACTTTGTTACCCCACATGATCAGCCTCAAGCTTGGGTTTCTTTTCAAGGCGAGCATCATTTTTCTGTAGAGGGCAGAACTGTCGTGCCCTGTTTGTTTTATGACGGGCGTGGCTTCGTCAGAGCGGCTGACCAATCGCAGTGAAGATCTTCTTAACCTATTTAAATCATCTTCGTCGTATATGCATTCGTCTAATGCCTTGATTGCGAGTTTGGCTTTTGCTTTTGCATCGTCGCTGACTGGACCTCTTTCATTATTTATCATCTCATTACCTCGATTCTGATTGGTTATAAAAGAAGACGGATGCTCTGATTGGCCGTTGGTTTCTAGTTCGATTTCGTTGTAACACAATCGAATGGTACGCAGTGGTGTTCTGCTTTTTACCACGCCTACCAGATACTCGAGACCCAGTGACGTCAGTCCACACATGTTGAGTGACAGTTCCGTCAGCGACCGATTGAATTGCATGCCCTCCGCCAGACATTCAACGCCATCATCATTCAGCTGGTTCAAATCCAAGCTCAGAATTGATAAATCGGTGTTCGTCTTCAACGGCCTCTTCAAAAATGAACAACTCTTCTTTGTGAGGCCGCAGTTTTCAAGTTTCAAACATTTCAACGACCTATTGAATAACAATGAATGGCTTAACCTTTCAATGCAATCGTCTCCTAATAAATTTTCTGACAAGTTCAACTCCGTTAAGAAGCAGCAATGACGAATAATCGAGAATAATAACCGACCGCCCTCCCCGGTTATACCGTTTCTTTTGAGTGATAATTTTTTCAGCCAGCACTGATTACTCATATCGGATATTTTCTTGACGGAGATTGGTTTTCCGAGGTTTTGAGATTCGATTTTAATCGGCTGTCGACCGGTTTTTGCAGATAAATTGCTACTAAAATTTACACTAAAATTATTAAACGGATTAGAAATTGTAGTGCTTGTTAGAGTAGTGGTAGTTGCAGTAGCAGCAGCAGTCGTCGTAGATGTGGTGATGATAGTAGGAATGATTTGTACTCTTGCATTGACCATCTCATACTTCCTGACCAACAAATGATACTTCTTAAGTATTTCATCGTCCTTACCACACAACAACTTTGCAACTTCCAAAACACCTCTATCTCCGACCTCATTGCTATCCAAATTTAACTCTCTAATTCCCTTATTTTGCTTCAGACCTCGACACAAATATCCCATTCCTAAAGATGAGATCCGGTTCTCCGGAAACGACAGCCCATTTAGTGTCGAGTTGAGTTTAAGAGATGTGCTGATCAACATACAGCCATCATCCGCCAGAGCACATCTCTCAATGCACATCACTTTCAATCCTTCATTTCTTTCAAGTGCCAGTGATAACCGCAAAATTACCGACGGTTCTAACATGCAATCACTGATCGTCATCTCGGCCAAACAACACTTTGGTCCTTGAAGAAAGGAGCATAATTTTCTCGCCTGGCTTTCGCACATACATTTTTTACTAATAATCAATTTCGCCACTGGTACGTAGCGGTCTGAGACATCTGAAATGAGATATAATGATGCTGGTCGAGATTTTCTCGCCTCTACTCCGCGGAGATTTTCATCTTTCGAATGACAAATCGTCGAGGTCGGTCGCGTGGACGATGGGGCGGCGATCTTTGAAGCTCTCTTCTTCTTCTTCAGACGCACTACCTGAATCATTTCGTAAATTTTGTTTACTATTTATTAATATTCATCATTTAACTTTAAAATAATTGTCATAAAACATTTTTTGGAATATAATTTTTTTAACAAAAATATGGATTTAGATCAGCGGATAGATGGATAAGTAGATGAATTAAATCTATATGGCGTCATGAATGAACGAACGAATGAATGAATGAACGAATAAATGAATGAATGAACGAATGAATGAACGAATGAATGAATGAACGAAAAAATTTAGATTGATTGATGGAGAAATTTCCAATAAAAATGAATAAAAATGAAAATGAGTAAGCGAAGTCTTTTTATCAGTCAGAAGTTGGTAGAGAAATTCACACGTATGCCAAATTTTTATCATTTTTAGACAGCAAACTCAAAAGTTATTAACGTCAGATCTAGTACCATTAGGTATTATAAGATTTTATCCAATATATATAATGTATTAATACGTCTATATACATTGTATGTTTTTTGTATTCGTGTGTGTTTGTATGTATGTATGTATGTATGTATGTATGTATGTATGTATTTGAATGCGTGGATGTATGTAGATAATATTTAATTCAATTAATTATATTATAAAGTGTATTAATAATGATGAAGATAAATTGAAAGCATATGCTCTTGTTTTAGATCTCAATACCATCATATGATAGGCCTAAAACGTTTATGTGAAGAAATGTGTGTGTATTGTTTGTGTGTTTGTTGGTTTGTGTGTGTGTGTGTTTGTCTGTGTGTGCGTGTGAGTGTGTGAGTGTGTGTGCGTGTAACCAGCATACCTCTTCGAAGGACTGGGCAGGTTTTTTACTATCTCTTTCTACGTAGTAAAAATCTACTTGAAAATTCCCCTCCGACCCACCGTCACGATTAAAATAATCATCATCAGTACCACGATGATCATTCCCGGGTGATGATAATGATGATGCAGCTGTCGGAGGCGATGATGATGATGATGATGATGATGATGAATGTGTTGGTTGTAGTAGTTCGTTTTCTAACCTCGCAACTGGATTCGGAGTTATTTTACAGAAACAACAGCAATTACTATTTTTATTATTAGTAGTAGTAGTGGTCGTAGTAGTAGTAGTTGTTGTAGTAGTGGTGGTGGTGGTGGTTGTAGGAGTAGCTTCAATTGCACATTCAAAGTGTGACGAAGTTGGCACCGAGGTTAATAATGTTGATGGTGATAACGATGACAGCGATGATGATGATACTGATGATAATAATGGTGATAATGATGATGATGGTAGTGGTGGTGGTGATGATGATGGTGGTGGTGGTGAGGGTGATAAGGGTAAGTTTTCGTCAATAGGTTGAAGCTTGCTGGGCTTCGGACCGTTGAAATATAACGACGATGGTGAAAATAATGGTGAAAGTGTTGATGATGATGTTGTTAATGATGATGTTGTTGTTAATGATGATGTTGTTGTTAATGATGATGATGATGATGATGATGATGATGACGTCACTGATGATGACAACGACGATGATGGTCTTTTTTTATCACGTAACACGCCTCTGTTTAATAGCATCGAATTAAAGGCTTTTTTGGGTGTAGTTTTTACTTTGGAAACAGAAAACGCTGATGATGATGATGATGATAAAGCTTTTGTTGGAGATGGTAGTGTGGTTGATGATGATGATGATACCGATGTTGATGATGATGGCGATGATGATGCTGCAATAAGTGTTGATTTCAAATTCGCAATTGTTCTGGCACCGTCCAAATTAATTACATCATTTGTGTTTAAATTATTTTTATTTTTATTATTGTTGTTGTTGTTATTATTATTATTATTATTATTATTATTATTATTCAAAAGCATTGCAGTCGTTCTTATTCTTGGTTTGATGGCACAACTCCGAACGGTATTACCGACGGCCAGCTTATCGGACTCGATCGAATCAACCGGTTCAACATCATCCGTATTAACCGGCCTATCCCTATTCAGGATAGTTACTTTACTAGTTTTGGGATAGTTTTCAGAAGTCACTAATGTATTTTTGTTGGCTAACTTTTGTTCTACGGGACTAGCTAACCTGTGAAGGATCTCCAAGGATTCTAGGAAATCGGCCATGTAAATATCGCTCAAGTCGACGCTTGTAGCTCTGGCAAACGAACAAAATTGTCGGTATTCGGTTGAACCAGCTTTTTCTAAAATTCTCGCCAGAGTTCCGACATCGGTAAAGTTCGCGTCGTCTTGTGTAGCAAGAGGATAGGATTGGTGGGTAGTTGCTGAGTGGTCCTTTGTGGTTGTTGTCGGGTTGATCTTGATGCTGCTTTTGTTGTTGCTGATTATATAAGAAGAAATATCGACTTTGTTATCGCGTAGTTTGGTTTGATGTGAGGCGTTCGAAATTTCAGGGGTACTGAAAACATCCCTGCCGGCGTTTTGCGATTGTTCTAGAAGGTTGTTTGAGACGTCGTGAATATCGAACTTTTTTCGATGTTGTTGTTGTTGTTTTTGGATTTGTTTAAAATGTTTGAATTCTTCAATTAAAAGTGGGTTAAGTTCGGTGGAGAGTATAAGCGGGAGTTTGCTGTTTAAGAATAAATTTGTGTTCTTGTTTTTGTCGTTACATTTGTTAATGTTAATGTTGTTGTTGTTGTTAGCGTTGTACTGGTAGAATGAAACATCATTCACGCTAATGGCAGGGAATGTATTGCAATATATGTTGTTGTTGGTGATGTTGTTGTTGATATTATCACATGAAAGCTGTTTAAATTGATGTTTTCTATAGATGATTGGCTGCTGTTTTTGATATAATTGATGCTGCTGATATTGTTGTTGCAGCTGTTGTTGTTGTTGCTGTTGTTGTTGTTGTTGCTGTTGATGTATTTTGTCGAAATTCGAAGTCTGGTTTGACATGCGGGTAACTTTTGTAAATGTTATCTTATCGTTGTAGCGGGTTGTGGCATTTATCGTTCTTGTTGAGTTTGCAAACGTTTTGTTTTTGTTGTTGTTGATTTTGTTGGCTTTATTTTTACTTTTTGTTGCCTTTTTAATGTTTAATGAAACTTTGTTTGGGTTATTATTTTTAACCTCGTTGTCAGCGAGAACCGAGGTTGATGTGTTCAAATGTTGTTGATGTTGCTGTTGCTGATTTTGTTGCTTCTGTTGTTGTTGTCGAAACATTAGAACATTTCTGATTGATCGCCTGACGCTACCCCTGAAGATGTCGTCGTCACTAAATGCTCTCCCTAATCGTAAAAACAATTTTTGATATCTAATTATAATATAATAATTATTATTATTACTATTATTATTATTACTATTATTATTATTACTATTATTATTATTATTTATTATATTAGTATTAATAACAAATAATAATAACTCACTTGGTTCTGAATAGATGTCATCTATTCTTTTACTTCCCGTGGCACCCATTATTATTATTATTTTTGTTATTATAACTATAATAATTGTAATAATTATATTATTATTTCATTATCATTATTATTATTTCATTATTATTATTTTATTATTATTATTTTTATTTTATTATTATTTTGGTTGTTTCGGATATCTGGATGAATTCAATTTGCTGATAAAGATGTTCAGTTAGGTCAGTTTCCATTTCTGTTGCAGCAGCTGCTGTTGTTGTTGTTGCTATTATTGTTATTGTAATTATTGTTATTATTTTTGTTTTTGTTGTTGTTTTTGTTGTCCTAAATAAATTTTTTATTTTTACGAAGTGTAAATGAAGAAACAATAAACGGATTGATGGACAAAAGTATGAACAGATGAACGAACAAAGAAATGAATGAATGAACGAAAGAATGAATAAACAAACAAATGGACGAATGAACGAATGAATTAATGAACGATTGAACGAACGACAAAATAGCACAAACGGTTCAACTGGTCCTTACAAAGCTATTACAAACATTTTTTCGCAGCTTAGTAAAATTTTATGAAGCTTTTAATCTACAAGTATTTATTTAGCTCGACTGTTGTTCGATCATTCATTCATTCATTCACTCACTCATTCATTCATTCTTTCATTCATTCATTCATTCCTACATTCATCAATTTACACCTCGATTCATTGTTCAAATTCGTTCAATTGTTCATTTCAAATTAAATTTACATTTCTTCTCATTCATTAACACATAACAACACGCACGTATATAAACACGCACACACACACACATACACACACACACACACACACATACATACACGCATACATACCCAGCTGTGATGTTTTGCTCGATAACATACATTTTCCTCTTCATTATGTAAATAATGATAAGGACGGTTTTGAGTGTATGTATATATGTGTGTGTGTATGTTTGTATGTACGTTTGTATGTATGTGTGTATGTATGTGCGTAAATGTATTTGTGTGTGCAAGTACCTATGTATGTGTATGTACATGTGTAAATACACACTTCAAACATACTACAACATATCCATATCTGTGTACATATAATTGTAAAGTAAAGAGTAGTAGTAATAGTAATAGTAGTAGTAGTAGTAGTAGGTAGTAGTAGTAGTAGGTAGTAGTAGTAGTGGTAGTAGTAGTAGTAGTAGTAGTAGTAGTAGTAGTAGTAGTAGTAGTGGTAATAGTAGTAGTAGTGGTAGCGGTAGTAGTTGTAGTAGTAGAGTAGTTAGTTGAAGTAGCTGATAGGAGATAGCTAAAATAGTGACAAGCATCGATAAAACTTACTAAGTAGAAAGCATATTTTTCAAATGAATGAACGAATGGATGAAGAACACAAGAGGACAGCGGTGATGAATTCTAAAATTTCTATCAATCCACTAACCTGAACGCATTAAAAATTCAACATATTCATGTATCAAAGTTTATATATTAACACCTAAATCCACTTTTAACACATAAATACATACATATGTAATATATGTGCATAATATATATGTAGTACACTTATGTACACTATTACTTAATGAAATACCAATGTATGTTATCTTTAAGCGAAATTGTCAATGGTATATTTGCTGCCATTTATATAGGCTGGAAAACATTAGATATATATATACTTATTAATATATATATGTTTTTATATGCTGATATATATATATATATATATATATATATATAATTCTATGCCTTAGCCTTATCATTCCAAAATCCTAATAAACCTTGAAATTTTATCTTTGTTTATGTGTGTTTATATACATTTATATTTATATATATATATAGGAAGAGAAAGAGAGAGAGATAGAGAGAGTAAGAGAGAATCCAAGAGAGAGAGAAAGAGAGAGAAAGAAAAAAGAGAGAGAGAGATGAGCGAGAAATGATCATTGTTAAAAATAGCAAGAGATCGTGATAAAAATAAGAGGAGTGTGAAAACATTGAGGAACGTTAGAGATATTGAGGGGAGTGTATGTATGTATGTATGTATGTATGTATGTATGTATGTATGTATGTATGTATGTATGTATGTGTGTGTGTATGTATATATGTGTACAAAATATACATGTATGTATATATGGCCATGTGTATGTGTGTTTTTATATGTGTGTAAGAAATGTGTTTCAGTGGTTTTCGAAATGAGCAACAGTATCTTATAATTTATTTCTTTGGAAAAAAGTCAACGGTTGCATGAAAAACTTGAAAAAATTAATAAAATAAATAAGAATTCATTGAAAAAACGTCATTTTTACAATTTTGAAATAAGAAGAAATCATATACAGACATAAAAAAATAATTAATTATGCATAAATAAACAATAAAATATATAAATATATACTAGTAATTGTTTGATACGTGATCTACTCATCCTTTATAATTTAGCTGATTTCATCGATTTAGTGCATTTATCCATGCTCAGGTAAGGCGAGGAGTTTGGTCCGGTTTTAACAACAGCTGAATTCGCACTTCCGTTTTGCCAAGAAGACTGGTTAGGGGTACCACCGCCATCTTGTTTTGGGGCCAAAATATTCTGACCGCTTTTCGGTTTCGTCGAAGTTGAAGTTTTTTTCACACTATTACAAAACGTTTGCACGCGCAGTAACATGTCAGCATTGAGCAGTAGTATGACATCTAGAGGAAGGCTGTCTATGTAATATGAATTTTCGGCGTCCTCTGGTGAGCTGTAGTAAAATTTGTAAAAGTGTTGTGAACAGTTTGTGTAAATGGAATGGTTGTTGTTGATGTTTTTGTTGTTGCTGGTTTTGTTACGGTACTTCACAAGTTTCCAGTTCTGTGGCAGGTTTAACGTGTCTAATATCTCTCTGCTTGTGTCGCTATCTGCATAGCCTGTGTCTGATGGGCATTGGTTGTTGTTGTTGTTAGTTTTATTGTTATTGTTATTTTTGTTGTCGTTATTATTATTTTCATTATTCTTACTATCATCTGCCTCCACCGCCAATTCATCTAAATCGTTATACAGATCGCTATCTTCTGTCAAATTACTGTTGTTTCTATTATTGTTATTGCTATTATTATTGTTGTTGTTGTTGTTATTATTATTATTATTATTGAAAGGACTATCAATGTTATTAGATAATCTCTGGATTGTTCTGGGCATGGGTCCCGGATGTATGTAATCTTCCCGGTTCGATTCAGGATTGTTGTTATTACCGTCGAAAACATACTCGCCTTTATTGTTGTTGTTGCTGTTATTTTCGGCCAGGCTACGACTCTTTGTGATTGGCGGGTGCTGAAAACTGCTTCTCGGAGAGGAGAAATTATTAGCGGAAGGCGATCCGTAGAAATAAATGGGTGTTTGTAGCAGCACGTTTTTCAGGTTCTCCATATTCTGTATGGGGTTGCTTGAGAAGAAGTCGATTAGTTCCGGTATGGTATCGAATAGTTGGTTACCGATCGAGTATTTATTATTCTCGACGTTGTAGATTTGGATGTGGATTAAGCCTTTTTCGTGCCTAAATGGATAGTGTTTTGTCATTCATTCATTTATTCATTCATTTATTCATTCATTTATTCATTCATTCATTCATCTATTTACTCGCTCATCAATCCAATCATCCAACCAATTAATCATCCAACCAACCAACAAACCAAACTGATAGGGTGAATGAGCCAGGCTGTCTGAAGCTATTTCTCAAGAGGTACAAACCTCGAACATTGCCGTTTTTACTCATGATCTGTATGACCTTCGAGTTTATAAGTATAATTTGCATTAATTATAATTACTATCATAATAATAATAATTAAGATTTAATTATAATTATTATTTTAGATTAATAACGAGATCAAATATGATACTTTCACAGTGATGACTTCTAATACTTATATGTATGTGTGTAAAAATCATTCATTTATCATTATATTTTGTCATAATTTCACTATAATTTTATTATTACATTTAGTAATAAATGTAGTAATAGTGGTAGTAGTAGTGGTAGTAGTAGTAGTAATAGTGGTAATAGTAGTAGTATGATAACCTGCTCCATCTTTTTGATGTTTGGATGGTAATATGGCATATTTCCGCATTCCAGGCAGCTAACCGAACGCTTAGGCGTTTGTTCCATCACGAAAATGATAAATAATAATATTATATAATATTATTATTATATATTATTATTTATTTATTTATTTATTATAACTTAAAATTTGAGTCTGTGTTAAATAGATGTATCAAACATAATGTTGAGAACTGTGCTAGCAATATCAATATGCAGTTGAAGGTATGTTGTCATTCCGTGTTCACTACAATGTAATCAGACGACAACTTAGTAAATGTATGTGTATGTATGTATATGTGTATCATTAACACACATACACGCATATATATACATATATACACACATATATATATACATACACAAACGTATATATACGTAATTTAAATTTATTTCATTAGCTACTTATTGTTAGCTGGTAAGATGAATTAACTGCATCAGCCAGACAATTATGACGAACAAGCATTTAGCCGGAAACCCATTATGAACGAAAAATTGGTAAAAACACACACACACACGCACACATACATGTACATACACACACATTATACACATACATACATACATACATACATACATACATACATACATACATACATACATACATACATACATACATACATACATACATACATACATACATACATACATACATACATATATATGTATATATATATATACATATATATATAAATATATATATATCCTCTGTTGGATGTTTCGATCCTCAATAGTTTCGACGATCACCTCCGTGACGCATTCCAGTCCATCTTCAACATAAAACTCGATCAAAAAAATTGGTTACAGGGGACGCTGCCTATATGTGTTGGTGGCCTGGGTTTGGGTTCCGCGGCTGAGCTGGCACCTTCTGCCTTTTTGGCTTCTGCTGCTGCCACGGTGGCCCTCCAGGATCTGATGTTGCCTAGGGATGTGATTTACGTCGATAACTTCAGATTGCAAGTATACGACATGTGGCGCGCCACCAACGGAGATGTGGTTGCGCTCGAAAACCCCTCGCAAAAACACTGGATCGCCCCCTGTCTTAATAGATCAGTTGATCGATGGCTGCAATTGAATGGCTCTGCTTTTGACAAGGCTAGAATTATGGCTGTCAAAAGTGAGTTGGGCTCCGCCTGGTTGAGAGCGCTACCCAACACTTCCTGCGGCACTAGATTGGATGACTCCTGTGTTCGCGTGAGCCTTGGTTTGAGACTTGGAGCCCAGATCGTCACCGAATACGAATGCGCATGTGGGGCAAGGGTTGATGAACTTGGATACCATAGCCTTTCTTGTCGTCTAGGTCCAGGAAGACAAGCCAGACATACGGCTGTCAACGAATACCTGGTACGATGTTTTCAAAAGGCTGGTATCCCGGTTATAAAAGAACCCATGGGTTTGATAGAGGAAGGAGCCTTTAGGCCTGATGGTTACACTATCACCCCATGGGCCCAGGGACGGTCCCTTGCTTGGGACGTTACCATACCCCACACTATGGCTGACCGATACATCGGCTACACTTCAGTTGAGGCGGGCACTGCTGCCCTTAAAGCGTCCGATTTCAAAAATGAAAAATACGTTTCATTAAACAATTTAAGCAAAATATTTCAACCCATTTGCATTGAAACGTTCGGACCAACAGATAAGCACACGTCATTATTTATTAACGAATTAACAAGAAAAATAGTTAATATAACGGGTGATCCTAACGAAGGCAATTATTTAAAACAAACTCTTTCACTTTTATTACAAAAATTTAATTCCTTCTGCATTCTGGATGGAGCTGCTAGATACCTGACTGTGCGAGACCAGGGACATAGATAAAAGTTGAACTCGGAAACGATTGCATGCCTAACCATGGCTTGTTCATCAAAACGGGTTCATACATACATACATACATACATACATACATACATACATACATACATACATACATACATACATACATACATACATACATACATACATACATACATACATACAAACACATATAACCATTCATACATATCATAAAAGAAAAATTCTAAATTACGTACTAACAGTTCAAATTTTTACAACCAGCCAGCCATTCACGGATCGGAAAATTGCATTCGTTTGAACGTGAAATTGATGAAAACGAGCCAAAGTGTCATTATTTGTAACAAATTATTTCATAGGAAACTCTTTAGTAATGACAAATTGTTGCTTAACCTACCAGTTGATCGCGGCCAGCATTTGGATGGGTCAGAACATTTCATCAGCCCTGCCTAACTACGTGGAATCAAGCACTAAGTAGATCTCAATCTTGATCTTACAATGTTACATGCATTTAAAACGTGCAGTATATGTGAATTAAAAATGAATTAACTGTTTAGAAATAAAAAAAGGTGAATTATACTGCTATTAAATTCTATTCATTCATTCATTTGTTCATTCATTCATCCGTTTGTTTAACAGAAAAAAAACCATTAGAACTAAAAATATTTTATTACTCCAAAAATTTTGTTCTGAAAAAAACAAAATCGAAAAAATGACTCGTCCAAAAAAAATTTACAATATAAATGTGATGTAAGTAGTGATTGAAATAATTATAACGATAACACAAATGATACGTTAGCTATTATGGAAAATTAGCAAATAGTGCAAATTAAATGTGATTTTTATTAATATTACCATTACTTTTATTATTTTTGTGGTTTTTCGTGTTTGTTGTGATTGGATGCCGATTGGTTGGTGAGCTGATTGATTTGGTGGGTTGATTGGATTATTGTTGTTCTGCTGCTATATATTTGTTTTGTGGACTGTATGTTTTTTGTATGTGTGCATGTATGTGTATATGTACGTAAAAACGTAACGTATGTATGCGTGTGTGTTTGTGTATGCATGCGTATGTTTGTGTTTGTATGCTTATTTATTTGTGCATGTAAGTGTACATGTAAATGGACGACTAATTTGATGATTGGTCAAACCAGTGATCGAATGAATGAACAGACGAATGAACGGGTGAACGAAAGAATGAAAGAATGAACGAACGAATGAACGAATAAATGAATGAGTGAACTAATAATGGCTTAGGGCTTTTGGAAGAGGCGCTCAAAAATTATAATTTTCGGACCTACTACCGAAAATTCTGAATTGGCCGAAGAAGTTGATGTATCCGAAATGCTGGGCTTGGTGACATCTAGTAAATGAATGAATGAATGAATGAAAATGAATGATTGAAAAAATGAATGAATTAATTAATTTATTGAGGGCGATTGAGCGAATGAATGAATTGATTCATCAACCGATCTATGAGTGAATCAATGGATTGTGAGATGAATGTACAAATGGAATAATTGGATGAATAAATGAACGAACGAACGAACGAGTGTCTGACTGAATGAATAAAAGAACGAATGAATAAAAGAATGAATGAAAAACCTCATCTGAACTTTGATCTGTCTGTTTTTGGAGGTCATCAACCTTTCCCACCTTTTCAATATTTTTTTACTAAGCAACTGGCATATCTCAAGCCTGTTGACTTCTGTGGCATGCATGTATGCGTATAAATGAATAAATGTACTTACGTGTGTGCGTGTGTGCGTGCGTGTGTGTGTGTGTGTGTGTGTGTGTGTGTGTGCATGTACAGAACCTGAAAGAGACGACCAAAAGCCTTCATTAACTTTGTGATAGCAATTTTCAATTTGTCTAATAATCTCCTTCCATAACTTTCCGTACAAAAGGACATCTTCTTGTGAGTTTGGCAGGTTGGCTGCCATTTGTTGGTTGTTTTGTTTGTTATAAAATTGTTGTCTTATTTTTTGTCATCTTGCTTCGTAAAACATAAACCAAACTAAATGACATACCACGTGCAATTATCTGATTCCACAGTTCAGAATCACAGAGACTTCTATGTGCAGATAACAAGATCGTCTCGAAAATTTCTTTCAATATTTCTTCAGAGAGGAATGGCGTCTCCATGTCCGGTACCATGTAGTTGCTTCAGTCAATCAATAAATAAATAAATCAATCAATCAATCAATTTGTATTTATATAGCGCAATTCATAAAAACTCAACTGTACCCTCACTTTCTCATTGAGCGCGCCGGATCACGTATTACTGTTAGACTGTGCTGAGGTTCATCTTCTGTGGGGAAATCGGCGAGATGGAAATCATCGGAGATGCCATTTGAGAAGTAGGGATTGGGAACAGAAGGGTTGGGAGGTGGGGGAGGAAGATGATGTTGATGGTAGGGAGAATCGGGATTGAAAAGATTGGGACGATTGTTATCAGGATTAAGAGTATGATTAGATGAGAAATTCCAAAGAGGAAATTGATTAATAAGAAAATCACGGAAATTAGCAGCAGGGGGGTTAGAGTTGTTGAGACCGAAACGGTTATTACCGAAATTGAACAAACTGTTAGCCGGAATGCTAACACCTAGAGAATGGAAATTAAAAAAATCACTAAATGAGGAACTAAAAACGTCTGAAAAGTTAGCCGCTGTAGGAACAAGAAGTTCAGTGGCAATTGGGTTTGATAAAAAAGATGTAGCGGTACCGAAACGAGAAATTTTGCGATTGTAAGGATTAAGATCATTAGTAGATGTGGAGGGCTCCATCCATGCATCTGCTGTTGTCTCAAATGTTGTCGCCTCGTTGTTTCTTGCTGTAGACGGGAGTTGTTCGCTTGTTCTTGTTGTTCCTGGCAGTTCGGGTTGTTGAGGTGTTGTTTCAAGTTGTTGAAGTGTTGCTGCTGCTGTTTCAGACTGCTGCTGACTTGTCGTTGGTGGTGTCTGATGCTGAACATTAGTTCCCAACTGTTCAGAGTGGGCTTGTTGAGATGTTGAAGTGTTGTGTGAAGTTGATGCAATCGACTGAGATGTTGAAATCTCTGAAACAGTCGTTACTGCTCCGTTTGCATGTTCTTCATTTTGAGATGTCGACGCAACTTCTTGAGAGTCCGTTGTACTTTCATGCGAAGTGGTTGCTATTTCTCGAGAAGCTGCCACCGGTTGGAATGCTGTGGCGGTTTGTTGAGATGCAAACAATTGATGAATTGTCGCAGGCTGTTGAAAACTTTCGAGTTCGAATTGCCGTTGCTGTTGCAGCGACTGCATCTTCATGTACTGCTCTCGGGCTTTCGAAGTTAGTGAGATTTGTTCCCTAGGGTTTCGCATCAGAGATTTGAACGAATGTACTCTAAGCCAAATATCGCAAGGTCTGTTTGGTTGAATGAACAGAGCGGCAATAACTCTTCTCACAGAAGCCATCAAAGCAGCTTCATTTATTGCACGGCGGCGATCAATTGCGTTGTCTTGCGAAACCATGACAAATTTATTGCGGTAGTTCTCGTTGTTTCCCATATTGGCGCAGTTGCTGGCAGCGTTGATCGCTTGCAAACGACCATCATTCTGTAGTTCTAAAGTGCAGCTTTTGAAGCTGTCTGTGTCGCTGCTGCTGCCGCTTACACACGGATTTCTACAAACGTAATTAGCATTATCATTATTAATTTCAATGTTAACATCATCATTTCTAGCATCCGCAGTGTCTTCATCCGCAGTATCTTCATCCGCAGTATCTTCATCCACAGTATCTTCGTCGACATCCACGAGTATCTCTTCATCATTTCCATCTGCAGCATGGCCAGTACCGTTCTTTACGAAGAAAGCCTCAGAGATATCCTTTTTATGAGTTTCGCTATTTACCAACCCGTTCTTGATGTACGTGTTGACCAGAATAGCGCTGTTCCACTCGTATTCGTCATCATTCGCATCGGCATTTCGTACATCGATTTGAGGTCTGTTAGGACATAGAAGTTGATGATAGTGAATTCCAGGCAGTCCCATAGCAATGTTACAGCCCGGGTGAATGCATCGATACTTCAACTGACTCAACATTTCCTTATATTCTTCGGAAACGTCTTTGATTTCCTTGAAACTCGATCGACCTCGACACAGTGGACATCTTTCAAAGATTCTGAAGCAGCGAACAATGCAGGAATGACAGAAAATATGGCCACATCGCATCAATTGTTTAGGAAATGATACGATGTAAAGGCACAAGCAACAATTTACGTTGCTAGCTTCTGGCAGGTTAACAACTCGTGCTTCTTCGTACTTTATGCTGCGTTCGAGGGCGAAACAAGCGTGTTTGTGGTAATGCCGACGTGGCATTATGTGATTTTTTTATGTAGTGGCTGTAGTTGTGGCGATTATTAATTAGTGATTGGTTTTTTAAATTGTCTAAAACTGGTTGGTTGTAGTTTATGATTTCTGAAAAAAACCTTATCGAAAATCTTTTAAAAATAAGTTGATTCTATGTATTTTGATTCAATTTTGAAGTGTTAGCAATATATAAGAACATGATATGCATTATCAGTTTAACACTTTAAAAATTAGTTAATAATTATGTACTTAAAAATTAAAATATAACAAAAAGAGAATTTGATAAAAAATTGTGTTAAAATCATGGATATAATATGGCTAAAATATAAAAAAATATTTGCCTGCACTACAAAAGAAAAAGTATATTTGCGAGATATTATAACGTCATATCATGAATTATGTAAGATTGCAAAGATTTTTAAATAAAAAAATTAATTAAGTTACTGATCAGGGTTGGGGTTATATTTTTAGAAGGGTAATTTAATTCTACATAAGTGGTAAAAATCTTTTTTGAGGCCGAAATTATGAATGGTGAAAAAAAACGCTTTTGTGATACGATACACGATGAAAAAGTCAGTTTTTCGAGTTTTGAACCCCTGGGAACCCTGTTTTTTGGTGGCTGATATATATTTAAAAAGGTATTTTAATTCTACATAAGTGGTAGAAATATTTTTTTGAGGCCGCAATTAATAATATTTTTAATCAATTTTTTATGTTCATCTTCTGTGTATATAGTATATTCTTTATATTGTATAATACATCATACAATCATTGTTCATACATACGTTACATAAATTCATAGAAGACATACTTTTCATACATTTCAATTATATAGCTATACAAATTTTGGTAACATATATGAGCACCTGCTATGCAGCATTAAGCAGATGGTCCTCTCTTTTTTCACGATCTCTCAACGCGTAAATAGGTCGGTCGTTGTGGCTTGGGGCTAAGTTCGGTCTCACCTAATTTTTAATTTTAGGAAAATAATACATGGTGGATGTTATCTGTTGTGATGCTTTTGTTTCATTTCAACTATTTGCATGCCGATGTTGAAACTGTTAACTGTACATTGTTCCTAATCGTCAAAATCGAATCCGTCATAAGAAGTAATCTGCCTGAGTTTTTAAGCAAAATTAACTTTTAAATTAGTGAGTCTTAGTGATTCCGTGGCTCCAACTGGTAACTCAGCATTCATCACAACGTCAAATAACTGGTGATGTTATGACATACGGGGAAAAATTAAAAGTTGCTGTGTCTAAAGGTGACGTTTCAACAGTCAAAGATTTGCTAGGTAAAAAGTTACCATGTGAAAAATATAAGGTTAATTTTGTTGAATTTTCAATTAAATATTATTTTAATTCTTTTTTTTATTTATCTATGTAATGTAATGTTGATTCATTTAATAAAAAATATAAACATTTTAAAAAATCATTTAATGAAAAAATATTTTAAATTTAATAAATAATCTCAGGATGATAGAACACTTCTACACATAGCAAGTCAGTGTGGTCATCCTGATGTTGTTAAGCTATTGATTTCTCATGGATTCCATGTGGACAGCAAAGATATTGTTAATTTTTTTTATTAAAATACTGAAACATTTATATAAATAAATTAAAAATTGTGAAAAATTATAAATGATCATGAGATCATTAAATTTACTCATTTAATTAACTGATCTAAATAACATTATTTATTGTTAATTTTGGCTGCTCATTAATTTTTATAACACAGAATGGGTATACGCCATTACATCTGGCTGCGGCGCAAGGACATTGCGATGTTGTCAGGTTGTTAGTGGAGTCTGACATAAATGTAACAAATAGCGTTGATATCGTTAGTAGAGATTATTTAAATTATTATTTTATCATTATAATTTATTATAATTATGTTTATTCTGCCCAACCGACCAGTATGGTAACACGGCATTGCATGCTGCTTCTTGGAATGGTTACAGTCGAACTATCATGTTGCTCATATGCTCAAATGCCAGTGTCAACCTCGTCAACAAGGTTTATTGCTATTTTTATTATTTATTTATCATTATTATTTTTTTCCTAAATTTTTCTCTTGAACATTTTTCTGCCAATTCTTTAAAGGTTATTTTTTTTATTACCCAATCAGTTCTAATCCCATTAACATATTTTTTTATAATTAATCATGCCCATTTACATTACTCATTGATAGGCTGGGTTTACAGCCTTGCACACAGCAGCTCAGAAAGGGCACAACCAATCAGCTCGGATTCTTATTGGAGCAGGTGCCAACATGAAGGCTAAAAACAATGTACGTCACTTTTTTTGTGTATTTCTTTTATGTACGCTTATTTATGTTAATTTATTCAAATTATTATAATTTTTCAGTATGGAGAAACTCCACTGCACACAGCCACAAGACATGGGCATGCTGGTGTGACCCAGATTTTAATCAGCAATCACGTCAAAGTCGATTCCAGAAACAAGGTCACATATATATGCATCATTTGTATACATTTATATCAAATGATGAGAATTGATGGTAATGATAAATGAAAATGTCATAATTATGATAGTAAAAATTGTAATCACTGACTGCAGAATGGGGAGACAGCACTGCACGTAGCAGCTTCGATGAAGAGGCACAAAATTGCAAAGATGCTGATAGACGCTGGAGCCAATAAGCAGATCAAAAATAAGGCCAGTTGAATTAATCACTTTCAATTATTTCAATGATATATCTGCTTAGGTCAAATTCTCATTGTTAAATAGCGCGAATAGCAGATATAAATATTTAAGCTAAGAAGAATAACATAAAGAGATGAATCTTTTGTAATTTAAAAAAGATGTAATTTGGTCAAGATCTCATTTTTAAATGACTTTTAGTCACTTTCAAACTATATTAAAAATCGTTTATTATAACAATGAACAGGAGCATGAGACTGCTTTTGACGTCGGTAGGAGGCTGGCCGTCGATGAAGATATGCTGCTACTGTTGCTCTATGACAAGAAGAAAAAAGTTGGTTAATTGATTGGTTGATTGATTGGTGATCGTTTGTTTGTCTTATTATTTTTACTGAATTAGTGATCAATTGATCTTTTTGTTGGTTTTCTGATAGGTTTGTAATTTTCATTTACCATTTATTTATCATTCATTAATTCATCCCATTCATTTATTTAACATTCATCAATTCATTTTACAAACCGTTTTCAGTTTGCCATAAACATGAGACCACTGCAGAAGCTGACAAGTTCATCAACTCCTGCTACCACAAGCAAAACACACAACAACAATAACATTAACAAAAACCACCACAACAACAACAATAATAATAATAATACTTCCAACAGTACCAATACTAACAACACTACCAAAAGCGTTAACACAGCCAGTGATGGCTCTAGAAACGATAAGAATAGTAGTAAGCATGTTAGCAGTTTGAAAGCGAGCTTAAGTATCAAATCTTCTGTTTCTTCTTCTAAAGAGAATAATAAAAATAACATCAATAACAATAATGACAACAGTAATAACAGCAAAAGTTATAGTAACAATGAGTTAGAAAGCAATAAGCCTACTAGCAATAGATACGATTACAACATCTATGATAACTGCATTGGCAGTGACAAGATGTTCTGTAGCAACAATGATAAAAGCGTTAGAAGGAGTGTTTATCATAAAAATCTCTTTGGCAACAATGGCGCAAACAGCAGCAACAATACTAATGTAATGAACCCCATAGAAGTAGTGGTCGAGATGCATAATGATGTGTACGGTAATAAGATTATTAAAAACAACAACAGTTGCAAGAAATACAATGCTGACAACGACAACGATGGCGTTGATGACGATGTCGGAGCAACAGTGCATGGCACTCACAACAATATTATGAGTAGTAATAAGAATTTAAATGAAGGAGAAGCAAAATGGCCAAGTCCGTCAGCAGTTCTCAATCGTTTTCAGCACGACTTGCAACTAAGAAATACCCTCTCAAAACAGAAACAACTACAACAGCATTTGATATTACAACAACAGCAACAACATCTACTACCTCTACTGTTACAACAGCAACAACAACTGCTGTTACTACAGCAGCAGCAACAACAACATCCACTCCTACAACATCAACATTACAAGCAACTACCTACAACATTTAACGATATTGACGACAATTACAATAATATCAATAGCAACTTCGAGAGCCATGATGTTGGTGGTAACTTGAATGTCATTGGTCTGTTGAATGATTATGCACCAAAAACTGGAACAGTAAAATATAAAGATTTAGCTGGAAATATGAAAAAAGTACGTAAAACCCATGTGAATATTTATCTGTTTTTTTTTATAAAATAATTGTTGCGAACTTCATTTGCATAAATTATGCTAATGTTTCTGCTTCAACCTAATTGCTTTATTAATAGCCAAATTTATTTGACCTAATAAATTGCAGGGACCTATAGGGTGGGCTGCTGTGAGGACCAATCATGTTGATGGGATTTTACCAAACACTAAAAATAGCAGCCCTATGTACGACGACGATATCGACGATGATGAATGCAACAATCTTTATGAATATATAAGCAATAATTATCATGAAAATCATCTTAATTTATTTCCTGGTCATCATCATCATCATCGTCGTCGCCAGTTGTTTAAGGGTGCTGGAAGTGATGACGAAAGTGATGATGGCATTGATGAGGACGGCTTCAAAGCTAAACATCTGCCTAGGTCACAATCTTTGAAGAGGAGGATGATGAAGAAGAAGATGAAAGGAGTTGTGCGGCCCAGATCTCAATTCATTCCCACTGCAACAGATTACACTAGGTTGGAAGTTCCAGTCAAGTCTACATATAGAGAAGCCGGGATTTCCCAGAAAATGAGAAATATGAATTTATATGAAAGAAATGTAAATTTGAACGAAAGTTTCAGAAACCAGCACATCACTGCGGGGCCTGTGTTAGATTTTTATGACATACCAAGGTTGCAACATCATCGTGATGAAACGAATTTTACAAATGAGGTTGTAGCAAGCAGTATGAGCAGAGATGTTTATGGATTAGTGGATGGAGAGAGTGATAAAAAAGAGTGCGCAAGAATAAAAATTCTCGAGCAAAAAAACTTGGACTCAAACAATTATAAGGCCAGTCTAGATGATAACAATCAAATAAAACATGGAAACACCAAAAAGATTCGAAATAGCAAGAACGATACTAACGACCACAAACAGTTGAGAACATTCTTGTCTGATGAGTCAATATCAACAATAGTTGGATCGAGTAGTAACAGGAAAAAAATAGCAAATAGAAGATCCGTCTACGATTTCTGGGGACCAAGAAGGCAGAGCACGTTTAAACATGGACTTAATAACAATCACGTCTACTGTGGCAATGAAAAAAGCTATGATTCGAAAATTCGTGAAAATGACGATGACAACAATAACGTTAACGACAATAATGATGATAAAAATAATGATAACACTAACAATAAGAGAAGTACACGCGTTAACACCATCAGTCAATTGAAATCTAGTCCTTCAAAAAAATGGTCGAGCGGTAATGATGGTAGTCGTGACAGTGATGGAAGCGGCGATGATGGTAATGATAATGATGATAGTAATGTCCTCAATAATGACGGAAATGATGAGAAAGCCGATGATGTTGGTGCTATAAATTGTAATAATAATAATAATGGCCTCGATGATGATGACGACCATGATACAAATAGTGGTAGCAAATGTCACAGTAAAAAGTTAAATAACACGATTTTTAGCAGTAATAGTAATAAAAGTATCAAACTCACTGATGCCAGTACCAATATTTACAATAATAAAAGCAGAATAAATGATAGTAAGAGTAATGATAATAGTCATAGCAGTATTGGCAAATCAACGTCTGTTTAATCTTGAGACAGTATTTTTAGTAACAGAGTAAATATGGGTTTTTCCATGACTCACATTCTTTCTACTTATGTTTTTATCTTTATATATACATATAATCATTGAATTTTTGAGTTATATTTCAATGCCTTCTAATGTGTCTTTAAGAAAACCTTGGCATGTATATATAGATATATATACATATATAACCTTGTTTTTTTAAGGTTTTCATTCGTTTTTATGTACGTACGAATTTATAAATTTATTTTATTTATTTATACGTGCTTGTATTTTAATATTTGTATCTCCATGTCTAATACTTAAAACATTCATGTATGTACGTACGTATGTACGTTTTGCTCATCGTGCCATAGTGTTGCCAACAATCATTCCCAGATTAAACTTCCATCTATGCCGTTGGTCTCTCGCACAGTCAGTTATTTTAAATCTCTATCCAGAATACAGAACCTCCGTATGTATGTATGGTATATGTATGATAAACACATATGCGCAACTTTGTATAACTTATTTATTGTGCCTTGTATCTGTAACACCCATGGACATATATATATACACACACGCAAAATAATATATATATACCTATATACTTAATATTGATTTGTGTTAACATATTTATACATTAATGTCTCATTTGTTATTTATTGAAGTTATTGATGGTGCGTTTTTTTCTAGATTGAACAATTTGTGCTAACAGAAATAATGACAAAATTTTTTAATTGTTTTCATGCATAAAAGTAAAGGCATACATTGTATATTTATATATATATATATATGAGTGTGTGTGTGTGTGTGTGTGTGTGTGTGTGTGTGTGTGTGTGTGTGTGTGTGTGATTTACTAGTCTGCATAAAACCTCCAGACACTAATCATCTCATCTTTGGACCCCACAGCCAATCTTTTGTCTTTTTCGTTAAAAGATAGAGAAGTAATGCTTTGATCATGATAAACAATTGTACCTAGATGTTTTAATGTGTTGGCCCCAAGTATTTTAAAAGTGGAATCCCATAATCCTACTGCAACAATTAAACCATCTTGCCTTAACCTTGTACATCCTATTCCCGTTCCTAATTCAGTTTTCTTGATTAGGGATATTGCTGTGGTACTGTTGTTATGTTCTGTACTATTACCTGGTGTCCATAGACATAAAACGCCATCTGCTGAGCCTGAGATTCCTTTGTTTGTTATTTCATTGTAATCTATGGTGGTTATTGTTTCATTGTGAAATTTTTCTTCCATGTTTCTGAACACAGGTGATCTTTCTAAATATGATGATGATGATGATGAAGATGATGCTAGAAATGAAGATGAGTTGAGTTTGCATAAAGCATCAGCATTCACAAACCAAATAATGATGGATCCATCTTCGTAGGCACCAAACACTTTAATGATATTAACTTTTTGGAATTCAGATGCTGCTGTAGATATTACTGCTGTAGTTGATGAACAAGAATCAGTAAGCATTCCATACTTTTTGTCTGACTTTGAGGGACTTAAGCTGAAATTTAATTTAGTAAATTTGTAATATGTATCTAAACTGGATAAATCCTCTTCATTTGGCACAAAGAGTAGTGAGTGTTCATCACTAAATGATAGTCTGGAAAATGTGGTTGACTGACATCTGACTGTTGCTGAAAAGAAATATTTGGAATGTTTATTAGGCTTTGAAACTTTATATAACAATAATATTAAGAATGCTATTGTATTATAATTATAATATATAATTAAGTTTTAAAAGATAAAATTATTTTCTTTAACTTTAATTTTTATTTCTTCTATCATGCTATGCTATGTCATATGTCTTCTATGGCCTATGCTTATGGCTATAAGCCTGACATACCTGTTTCAGTCCAAGTTTCATAGAAATAGTTGACTATCCACTTCTTAACAAGACCATCTCTACTTTGAGAAAGGAGGCCCATGTATTCTTCTGTCAACTCGAACGCACGAACGAACAACACGGGTTGCGATTGGTGTGCATGCAGATTTTCAAACATTATTCGTCTGGTTTTTAAACTCCAAATTAGGATGGCCCCATTTTGTTGGCCGGTCACTAATAATTTTTGTCGTCGGTCGTTAGCGAAGTCAAAACTAGTTGCCGGAGAATTAAAACCAAGCAGGAGAAAATCCGGGGAAACTTCCATTTTTTCAAGTTTTGAATAAATTGAATCAAGAGTTAATTAAATTTATTTATTTTAATTTAAAAAAATATAAAAGTTAAATGTGAATTCCACTACTTAAATATTGCTAAACGTTAATCTAAGTTTAGAATTAAATTTACATTAAATTTGTGCCTAACCCTAAACTTGCACTTAAGTTAACTTTTAGAGTAATATTATTAAAGGGACTGAGTGTTGCAAATTTGAATTAATTGAGTGTAGGACGGTAATCCTAACAATCGCTATTTAATTCTATTTAATTAGGTTTATGAGTCTGTTTTAATGTTTAAAATCATTAATTTTGAATAAAGATGCAAATGTACAAATGTTAAATAACCACAACCTACACAAAATAAATCTAAATAAAAATGATGGTGATCTGAAATGGTGTTCTGATGATCTGATCTGACTGAATTAGTGAAATATGATGGCCGATTTCGGAGCAGACGAAAACTTAAATGACGGAAACGATATTGAATGGGTTAATAAATTATTAACACGCAGAGTTTTGAGAATTTGTGCGCTCCTGAGCCTAATTTCTGTGAGCATGAACACACCAAAAACCTTTGATTCTCACCCTGTTCTAATCTATGTCACGTTCGTCATTGATCTCTTTGTAACATTTTGTTTCACTGCTGAAATGATTGCCAAGATGCACATCAGAGGAATATTTAAAGTAAGATATAAATATTTAATTTATTTTATATCAATTTAAAGTACTTCAAACCATTTTTTAGTCATTTTTTATAGGTTTTCAACTTTTTTTTACAAATTTTTAAAAAATATATAGGGAGAGTTGGCCTACCTAAGAGACAGATGGTCTCAGTTTGACGGAATTATGGTGCTCTGCTTGTGGGTGTCAGTCATGCTGCAAGTATGCATTCCTGTTGAGGATTGGTTGAACTAATTGACTGATGCATTGATCTAATCTTACGATTTGTTGCTCTTGTTTAGTGGTTGATTGATGTCATTTAAAAGATTGGCAGTCTGAAATTTTACTTTTATTGTTTTACAATATATACAAATTGATTTTTTTTAACTTGGAAGATGTTTGAAATATCAGAAGTGATAGATCGTTATTCTTATTGGTCGATTATTAGATCTCCACGTCCTCTCATACTTATCCGGGTTTTTAGAGTTTTTCTGAAATTTCAGCTGCCGAAGACAAGAATTGAATCAATTTTTAAGTATGTCATGATTATTATCAATCTATCAATAAGTCAGCCAACTGATCAATCAGTCAGCCAACAGATCAATCATTCAATCAACTGATCAATCATTCAACCAATCAATCAACTAACTAATAGATAAATCAATAAACAGACGATCAAGTCAACAAATCTACAACGTTACAATCTTTTTCTTGTTTTTTATGTCTTTGTATGGGATTCTCGGCGTTCAGTTCTTTGGTGAGATGAAGTATCATTGCGTTCGTAATGGTACAGATCCCAAGTTAGTTGATTGGTTGGGTAGTTGATTGGTTGGTTAGTTGATTGGTTGGTTGGGTTGGCTGGTTGATTGATTGATTATATACAATTTTATATTTATATTTGTCTGTAATTTCCAAATTAATTTTCAGAAACGTGTCGATAAGAGATCTGGCAATCCCCGACACGTATTGCTCGCCACACGACGACCTGACTCACCTCTGCCCTAAAGGTCAATATTTGAAAATTAGTAATGTAGAGAAGGATGGTATTGATAATAACAAAGCTGAAATGATGACGACAATGATGATGATGATTAAGACGATGATGATGATGATGACGACGCAGGTATGGTGTGTATGGAGTTAGAGTTGTCCAGTAGTCAGCAAGGATTCAATGGTTTTGATGAATTCGGTTAGTTCCATTGTTAAGTACAAACTTAAATACATGCACGCAAATATACTGACATACAAACAGACGTACATACATCTTGACATAAATACATTCATACATCCTTACAATTATACAAATAGACACACCTACAAATATACGAACATACAAACAAACAACCAAACAAAAAACAACTAAACATACAAACAGCAACAAGCTTCTTCACAGTATATGAGGCAGCATCTCAAGAAGGATGGGTTTTTATAATGTATCGAGCTCTCGACAGCTTGCCGAAATGGCGGGGTTATATCTTTTTCATATCTATGATCTTTTTTCTTGCTTGGCTTGTAAAGGTTAGTTGGTTGATTAGTTTGTTGATTGATTGATTGATTGATTGGTTGATTGACAATCGTCGTTAAAATATACTACAATTAAATTAAAACTTTGAAGCCATCCACAAGTAGTTATCGTTCATCTATTCAAACAATCACGGAGTGCCTTTCATCTATCCAACCAATTACAACTCATCATTCATCTGTTTGTTGATCAATCACAACTCATCATTCATCAAGCACTGATTGACCAATCACACCTCGACGTTAATTTTTTCAACCAATGACAGAACGTCTTCATAGCCGTGATCATTGAGACGTTCGCAGAAATAAGGGTTCACTTTCAGCAGATGTGGGGCTCAAGAACTTGCACAACTGATTCTGATTCGTCACAGGTGCTCATGAATACTAATTTGATGACCTCATTAATATTAATTTGATAAATATTTAACCTCATAGACACTAATTATATAAAATTGTATCAAAAATATTATTTAATTATTCCGTAAGTTTTATTAATTTAATCGTGGGTAAAAATTGAATTTTCAATTTCGATTTTATTTCTCGTCGTCGTTGTCACCATCATCACCATCATCATCCACCCACCCACAAAAGATCTTGATCTCGGACTTGGAGGGTTGGAAGATGGTGTCTGTGGATGAGACGAAATCTCGGAGCATCGTGCAGGCCGCCCTTCAGAAGGTCCTCAAGATGGCGCCCTTCCATATCTTGATAATGACTTTGGTCTTGATTAATGCCGTAACCATGGCGACCATGAACTTTGACCCTAGGAAACCGGAACCTAGAAAGAGGGCCAGCAATATGTATTATTATGCCGAGGTTTGTTGTGGGGTTGGGTGGTTAACTGGCTGGCTGGTGGTTGGTTGTGATGTGATGAGGACAATGACGATGATGATAATGATGATTATAATTATAGTATAGATCTTTAATTAACACACATATTTCACCTTTGTCTTACAGATCATGTTCACCTTGTTATTTGACCTTGAGGCCATTTTCAAGATCTGCTGTTTGGGATTGGCTGGCTATTTCAAAAGATCCGCCCACAAATTTGAGCTATTTTTAGCCATATGTACAACAATACACATACACCCCAAGTTCTATCATACCCAATTTACGTACTTTCAGGTGATTGGCTACTATTTTTAGCTGGACGTATTGAATGCTAATGTACTGATAATTAATTGGTTTAATGTTGGTTGTCATTGTCCGTCAGTCGTTTTGTCTAAGCGTGCATATCTTCATGTTCGCTGGCAATATTATAACTTTGTTGATTATATTATTCTAATGAATATTAATGTAATGGTCCTCATGAATATTTTAATTAGGTTTTGAGGGTTGTTCGTCTCGTTAAGGCCTCGCCTATGTTGGAAGATTTTTGTTTCAAGGTTCGAAACGTTCCATCGTCATCATCATCGTCATCATTAACATCATCATCATTAACATCATCATCATTAACGTCATCGTTATCATCATCATCATCATCATCATGACCAGATATTTGGTCCCGGCAAGAAGTTAGGCAGCCTGGTATTGTTTACCATGTGCCTGCTTGTCATCACGTCGTGCGTCAGCCTCCAGCTCTTCTGCTCCATCAAAGATTTCCAAAAGTTTGAGACTTTTCCACAGGTTGTGATGATGATGATAATGATGATGATGAAGATAATGATGATGATAATGATGAAGAAGAAGATAATGATGGTTGTGATGATGATCATGATGATGATTGTAATATGGGTAATGGTGATGGTGACTGCATCAGTGGTCACGATTTGGTTTGATGATAATAATAATGTGATTGTATTTGTGGCGATAATAACGACGCTAATGATGGTGAAAATGATGATGATGACGCTTATGATGATGATGGTGATGGTGGGATGGTGATGATGTTTTTGCACATGTAGGCTACCATGTCAATGTTCCAGATTCTGACGCAAAAAGGTTGTTCATTCGTTCGTTCGTTTGTTCATTTTTTATTTGAAAAACGCAAACTATATACAATGTTTGTATAAAAATGCAAATAAGTGATGGGCAAACAATATAGCGATGAAGAGGATGAAATTCTAATTGAATCGGTGCCACGAAATAATTTGTTTGTTTCGAGTTCTTTTCTTTGCAGTTCGTTCGTTCGTTCATTCGTCAGTTCGTTCATTGTTCGATCGTTTATTTATTGATCGTTTATTAATTGATTCGTTTGTTCATTCATTGATGCGTGTGTGAATGAAGGCTGGAACGAAGTGATGCACCTGACAATGTGGGAGACGGGGGAAAGGTTCGCCCCGCTTGTCGCCATCTACTTCATATTCTACCATCTCTTTGTCACCCTGGTTTGTTTGTTGAGTGAGTCAGTGAGTGAATACAATGAATGAATGAGTGAGTGAGCAAGTAGGTCAGTGAGTGAGTGAAAGAGTGCGTGTCCGAGTTAATGAATGAATGAATGCCCTGCTGGTTCTACCTAATTTATAGTCTGTTAACTAACTCTGTTCTCCTCGCCAACAAGATAGATCAACCTATAATGAGTGAATGAATGAATGAGTGAATGAATGAATGAATGAACAAACGTCAGATCGTGGTCAGTTTATTCGTGGCTGTCATCTTGGACAATTTGGAACTCGATGAAGATATCAAAAAATTAAAACAGGTGAAGATCATTATGATTCTCTCTCTCTATCTTTCTCTTCTATGTTTTTCTCTCTCTGTTTCTCTCTTTCTTCTGTTATTTTTCTGTTTGTCTATTTATTTCCCTCATAAATATACTATCTTTCTCACTTCACAGTTGAAGCTGAGAGAGCAAGTAGCAGAAACCCAGCAGAATCTTCCACTGAGATTAAGAATATTTGAGAAATTTCCGTGAGTTATTATTTTTGCAATGATTATTATTATTATTTATTTATTTTTATTTATTTATTTTTATTTATTTATTTATTTTTATTTATTTATTTTTATTTATTTATTTATTGTCAATCTTTCAGATGATAATAATTTGTTCACAGAAATCAGCCCCGAATGATAAAACTGACGCGCACATTTTCCGATTTTACACCGTCAAGAGTTAGGGAAAGTTTTTTGAGACAGTTTCTTGAACAAACCCAAGATATTGGTAATAGTATTTTTATTGTTGTTGTTGCTGTTGTTGTTGCTGTTGTTGTTGTTGTTGCTGTTGTCGTTGTTGTTGTCGTTGTTATTGTCTTTATTTTTGTTGTCGTCATTATTGTTGTTGTTGCTGATCATCATTACACAAAGAGAAACTCATCATTCACTGGCAGGCCAAACTTCAGCGCAGCAGCAACAGCAACAACACGCAAACAACAACAACAACAATTTTAATACAAATAACAACAACAACAGCAACAACATGAAGTACAACATCGAAATCAACGTTACATCCTTCGACAGTAATAACAACAAGTTCATAAGCGATGATGACGACGACGACGATGTGAATGACGTCATCGTCAACAACAACGACGATAATAATAATAATAATGAAAATATTAATAGTAATAATAATATTGACAATAGTAACAACAACAATAATAATAATAACATCGTAAATGATGACATTAAGATTGACAGAAAGAAGATGGCCGTTGATGAACTAATAAGGTTTATTATTGTTTATTATTATTATTATTTTTTATTATTATTATTGTTGTTTATTATTGTTATTATTTGGCAGGGACTCGACGAAACACAGGGTGATTGTTGAAGACGTTCCAAGTGGCGGTCTGGTCAAAACTCAGTCCCTCATATCGCAACAGCATCAAATTAGGATGGAAAACCGGAGGTTATGATGATGATAATGATGATGATGATGTGGATGATGATGGGAATAGGAGTGGTGGCGATGATGATGATGATGAAATTCGCAACGTCCGTTGTTAATTATCGCCAATTTTTAATAATTTTTTAAATCGTCATCATCGCCATCTGTATCATCATCATTATCATTGCCTCTATCGTTAATCATCATTATCATCACTTCCATAGTTATCAGTTATCATCATCATTATCAGGAGCATCCGTAGTCGTCCAGGGAGCATGCGCGCGAAAAGTCAGTACCACAAACTGAAAGAAAATGGCGACCTGTCTTCAAACGTAGCCAGCCTGTCCGTAACTTCCGGTATAACAACTTCCGGCATGGGCGGTACAACTATTTCCGCTTCCGCCGGATCTACTTCCGGTGCCGAACACAAGAGGGATGATAACGATATTAAGATCTTGCAGCAGAAAAGACACGAAGCTGAAGTTAAAAGGTTCGCTGACCTCACCATCGTTATCATCATCATCGTCGTCATCATCATCATCATCATCAGATCTCAACAGGAAGAAGACCTGAGAGAGAACCACCCATACTTCGACACGCCCCTCTTTGCTATTGGCCGAGATTCTAAATACCGCAAGATATGCACGATGATTGTTGTCGCTAGGTTGGTCAGTGAGTGAGAGAATGAGTGAGTGGAGGAGTGAAAGAGTGAGAGAGTGATTGAGCGATGATGACGACGACGACGCTGTTGTTGAACTAATTACAGGTACAAGTACACTGGAGTCGACCCAATTAAAGGCAGAGAAGTTAAGAGTAAATATAAACAAATACAGTAAGTCCGCCATTTTCACCCCCATCTACGTCATCATTGTCGTCATCATCGTCGTCATCATTCTAGAAAGCTCCTGGGTTTAATGACCTACTTAGATTGGACGATGATCATCATCACTACCGTTTCGTGCATATCAATGATGAATGAAACTTCACTTCAGCGTGTCAACAATACGCTAGCGTTACAGGTGCCTGTGTGTGTCTATGTGTGTGTGTGTGTGTCTGTGTGTGCGTGTATCTGTGTATGTGTGTTTGTGGGTGTGTCTACAAATGAACTAATGGAAAGATGGATAGACAGTTAAATGGAAGGATGGATGGATTGTTGGATGGAGGGACGACTGGACAGATGTCAGATGGATTCATGTCTGTGACGCGTAACGATTATTTGTTATCTTTCGTTACCACTTCCGTTCTAGATAGCAGAATACGTATTTGTCGTCTGCATGAGCATAGAGATGCTGTTGAAAGTCTCGGCGGATGGACTACTTTTTACTCCGCACGCCGTAGTACGCGACATTGGCGGAGTTCTTGACCTATTTATCTACGCTGTCAGTCTTTTTGGCTTTAAAAATTAATTACTGTGACGTCATTTTTTGGCGTTTTTTTGATTTAAAATATCGTTTGTTAGTACTTGAATCGTTTATTGAATCTGGGTCGGATCAATTATATGTAATAAGGTCATATTCATACGTTATATGGTCGTGTTAATGAGGTCAGTTATATTTAATGCGACCAATTACATCAATTAAGGTCAGTTTGATCTTTTTGTGCTGGATGCCTGAGACGGTACCGCAGAATTCCGGGGCCCAGGTGCTGATGATACTGAGGTGTCTGAGGCCTCTGAGGATCTTCATCCTGGTGCCCCACATGAGGTGCGTCGTCTATGAGCTCTGCAGAGGCTTCAAGGAGATTCTACTGGTCAGTTGGTTGACTGATTGAATTAATGAATAAATGAGTGAATGAATGAATGAATGAGTGAAAAAATGAATGTATGAATGAATGAAGGAAGGAAGGAATGAACGAATGAATGAATGAATAAACTATCGAACAAACAGGTTTCCATCTTGTTGATATTACTGATGTTTGTTTTCGCATCGTACGGAGTTCAGTTGTTCGGAGGCAAGCTAGCTAGATGCAATGACCCACAAATTAAAAATCAAGTTGGTCATTTACTCATTCATTCATTCATTCATTCATCCATCCATTCATTCGTTCGTTGTTATTTATCCTATATCCATTGGTACATTTCGGATTTATTTGTTCTTTTTTATTCTTCCTCTTCGTTCTTTTATCACTTGAATATAGTTCAACCAATAAAACACTGCATCTGTCAACCAACCAATCAACTAACTTTTTAATCAACCAACCAACCAATCAATCATTTAATCAACCTACCCCTCAATCAAGTCATCCTGCACTGGCATATACTTGAGGCCGCTCTTCATCACCAAATTGAAAATCGGGCCAAAGGTCACTGACCCGACCTACCCTAAAATATTTGTCCCCAGAGTCTGGTAAATAATGATAATGATGATGACGACGACGATGATGATGATGATGACGACGATGACGATGATGTGTTTAAACAAATAAATTTCTCTAAATCATTTTTTGAAATCCATTTATGGCGCGTTTTTTCATCATACTTTGCCTTTTCGTCAACAACTTCATCATCATCGTCATCCTCACGATCATCATCATCGTCATTATCATGAACACCATCACCACCATCATTGTCATCGTCATCATCATGACCAGGGCGAACCCCAGAAACTTCAACTTCGACAACATCGGAAACGCCATGCAGACGTTATTTGAGGTCCTCTCCTTAGAAGGCTGGCTCGAAGTTAGGGATGTCATTATCGAGAGAGTTGGGCCCGTTAGTCTCTCAATATTTTTTCACTTTTAAGTTAGGGATGGGCTAAAGGGGTCCAGGGATGTGCTAATTAAATAGGTTGAGAGAGGTACTAGATAGAGCGGCCCAGCGATGAGCTAGTTTGAACTGTTCATGTTATAGGGTCGAGGGGTGCGTTGTTGTTTCGGGCTGTACTAAGAATATTTAGGGTTGTGCTTGTGTTTAGGGATGTGTTTGAGTCGTCTATAAACGATTAGACTGATAACAACAACGACAACAACAACAACAACAACAACGATAATTCATCATTTTTCAATTCATTCAGCATCATGCAGTGTTCATCCATTTATTCGTTTTCATTGGCTGCATGGTCGGGCTGACGTTGTTTGTGGGCGTAGTCATAGCCAATTACATGGAGAATAAGGTCTCTTTCATGAATATTAATTAAGGATAACAATTAATGAATATTAATTAGGGGTAACTATTATACATGTTATTAATTTCTGATTTATTTCATGACGTTTTCAATCATTTATTTGCCTTACTGCAGCTGTGTTTATTCATGCATTTATTTTATTCTTTCATTTCTTGATTGATTCGAACATTTTTTAATCCATTCATAAATTTCTAGGGCACAGCCCTGCTAACAGTCGATCAAAAGAGATGGCAAGATCTGATGGGGCGAATAAAATTAGCCCAGCCCTTGCACATCCCTCCTAGACCAGGCTAGGCCGCGCATAAATTAATAATCTTATTGCTATCATCGCCATTGGCGTTCTCATCTCGTCAGGGTCGCCGTATTATCTGTCATGAACCGCAATTATTATTATTATTATGATTATTATTATGATTATTATTATAATTATTATAATTATTATTATTGTTATTATTATTATTAATTTGATTTTAGATTTTTGAGGTTCAATAATAAAAAGTGTTTCCATTATTATTATTAATATTATTATTATTATTATTATCATTATTATTATTATTACTACTAATATTCAGAGCAGAGTAAATTAAGGACTCTGATGTTTGACATAACGCAAAATATTATCTTCAAGAGGTTCGTTGCCGCACTCATTCTCGTCAACTGTGGTCTCTTGGCCGTGCCCGTAAGTATTATTACTATTATTTTTATTATTATTATTATTATCATTATTCTTATTATTGTTGTTATTGCCTAATAGTGGCTCACCACGGAAAAACATACGTACTACCTGGCCAACCTATCTGTAGTCTTCACACTGATGTTTCTCTTGGAGGTTCGTCGATTGCTATTTTTATTATTATTATTATTATTATCATAGTTGTTGTGGTTGTTGTTTATTATTGTCAGGTAATCATGAAGAACATAGCTCTAAGTCCGGCTGGCTACTGGCAAAGTAGGAGGAATTGTTTCGACATGTTTGTGACCTTTCTGGGGGTCGTTTGGATAGTTCTCCACTTCTCATTGGACGGGGTTATAATGACGTCATGATGACGTAACGATAGTGTCAATGTTGATGATGATGGTGGTGGTCGTTATGAAGATAAGAATGATGGTGACGATGACGATTGTAATGAGGCTTTAATAGACAGTATATTAATGACGATGATGAAGATGGTGATGACGATGAAGATGATGATGATGAACCCGCAGAATAATACAAGTAACCACTTTGGCTACTTTGTCATCATTCTCCGCTTCTTCACCGTTACTGGCAAGCATGTGAGTCTTCTTCTTCTTCTCCTTCTTTTTCATCTTCTTCTTTTTCATCTTCTTCTTCTTATTATTATTATTATCATCATCGTCGTCGTCGTCGTTGTAGGCAACCTTAAAGATGTTGATGTTGACCGTGGTGGTTTCAATGTTCAAGAGTTTCTTCATCATACTTGGGCTCTTCCTCCTGATGCTCTTCTACGCCCTGACCGGTGTCATCCTGTTTGGCTGCGTCAAGTACGGTGAGGACCTGGGGAGGTACGTACGTCGCCATTATCACCATAACCACCACCATCATCACCATAACCACCACCATCATCACCATAACCACCACCACCATCATTATCGTCGTCGTCATCATCGTCGTCGTTATAATCTTCTAATTAGGCAAGCGAATTTCAAATCAGCCTGGAACGCTGTGGTCCTACTATTCAGAATCGTAACAGGGGAGGATTGGAATAAGATAATGCACGACTGCATGGTTGTTTTTATTTATTATTGTTATTATCAATACTATTATTATTTATAGCTGTTATTATTGCTATTATAATAATAATTATTATTATTTTGTTGTTGTTGTTGTTTTGCATTCCAGGTAGCTCCGCCATTTTGTACAAGGGGAAAAAATTATTGGGAAACTGATTGCGGTAACTACCGAGCGGCCCTGGTCTATTTCTGTACATTTTACGTCATCATCACGTATATAGCGCTTAATTTATTAGTGGGTGCGTTTCACAATAAACTTTGTTGCTCAGATATTTCGATCGAATCTGTCGAATTTTATGATATTTCAACTTTTTTTTTATATTTTTAAACATTATTCTTCTTGATCATCATCACAATCACTATCTTCATCAATATCATAATCATCATCACCACCATCATCATCACCATCAACCAGCAATCATCATGGAAAACTTTTCCCTATTTTACTCGAATGAAGAGGATGCGCTCTTGAGCTACAGCGATATTAGACAGTTCCAGGTCACGTGGAATATGGTGGACGATAATAAGAGAAACGCTCATGTTAGTTGTTCTTTGTTTTTTTTACTACAACTATGCCTATCATTACTCTTACTACTACTGCTACTCCTACTTTTTTTTACTGTTACTGCAAAGCCAGAACTGCAACTAAATAATAACAACTCAGGGCGTGATATCAGTTCGTAGGGCAAAACTTCTGCTCCATCTTTTGAAGGGGCGTTTGGAGGTGGACCTCGAGAAAGATCGTCTGCTCTTCAAACACATGTGCTACGAGATTGAGAGGTTGAGGAATGGTGAGGACGTGACCTTTCATGACGTTTTGAGGTCAGGGCGATTAGTTTTGTTTTTATTAAAAGTTAAAAAAAAGTTTTAACGGAATGTATTTTTTTCATTGAAACAGTTTTTCAAAATATTTGTAAGACTTTTTCAAAGAAAATTGAAATTTTATTCCTGTCTTTGTCGATAATATGTATTTGATTGCTTCATCTTCATCGTCACCACATTCAATTTTTGATAATCTCATCTTCCTCTTTGTCATTTTCAACATTCTGGCCACCCAACAGCATGCTGGCCTACAGATCAGTCGACATTCGCAAGAGTTTGCAGTTGGAAGATTTGCTGGTGAGAGAGGAGCTGGAGTATGCCATCGAAGAGGAGGTCGCCAAACAGACCATCAGGAACTGGCTCGATAAGTGTCTGAAGAGATTTAGAATGGTTGGTTGACTGATTGGTTGGTTGGTTGGCTGGCTGGCTGATAGATTGTCTCCAGACATACAAACATTGTCATTGCATAATCAACGTCATCTTCACGACCAACCAGAAAGAACATTCTAACCTAATTTCTAACCTGCGAGCGACGAACGCACCGTCATCGTCGTCGGCTTCATCGTCGTCACCAGCCGTTGCAACGGCTGCCACCAGTGAAATCGTCTGCCTCATCACCGAATCGACGGTTCCGACCATTACCGAGACGAAGGAAGATGGCGTCAGCAGTGACGTCATTTCAGGAGTCGCTCTGATTGGAGGAGGAGGTTTGACGGTTGGAGGAGCAAGACAGAGAAGAAAGATTGAGAGAAATACTAGCGCCCCACTGCCTGGAATGTTACAGGTTGGTTTATTTGAATGTCGAGTTCTGATTGGCTGGCTGTTTATCATTTACAGTGCTTCTCAACTATCAGAAACCAATTGAATTGAAAATTATTTTAGGCGCCATGTTCTCGAAAGTATTTGGCGCCATCGTTGAGTGACGGAGCGAGCAGGCAAGATAAGCTGGCGCCAATTGTGATGGGAGTCAAAAAAAGAAGTCCTAGGATGCATACAAGTACGTCATTTTCAATTTTTATCTTACATCTTTTTAACTCAACCACACGGTGACTCAGTTGTCAGAGCCCTTGGATGCTACGTTGCAGAGACCTGGTTCGAACGCTAAGAAGATCTCATACAATTTATGTCATAAATACTAGTATTCTTATTACAAATATTTTTATTTTAATTATGCGTACTACTGTCATCGTAATAAATTATATTACTTTAAAATTTTTATTAAATTTAAACGTCTGCTTCTAGGCAGCAAGAACCTTCCAAACCTTCTGGAAAGCGAAGAGATGACCATACTCAATTCAGAATCTTTTAATAACAATAATAATAATAACAACAATAACAACATTAACACTAGTAACAACGTCAATAATAATAATAATGATAATATTCATAATACCGACAATAGTAAGTCGCTGAATGCAAGCCCGGTCAATGATATCAACTACAATTTTCACGATAATTCTAACACTTATATCGGTCGTAATAATAATAATAATAACAATAATAATAATATGAGGAAGAATGTGAACGACGTACAAAACTGGTGGAAATCTATTAAAGAAAGAGGCAACAAGAATAATAATAATAAAAATAATAATAAGTTGAACAGCAAACTCAACAATAATAATAGTAATAATAATAAGCGAAATCCAGTCAATAATAAAATTAATAATAAAGTTTATGATAATTATAATGATGATGATGATCACGAAGGAGAAGATGATGACGATAGCTGGGGATATGCTGATGATGATGACGAAGATTACTTGAAATTTGATTGATTGAGTGGTGAATTGAATGAATGAATGAATGAATAATTGAGTGATTGAATGAATGAAAGATTGATTGAATTACATTATTGAGTTATTGGCTAGGTAGTTAGTTACCCATGCATAAACAGCTTGTCTTTGCTATTTATATTTATTATTACTAATGCTTATAAGCTCTATATTAATTATATGTATATGTGTATATATATATATATATATATATATATATATTTATATATGTATTTATTTATTTATATGTACTAGTCAAAATGTAATTTATCACAAAATTTTTTATTTTTATTGAAATTAAAACCAAGAATATTAAACATAATAAACAGTAATAGAAATGTTTGAACTGAGAAACACTTCTTTTAGCACTTTTGAAACATCATTCCAATTTAGTTTGTCCAAACCACAGCCAATTTTTGGCATTGCCAGTTTGGTAACATTATTTTTTAGGCAGTGGTCTCTAAGAGCTAGGAGGCATGATTTTAACTTGGTGTACGTGGGTTTTTGGTAATACTTCTGCTTAGTGATTAGGTAGTAGATGAAAATATTGTTTCTATTGTTGGTCCTTGATAATATCGCCATTTCACCAACTTTACAATCTAAAAATGATGTAGAAATTGTTAACAAACTAAAATTTCATTTTTGCTTGTAAATGACAGTAAATTAACAATTTAATTATTATACTTTGCTTCTTTAATTCGTCGACCCCGCCAAACTTTGTTTTGAACAGCAGCGCAATGCCTCTGCCCATGCGCAAATCTTCACTAACACAATGCACTAAACTACAATCTCCAGGGCAGGAGAACAAGTCTCCCTTCACTTCTTCGTATTTCAAATTCTAAGATTTTAAAAAATATTCAATTATTCATGTGAAGTACGTCGGTCAATGAGTGAATTATTATAAATTAGTGGGTTAGCTTAGTAAACTTTAAAGATATTTTGTGAAAATTTCTTACGCCATTTAGAGTTTCAGTTTCCATTTTTTAAATAGAACGTATATTTTAAGCAAAGACTTTGTAATACAATAATATCTCCAATGCTATTATGATTGCTTAAGATTTTGATTCCATTTGTTTCACTGTCAAATATTTATTGCGTGATAAATAAAAATAATGCATGTATGTATAATTTTAGTTATATAATTTAAAAATGTATTTTTGACCGATATAAATGGCAAACGATTTTTATTAACTTTGGTCAAGTCTATTTTTACAAGTATTTGGTCAGGTTAAAAAAAGTTTTAGTTTCTTTGTCGTTTGATGTAAATATAAGCGATGATAGGCGCACTTCGAGAGATAGATTCGATATTCTCTCAATTTTAGTTTTGCGTGCCTTCTCGGATATCGTAAAGTCAAAGTCAGTTTAAAAAATGAACGCTCCGCCAACTTTTGAATCATTTCTACTTTTTGATGGCGATAAAAAGTTAGTTTGCACATTATTTTTAAAATTTAAAACTTGTAAATTTAACACAAAACAAAACCCTTTCTTACATTTTTAGTTTTACTAATTATCATTTTTATTAAAACCTTAAAAATATAATTATGTAAATTTTTAATTTCGCCCTGTGTTTGATGTTTTTCAATAAACGTAACTTAAATTTTTTTCAACAAGGGTAACCATTGAAAAAGACACCAAGGTTCCTAATGCCAGCATATTTACCATTTTAAAAGAAGACCATACTCTGGGCAATCTACTCAAAAAGTAAGTACTTTTTAAATCGAAATTGAAATAAAAATTAATTAATAAATTGAAATATAATAATTTTTAAATTTTATTTCTGTAAAATAATTTTGTTATTCAAGTAATAAGTTAAAATTCAAGTTATAAGTTATATTTTTACTTTTTAAATAATTTTTCCATCTCTTTTCCAGTCAACTATTGAAAGATCCACATGTTCTATTCGCCGGCTATAAAATTCCACATCCTTTGGAGCATAAATTCGTGTTGAGAATTCAAACGACGTCAGAGTACAGTCCTCAGGAGGCTTTCACTAATGCCATCACTGATCTGATTAGTGAAATATCACTATTGGAGGAAAGATTCTCAGTAAGCAAAATAGTATTTTTCAAAAGTTTAAATTTAGAAAATTTATGCAAAAATAGATAAATTGTTGTAAAAGTGATTGAACATTAGGTAAAAATTATAATTTCAAACTGAAATTTATTTTGAATTATTTCATTTAAAACAGGAGGCAATTAGGGAAAGACAAGAAAGGGATTAATAATTGTCGTCATGTAAATATTTGAGTTTGAAGAGACATTCTTATTTTTTTAATTTTGTGATATTTTTTATGTAATGTGTTCTTATTTTTCTGAAGACTGATTAAAATGAAACTATGGCAATTAGAGTGATTCAATTTTTTTTAAAGTATTGAATTTGAAGCGAGATTTTTGATTCAAGTGATTGAAATAACAAAATTTAAAAAATTTTCATCAAACAAAACGAAAAATAAAAGCTTTCAAATATTATTTGCATTAGTTATTAACTAGATAGTAGTAAGCGTAATAGAGTCCCATAGATGCAAACATGCCATTATCAAAAGATTATACATCCTTGTAAACAGCAATCACTAATTTGATTCAGTCTAACACATAAAGGAACCGATAACTAAATTTGCAGGAGTTAATTAAACATCTGAACAAAATGGTATGGTAAAAACGTTAAATACTAAAAATGAATTTGTGCTGTCTGGATTCCATATCTATAACCGTAACGCAAAGGAAAGCACATAAAGATCATAAATTAATAGCCAAATGGCTTATGTCCCAAAAGCTAAGGGCCCATTAAAAAATATCTAAAGGTTTAAAAAATCAGAAAAGGCTATTTGAACATCAAGCTAAACTAAAGAAGCAAAAATTACTTCTGTGCTATGCAATTTATAAGTTAAAAATTATATTAAAACGTTTGCATGATTTTGATCACTGAGTATATTCAACAAACTTTGTAGTACAAAGCCGTACCACTATATCAGCGCAACATTAATTTAAACGTTCTTCACGATGATAATAACCCGCAAGCGACACAGCACCAATCTAAACGTATATATGGCTTATAAGAGATTGCACACATACACTGTTAATACATCAATCTAAGTATACTGAATCATAGAACCATAGATATGTTGATTAACATTAGTCCAAATAAGACTGATACTCATTTTAAGAAACCCCTCCCATTCCATTTCCGCCAATAAGATTACATCGACATCAATCTAATCTAGACATACTGAATGAACCACTGCTGATTAGTATCACCATTGTGGGGGTAGGTGATAATTTGAGCACACTCTTTTTTACTTGCTCCTCTAATATCGACGCACTCCCCAATACCATTTAGGATTCTCGATCCGTCCAATCTGAATCTTTGGCTGGCCCCTCCAGTGAAACGCACCATTTTAAGTTGCACAGCTTTACCTGTCGTTAATTTGGTAGGAGTTAAATTGGAGAAATATGACTTTGCATTGTATTTTAACAATTGAAAACATTAAAAAAAGGCACAATTGCAGCCAACAACAGCAACACAACAACACCACAGACCAGCAGCACAGGGTACAAAATCATTGAGAGCCGATCGTATCAGACCGTCCTCGTCGAAGTACCACAGCTGATTGTTTTGTTTCGGAACTTGCTTGGGGTAGGAGATGACTAAGGCACCTTCGTTGGCATTAGCTCCACTGATATCCATTACAAAACCATTCAGTCTACTCACTATGTAGAATAATTTTCTGAATGGGAAGCAAAAAGCAAAGAGAGTGATAGAGAGAGAGAGAGAGAGAGAGAGATGTATTTAATGAAAATGATGTTTGATTTCATCTTTCAAAAATACACAGACAATGAAACTGAAGATAAGCAACTACAACCACTAAAAATATTTAAAAAAAACAAAAATAACTAACAAATAAAAATGAATTCAAACAAACTTTTGAGGAGGATCAGGTTTGGAAGGTATCGGTTGGGGTGGAGGTCCTGATAGTGGGGCAAGAACAGGATCCCTAGGGTAAAAAGGTTCAAACATTTGCTCAATGGATCCAAAAGTATATTTCCTGGCTGTTAATGCCACTCCAGCATCAGCGTATCCTATTTAAATTAAGTTTATTTTTAACTGGTGTTTATATGACAACATAAAAATGGTGAAAATATTTGCATTGATTGAATAAATAATGCTGATATTAGCTTATATACAAAAATATAATGTTGAATCCAAATTTAAGAAATTGAAAAAATATGTTGATTAGGATGAAGTAACAACCTTTGAGTTGAAAAACTAATTCAGGATTTGTACGACTTCTTATGACTTCTCCTACGCATTCCCATAGCTGGTTCTTGTTATTAGGATCGTGCTTCGAGACAATCAATGCATCATCTACATTTGGGAAATATCAGAAAACTTTTTCAATTTTTTATTTAACTCATGTTCTTTTGTTAATGAGTTCAGTGAATTTAAAATTACCATTATTTATCTGTTCACAACATAGATAATTAATAATTCATACAAAACTGACCATAAAGTTCTATGCACATTTGGCTACTTTTATTCCTAATAGTTCCAGTAGAGTAATCAGAGTACCACAGATGGTTTTCCTTTTTAGTATCCCCAGACAACCATTCTATAACAACGGCATTCCTATCTTCTGCTACCACCACCGCCATTTTATTTGCTTTTGCAATAATGAGATGGCAGTAGTTCACTAAAATTAAAATAATTTATTTCTTTTATTAATTATATTTAATGTTTAATTTATTAATTATTAAAAAAATTCCTAATTAATTTGTAATCCCAAGATCCTAAATCCCAAATTCAAATTGGCGTAACTGTTCATAATATAAAAAAATTTTCACTTGGTTGAGTGCCTGGTGAAGGATAAGTGACATCAGCTGGAGGGGGAGGGGCACTGCCGCCATAATTAGGAAAGTTAGGCTGATGCTGTCCTTCAGGTAGGACGTAGCTATGTGCCTAATAAGATTAATAGATTAAAATATTTATTTAATTAATTCATTTCCCACGCCAGATGATTTGAAACCAAATTTTAATAAAATTCATAAATTTTTTAATTTTAACTTGACGAATATAAACAAGTGAACGTAAAATGAAATAAACATGACATAAAATTAAAATAAAGCAAAAAATTAAATATAGAAACAAAATATAAAATAAATAAAAAATAGTTTAAGCTGTTTTAAAAATTTTAAATGTAAAAACTTTTTACAGGGTCTGCCATCTTTACTTTTTAAAAAACTTTTATAGATTAAAAGTAAACAGGACTAAAATAAAAGCTTTACATTACATTGTAGTGAAACAGTAAAGTGCCTGGCGATGCTATAACAGAGCCCGGATTCAACTACAGAATAATCCAGCCAACAGTATGCAATGTGTGTCATTCACTGTGTATTTCTTAATAACTGATGCCTTTTAAAAATATTAAAGTAAGATTTATAATAAATAAATTATACCGTAAAAATGAAAAAAGTAAATCTTAGCTGGCGATGGTGGTTAAGATAATAAGAATAATAATCTGATTGACAATATAAATAATATAATTAATGATGAAAATAATACAAGGTAATAATAATGGTAATGATAATTGTATCATTGAAATTCAACTTTGGTTTGCATCAAATTTCAGAAAATTCGACGCATAATTTCATCAAAAAGATTAAAAATTATGAAAAAAAATTTATTTAACTAACTCAGACTATAAAAAATTATTGGGTTTAAGGCTTTATTTGAATGAAGAGTAGACAGGACACGTCTATCCATCATTCTAACGAAAAATATCAAATTTCAGGTGAGAGAGAGAGAGAGAGAGAGAGAGAGAGAGAGAGAGAGAAAGGAATGAACGAAAGATGGAGAGATGAAGAGAAGGAAGAAAAATAAAAAAAAGAATTAATGTGATAGTGGGCGTTGATAAAAAAAAATGGAAGTCAGAGAAAATGAGAGAAAGAAAGAAAGAAAGAGAGAGAGAGAGAAAGAGAGAAAGAGTGAAAGTAAAATAATAAGTAAATGGAAGGAAGAACAATTGAAAAGAAGAAAAATTAGAAAGATAAATTGAATGAATGAAACGCAAACTTCAGACTTTTTTCATCAAAGAAACAGTAAGACTTAGAAACAGAAAGAGAGAGAGGAATAAAAAAAAGAGAGACATGAAGTGAGAGAGAGAGAGAGAAAGAGAGGGGAAGAGGAAAAGGTATATATAGCCTAGAAAAAAATTGGAATTAGAAAACATACTCAATTTCCATGAGTCTTAATGTGTAATAAAATACCTCTTAGGCAACTATCTGTCATGTTATGTCATATTTGTTTTTAATGTATGTGTATTTTTGTGTATACATGTATTCTCTCTCTCTCTCTTTCTCTCTCTCTCTCTCTCCTCTCTCTCTCTCTATCTATCTATCTATCAATCTTTCTCTCTATGTATACGTATATGTATACGTTTAGCGAAAATCCCTGGTGAAAATATGAAAATAATGATGGCAAAAGAACGATAATTATGAAGATGATGATGACCGCATCATTATTTTTTGATGATATCGTTGTTGCTGATGTTGCTGCTCATTAGGATGTTGCTGCTGTTGTCGATGGTTAAATTATGGTTAGAGAAGAAGAAGATGGGGATGAAGAACAGAAAGAAGAAGAAGAAGATGATAAAGAAAAAGGTGATAAAGAAAAAGATGATGATAAAGAGGAGGATGATGATTACTAAGAGAAGACCAAAAAAAATTTTTTCAAATGTCACTCACCACGTTACACGTCTTACGTGTTTCAAACGCACATGTACAACATGCAACGCAAAATGAATAAAAAAAATGATAAGTCTGTATGTAGATAAAATGTACACACACACCAACACACGTACACACATTCACACATACACACACACACACACACACACACACATGTATCCTTATTCTACAATTACTTACAGGCACGTATGTTTGCACACACATATGCACTTGCACACACTAACACCTTCCTAAAAAATTCAAAGCTGACTGTTTAAATATGCTGCAAATATCGATCAATCAAGAGTTGTATGGCGCTGTTTTCCTTGTTAAGTTTAACCATTTCTTAATTAGTCTTTGGAAATTATGTGTGTATACGTGTATATAGTATGTGTGTGTGGGCATTTTGATTGGCCCCAGTCCTAAAGTTAGTGATGAACTGTCAGTGAAGAGGGCAGACTGTACCGACTGAATAATTTAAAACGACGAAATCGAAAAAATAATAATCAACCTGAAGCATTGCACAAATTTTACTCACTATTAGCACGCTATGATGGTTGGTGTTTCTCTCTCTCTCTCTCTCTCTTCTCTCTCTCTCTCTCTCTCTCTCTGTTTATCTCTCCCTCCCTCTCTTTTTCTCATTCTCTTCTTCCAGAAACATCCTTCGATGTTGAAAGGATATGGTTGAAAATTTTCTCTTTAAAATTTGGAATCAATAAACGCTTGTGCACGTGCTTGGTCGGTTGGTCGGTGTCGTTTTTCACCTTGAGGGTTTTTTTTTCACTTTAACATTTCTCTCATTTTTATACACACTCTCTCTTTCTCTCTCTCTCTTTTTCTCTCTCTCTCTTTCTTTCTCTCTCTCTCTCTCTCTTCTTGTGTGTGTTCTCTTTCTTTTTCTCTTTCATTGGAATTTTTCAACTTTTTTATACTTTCGCTTCAAATTATTTTCTAAATTACCGTCTCCCTTTCGATTTCCGTTCTCCAATCACTTCATCCTCTTTGCATCTTTCTTTCTCTCACTCTCTCTCTCTCTCTTTCTCTCTCTCTCTCTCTCTCTGTTTGTCTCACATCTTACCGTTTTAGACAGACACACACAGAGACACACACAGAGAAACACACACACACACACACACACACACCTGTAACTTGTAAATAAAAAGCAGAGCAGTGCAGAGATAGAGGCCTGCGAAGATATCGAATGTATAAAAAGCTGAATGGACAAGTGAATCATACGGATTTTTAGAATCATACGGATAATAATAATAATAACAATAATAATAATAATTATTATAGTAATGATAATAATAATAATAATTGTATTACTTTTAAATAATAGCTACAATGATATAAATTTTAATCATTTTGAAAGCAGCGTTAAGCGTGCCAACAACAGTGAAGAATGTACTTTAGAATTCAATTTTTAAGCTCTGTCAGTGTTGCTACGTTTCTCAACAACAGCAACAACAACAACAACGTCAACATCAACATATCGCCGACAACATTAACTGCAACAACATCAACAACAACGCAATCAACAACATCTACGTCATTCTCGTCAACGAAAACTTCACCAGCATGATTTCGGATTCTCATTCAAACAACAACATCAACAACAATTACATCAACAACAGCAGTTACATCAACATTCTCATCAACAACAACAACAACATCAACAACAACAACACCACCATCAACAATAGCATCAACAATCACATCAACAACATCACCAACACTATCAGCACGACAAAAAACATCAACACGACAGATGAGTATTACTACATAGAATACAGTAACCTCAACAACAACTTGACAATTGACGCCATCATAACATCAACTTACGTTCTACTCATACTCAGAGTAATCTCCTATCCCATAATAATACTGGGTATTCTGGGTAACACCTTATCCTTTTATGTTTACATCAAAACCCCGAGATTATGCAAGCAGACGAGCAGTGTCTATTTGGCTTTTTTGTCGGGTTTGCTGATGTTGTGGTGTTGTTGTTGTGTTGTCGTTGTGGTTGCGTTGTTGTGGTTGTTGTTGTTGTTGCTGTTACTTTTGTTGTTGTTGTTGGAGTTGTTAGGGTTGTTGTTGCTATGGTTGTTGTTGTTGCTGTTGTTGTTGCTGCTGTTGTTGTTGTGGTTGTTCTTGTGTGGTTTTGTGTTGCTGCGGTTGTGATATGCACTGTTATGTTGATACATTGAAATATACAGACAAACATGTAAAACAAGCATACATAGGCAACGAATACTGACACGAAGACACACTACGTACAAATAGGTGTTGACATAGCCTACCTTCTGATGTATTGTCTTGTTGGTTCAAGTAATTTTGGTTAGAGCGGGGTGAATTAAAAGAACGACTAAATGAATGAATGAATGAATGAATGAATGAATGAATGAATGAATGAATGAATGAATGAATGAATGAATGAATGAATGAATGAATGAATGAATGAATGAATGAATGAATGAATGAATGAATAAATAAATGAATAAATGAATAAATGAATGAATGATTGAATGAATGAAAGATTGAATGAATTAATGAATGACTGAAATAGTATAAAACACCTTATTAAAATTCAACGCCTCACATTAGCTCATTAATTTTAATCAATCGACAAATCAAATTTTAAGGATAGGCTCATTTTTATTTATAAATCTGTCGATTGACCAATCAAATGTAAGGAACAAACTCATTATTTAGTATTTACTGATCAATCGATCGATTGACTAATCATATTTCATGAATTAACTAATTAATATTAATCAGTTGATTGATTGACCAATTAAATCGCAGGAATTAATTTGTACAACAAGCCCTACGTATGTCAGACTGTATACTATTGTATGTCTGTCTGCTGCTTTCTGGCTCCGTGGACCGTTACTGGCTTTACAATTGAGAGGTGAATGATGGATGGATGAATGAAGGAATGAACGAACGAACGAACGAACGAATATCTTAGAAAAAACAAAGTTTACCCATTCGCTTGTCATCTGTCCATTTTCATTCATTCATCCATTCATCCCTTAATTAATTCATTAATTCATTCATTCGTTCATTCATCCATTCATCCCTTAATTAATTCATTAATTCATTCATTCGTTCATTCATCCATTGTAAACACTAAAGATGGATAATGGTGTACAGACCTCTACACAGAAGAAAGTTGTGCACTCGGAGTAGAGCACTGACGACCATGTTGTTTCTGTTGCTGGTCGCCATTTTACTGCACCTACATGCATTTTTCGTTGTTTATGTTGAGTAAGTTTGTCGATTGATAAGTTGGTTGGTTAGTTAGCTGATTGGTTGGTTGGTTGGTTGGTTGGTTGGTTGGTAGGTTAGCTGATTGGTTGGTTGGCTGGTTGGTAGATTGGCTGATTGGTTGGTTGGTTGGTTGGTTGGTTGATTGGTTGGTTGGTTGGTTGGTTGATTGGTTGGTTGATTGGTTGGTTGGTTGGTTAGCTGATTGGTTGTTTGATTGAGTTGTTGTTTTGAGATGATGTTATTAATAATGACGAGAATGATGATGGCGATAATTGAGAAGAGTTAGATTTAAGACGGAATTTACGTCAGGATTAGTTTAGATTAGTGCATAAACACCATCCGCACGTTCTTAAATACACACACACGCACACAAACACACACGCACACGCACACACACATACATACACACGAACACACAAATTTCAATTTCATTTCCAACAGAAAAAAATTAAAAAATTCTTTTTTTTTTTTATTCACTTCCTTTCTTCTTCTTTCAAATTGGCAGATGTTTCACGTCATTATCATCATTATTACCATAACCATCATCGTCATCATCTCCTTCTTTATCATCATAATCATCAACAACAACATCATAATCATCAACAACAACATCATCATCATCAACAACAACATCACCATCATCAACAACATCGTCATCAACAACAACATCATCATCAACAACAACAACATCATCACCAACAACAACATCATCATCATCAACAACAACAACATCATCACCAACAACAACATCATCATCATCAACAACAACAACATCACCATCATCAACAACATCGTCATCAACAACAACATCATCATCAACAACAACAACATCATCACCAACAACAACATCATCATCATCAACAACAACAACATCATCACCAACAACAACATCATCATCATCAACAACAACATCATCATCATCAACAACAACAACATCATCACCAACAACAACATCATCATCATCAATAACAACAACATCATCATCAACAACAACATCATCATCAACAACAACATCACCATCATCAACAACAACATCACCATCATAATCAGCGAAACAAACCCGGTTAGACCGATATGTATAACATCGAGTTCTTTTGATAAACTTTACAAAATGCTGATGAACATGGCTCTACCCTTGTTCTCGATCCTGGGCCTCAATGCTTCCATAATCCTTAAGATACATGACTATACCAAGTTTGTGTGTGTGTGTGTGTTGTGTGTGGTGTGTGTTTTATGTATGTTTGTGTGTACGTCAACTTATACGTACGCATTTGTGTGGTGTGTGCTTTTCATGTATGTAAGCACGAATGAATGAATGGCGTAGTACATCACATCAATTTCATTATCATCATCATCTTCGTCGTCGTCTTCATCATCATCATTATCCTCTTTGTCGTCTTCATCATCTTCTTCACCATCATTATCTTCATCATCTTCTTCACCATCTTCATCATCGTCTTCACCATTATCGTCGTCGTTTTAATTGTGAATTAATTTAATATCCGCTGCCTAATCTTTCGAATGTACGCTCCACGGTACAGCCGCCTGACCAAGCACACAAACACCCACGGCAGAAATACTTTAAACTTTCAATTCCTACGGCTAGTGAAAACGAAGAAAAATCGAGAGAGAGAAAGAGAGAGAGAGAGAAAGAGAGAGAGAGAGAGAATAAGCGAGAGAGAGAGAGAGAGAGGAAGAATAGAATCACATATATAGAGTATGAGAATAGGGTTGAAAAAGAAAGACAAAGCATCTTCGCGATTAGCCAATCGACTACATTCATGTATAAATAGATACATTCTTATAGAAAGGCAGATACATACATACAACTATACACTGCACTACACACATACATACGTACGTACACACACATTCATACGTACATACATACACATACGTCATAAACACACACAGACAAACAAAAAAACGTCTTTATTTATTTAGATTTCATGTTAAACAAAATGCCAAAGACATGTCTTTTGAGAATGACAAAAAGTTTGTACGGTTGTATGTACGTGTGCATGTATGTGTGTATATATGTATGTATGTATGTACGTACGTATGTATGTATGTATGTATGTATGTATGTATGTATGTATGTATGTATGTATGTATGTATGTATGTATGTATGTATGTATGTATGTATGTATGTATGTATGTATGTATGTATGTATGTATGTATGTATGTATGTATGTATGTATGTATGTATGTATGTATGTATGTATGTATGTATGTATGTATGTATGTATGTATGTATGTATGTATATATGTACGTAAGTATGTATGGTCCCCTTGAATGTATGTAAGTATGTATGTGTACATTTATGTATGCATGAATGTATGTATGTATATATGTATGTATTTATTTCCGGAAGTTTTGAAAAACTTTGGATAAGAGAATCAATTAAAAGCATCTTTTTCATTTCTCCATTTCCATCTTTCAGATCTTTCGCTACCTTCGATAAAACGAATTTTAAATTTGGTGGCAACAACAACATTTATAACAATGATAATAATAATAATGATGATAATAATAATAATGATGATAATTTTAACGATGAAGATATAATTGAGATAAGTAGAAATATTCATGAGAGCAATAAAATAATTTTAAATAATAACAATAATAGTAAAAAAACGAACAACAGTAATAGCAGCGGTAATAGCAACAACAACAACAACAAAAACAACAACAACAACACCAACAACAGCAATAATAATAATAATAATATGAACAACAATAGTAATAAAGTTCCTAACAGTTCATCTGGGAACAATGCGGGGGTGCAGAAAAATAAAGAAATGAATAATAATAATAATAATAATAATAATAATAATAATAATAATAATAATAATAACAATAATAATAACAATAATAATAATAATAATAACAAATATGACAACTTTATAAAACTAAAACATCACCAACCAAAGCAACAATATCAGCAGCAGCAGCAATTGCAGCAGTTTCAACAACCGCAAAAATCCGAACAGTACGTCAATCGACATTTCCAGCCTCAACAACAGCTGCAAATTATTCACCTGGAATCGAAATATAATAAAAACTATAAGCCACAACAACAAAATCGTCATAGGGCATTTGTGATTGACGACAACAACAACAACAACAACTCTTTCAACATCAACTTCAACTGCAACAACATCAATAGCACCAACAACAACAGCTACAACAACAGTTATGACGCCGCTGAAGACCGATTTTCATCAACGAAATCGACTACAAAATCGCATTTACAAAAACGACGACAGCAGATTCAGCGGCAACAACAACGACAACAACAACAATATCGTCATTCGTACCATCAACACAACAACATCTGTCTGAGAACGAAGCGACAGCAGACTCAGCTGCGCATAACACGTTCCCTGTTATTGGTATCAACGGCTTTCATACTGCTCAACCTACCGAACTATATTTTCACCATTATGGGCCTCATCATGTCTTATAGGCCCCAAACTTTGGACCAAAATGGATTTAGCAATAGCGCTATATTATTTATTTGCTTCGGTGAGTTTGTCCAACTTGTGTACTGCAGCAATTTCTCATCCAGGTTTTTTCTTTACGTTACCTGTTCGCAACACTTCAGGTTTGTTGGATAGTTGCGTGAATGGATGGATGGATGGTTGGATGGATGGATGGATGGATGGGTGGATGGATGGATGGATGGATGGATGGATGGATGGATGAATAGGTAGGTATATGCTTCATTCAGCCATCTACCTTGTCACTTCTTCATCATATTATTCGCACAGTCTTAAGTTGATTAATTAACCATTCATTCTCCTAAATATTGCTCATCCGACAAGTTTTTTATTCACTTATTTATTCATGTTTTTATTCATTCATTTCATTCATTCTTCTATACATTTATTCATTCACTCATTCACTCTTTCACTCATTCATTCCCCTGTCAGGTACGCGTTGAAACAACTCAACTGCCTCTCATCACGTTTTCTACACAGAAGCAAAAAAAATGGCCGAAAGAAAAAAGAACGAAATGAGAAATAACATTTTGAATCTTTTTGTGACGAAATTGGAAAAAAAATTAATCTCATTGCATTATATCGAATGGAATAACACGTTTTTATAATATATTATTCTCTTGTGAACGTGAACACCACACACACACATACACACACATATACACATACTTACATACATGCATTGCCATACACTTACACAATGTGTTCTTGTTTTGGTATAATTTACATTAGCAATAGATATATTGGTTAACATAAGATTATGTTTTGTTTCAACCTAATTTATAGTGGAAATATATGGGTGGGGTGAAAAATGATCTGTCTCTTGCTTTACTTGCATCTGTAATCAGTTTAAACTTAAAATTATTATTTCAAACATTATTATGGTGGATATTATTAAAACGAATATTTTAATATGCAGCTTGTTGCAAGGCTAATCCCACAGTACCATGGTCGCCACTTCAAATTTTTTATTTAGCGGTCGAAAACAATTGGTGGCGAACTGTCACATCTCACAAACAAAACAGTTCAAAATTAAGTCCATTTAAAAATTAGATTACCGAATAAAGATTAGTCAGTTTTTCTTCAACAAAACAAAATTTTTTCTCACTAATTACTAATTTGTTTTGGTTTCGAAGTTTCTTTTTAAATTTCGTCATGTCACTTTCAGTTATGACTTAAAAAACAAAAATTGTTATTTCATTTTCTAAGAAAATTTCACTGTCTAATTAATAAAGAGGTGATGTTGTATTTACTGCTGGCTCACTAATTTCACTAAATTGACTACGTTGTTCGGATATTATTATTGTATGAAAATTATATTAGAAAGATATTTTTCACCTTTGTGTTGTCACAATGGCTTGATTCCTGTGTGATATTCTGGTACTAAATTTCACCCCTTCAGATTTACAATTTATGAATTTAGGTGTCATTTAAATTTAATCATGAAAAAATTTTAAATTTAATAATAAATAATTGAATTTTTTTTTTAAAATACACACACTTTCATCTCCTATCCTTTATTATTATTTAACAACGACTTAAACATTTTTGTTTTGGTTAGCAATATTGAATTTGATTTGATTATTATTATTAAGTTGACTTTGAATTCTCTGGTAATAAAGATAATATAAAATAAAATAAAAATAAATAAGTAATAATAATATGTTTTGATAGTTTAAATATTTTCATTATCAGTTAACAATTAAGGTTATGAGAGGATTATGTATATATTAACATAAAATAGTAAAAATAAATAGTAAATATGTCCATATGTGATGTAATATAATAATTTAATCACATAAAAGATTTCTATACTAACAGACATTAAAACAGCAACATGGATGACAAAAGGGTGGCTGATTATTTTGTGGTTGCTGGTTTAGACTGGAATGTGCAACCTCTGGCACCTCTAGAAGAAGTTTTTCCTAACGAGACATCTCTAAAGTCAACACCAACCCAGAGACAAGACCCAATTGTCGATCTGGCTGTCATTGACAGGACATTAGGAGAACCAATACCGACCAATTTCAGATGCATCGAGTTTACCCCAACTAATTTTCCAGCGGATTTGAATCATGGGAGTTTGAGGGCCCATGAAATGTACCTTTGCTACAGAAGAGGTAGAGATAAACCAGCCATTTTGGATATTGGGTTTGCTTTTTTTACATTTTTCCAACTATTTTTCATTACGTTTTTTTGTTTAAATATTCATTTAATATATATGAAAATAAATTCACAAAAATTGTTATTCAGTAGCACTAAACAAGTCCAACTCTACCTACATTATTGTATTATATTATTAACTCACATACATCATTTATTGGAATACTATTGAAATCACATTTGCAGGGTCACCTACGAAAATAAAGATTGCAAGGAAAAATTGCTACCAGGGTGTGAGGTCATCTACTGGACGCCCCAGGCTAACTCGGCCAATGTCAACAACGGCAGCGGCAGTCTGAAAATATTTGTAACTTTTAGGAGATCTAGTACTTTTGCCCCCATCGATATCCTTGTCGTCACTGAGATCTGTGTTATTCTGCCTAATAAGGTTTAATTTGATTTCTTTTTCTTCTTAGAAGAATTATTTTATTGTATTGGTTTGTATGTTTGTTGGGTTTTAAGAGAGAGTGGGGGAGAGAGAGAGAGAGAGAGAGATTGAGTGTGTTCAACTATAATAACATTAATTATAACTATAATTTTTAATTTGTAATTTGTAAAAAAAAAATAATTTTTTTCTCTGAAGGGTGAAACAGCACCACACGCTCACTGCATGATAGATAAGAATCTCAACAAAGGAATTGTAAGTTAAATGTTGTTATGTTTATAATAATTATAATAATAATATAATTAATATATTTATTATGTCGGTGTTTAAATTGATAATTAATAAAAATTATTTCAATATTTCGTTGCAAGATGGGCTCAGATGTCTTCCTTTGCTACAAGAAATCCATGGCTAAGTTAAACTGTTTAACGTTTAAACCATGTTAGTTTTTGTTGTATGTATGTATGTGTGTATGCGTGCGTGTGTGTGTATGTGTGTTTACGTGTGTTTGCTTGCAAGTTTGTGTTTGCGGGCGTGTATAATTATACATTATATGTCAACTTTTTATTTCCACTTTTAAACTTAACCCACAATGACAGCCCTATTAGGCCATTACCCCTTGGAAGACATACCCCAACTACCTCTACCCCAGCAAGTTGCCATGTTTTGCCTCCCTATGGGTGCCACCCTGGAAAGTTGGTCCCCTCAAAGACAGTTCCCCACTCCAGTTTTTTCCACCTTCATACTAACCACAGGACTGGCTGCTGAAAAAGTTTACGGGGCTGCCGTAACGTTTTATGAAAAATTAGCTCCGGACAAATTAAAGTTGCTCGACCAGGCGCAAAGATCGGGGCTGGGAATTGAAAAAGAGGCAATGAATGGAAGTGCTGGGGAGGATTATGGTGCTGTGGCTGTTAGCAATACCGCCGAAAACACTAATCTTGGGGGTGAGGATATCGTGGTTTACCAGAATAAAAGTATTTGCCTCCTATCAAGGTTGCCATTTTTTGAGACTTTCAAGAAATTTTTGCTCTACATTTATAGGATGGTTTTCGGGAGGGTAGATGATTTGTCACAGTATATTCCTATTGAAAGGTGAGGATGGTGACGATGATGGTAATGATGACGATGATGATGACGATGATGACGATGTTATGGTAATGGAGAGGATGATGATTGAAATAAATTCTCCCACCATCATCATCATGATTGTTTTTGCCCAGACATATTTCTCATTTCCTGACGAGAATCCCCTTGCCATCCATCCAAAGACCTCGAATAATGATACAGGTGAACATGACGACGATGATGACGATGGCCCCTTTGATAGAAATGTGTTGTTGATTGCACGGCTACTGATGATGATAATGATGACGGAGCTGTTTTTGATGTTGACAACAATGATGATGATAATGATGATGACGACGACGATGTTGATGATGATTACTGCACATTCCCCACCCACCAGCTCTCATCCACCTCCATCCTGCTCACACAACCAGACGAGACCCCATTGCCCAAAAGGTACAACTAACTAACTAACTACCTAACAAACAAACTGCCAACAATTATCATTTGTCATGAACATCATCACCGTTTGTAACTTCATCATCATCTTCATCACCATCATCATCACCATAGCGGGGCGTCCTTCATAGACGTGTTGAAGAACCTGGGCCCCACTAACAGTACCCTGTTACTTCTGAGCGTTTTGATGGAGCATAAGATATTAGTGCATTCGTTGAGGCCAGCCGTACTGACCAGCGTCTCCGAAGCTATCTCTGCTGTGTGTTTCCTGTTGCTGCTGTTGAGTGAATGAATGAATGAATGAGTGAATGAATGAATGAATGAATGAATGAATGTATTGAATGATTAAGTTTATTTTTCATCTACTCTATTTGGAAAATTTGTAAACCTACAAAAACAAAACAAAAATTACGTTTGAAGTAGTAAAGGAATGCTTGCTCGCTTGATTGATTGGTTGATTGATTGATTGATTAATTGATTGATTGATTGGTTGAATGATTACGTCGCAGATGATTTTCCCACTGCATTGGCAATGCCCATACATTCCACTTTGTCCAATTGGTTTATCTTATGTACTTCATTCGCCCACACCTTTTATTATTGGTTGGTTGATTGATTAGTTGGCTGGTTGATTGATTGGTTGGTTGATTGTTTGATTTGTTGGTTGATTGTTTGATTGTTTGATTGGTTGGATGGTTGGTTAATGGATTGATGGATTAAATGATCGATCAAGCTATAAATATTTGTATGGAACGTTCTATTATCAAATATCGTTTGTAAGTTGCAATCATTCGTTCGCTTATTTATTCATTCATTCGTTCATTCATTCATTCGTTCGTTCATTCATTCGTTCATTCATTCGTTCATTCATTCGTTCATTCATTCATTCATTAATACACATCCATTCATTCATTCATTCACTCAATCAATCAATAATTGTTGAAGGCATTGATTCGCGATATTTTGACACGTACGACTTGCCTAGTGATGTTACCTGCATCGACTTAGACACAAAGACATTCACCGTGTAAGTCCGTTGATCGATCTCTTGCTTGATTGATTGATTGCTTGCTTGATTGATTGATTGGTTGATTGATTGGTTGATTGATTGGTTGATTGATTGGTTGGTTGGTTGGTCGAGTGTTTGATTGATTTGCCGGTTGATTGCTTGTTCTTTCCTCTTCACTAGATCTGAAGACAGAAGATCGCACAATATAAAATTGCTACCAAAAGTTTGTGAATTAATCGATTGATTGAATGAATGAATAATTTATCACTTTACTGACTGATTGATTGTTAATTGACTGAAATAATGAATGAACGAATCAATTAATGCGCGAATGCATGCGTGAATGAATAAGTGAACGAATGAATGAACGTGTCAGGGAATAAATATGATGAATAATGAACGATTGATCAAATAAGATTTGTTGTTTGAATTACTTAGAAACCGGCCAAACTCTTGAGATCAACTCTTGAGAAACTGAACAACCAACTGCTGGCAAGCACATCCCTATCTAGCCCCCAGTCTCTTATTCCATCCAAGTCGAGATCGGCGAGCAATACGTTTTCACTCGACGATTCATTCAATGTCGAATCATCTAACAGGGAGCAGGTGCAAATTTGATTGGTTGGCCGATTGATTGATTAATTGATTGATTGATTAATTGATTGATTGATTAATTAATTGATTGATTGATCGATTAGGTAGCGTTGGAAATATCGATCAGAGAGGCTTACTTGAGGTTTATGGCGGCTATATTGAAAGGTTACAGCGGCCACCTCCTGCCAATCACTAATGCTCCTTCAGTTGGGAATATGAGTCTAAATTCACTTTTTGATGTTGTTGGTTAGTCGCCGTTGGCGCGTTCATCCAGTTGTTTCGTTTTGTCAAGCCTGGCTTTCTTGTTTGTGGGATTGTTTTTATGTTTAATTAATCAACCAATCAAACAATCATTCGACCAATCAGATAATCGTTCGACCATTCAGGCAATCATTCAACCATTCCACCGACCAATCAAACGCAGGTTTCGTAAAATCACGTGACAAAGCCTACAACAAATTTTATGCCCTCCTACTGAAGACTCAAGCATTCAGTCGCTTCATAGAAGAGCGATCCTTCGTGTCTGATAAAGATTCCAGCTTGGCATTTTTTGATGACTGCCTGGAAAGAGTGGACGATTGTGGAAATGTGGTGATCGTTGGCGATGGAGGTGGGGGTGGGGGTGCTGTAGGTGGTGGGGCCGTTAGCGGGGGCAGGCTTATAGAGGTCGAGGATTGTCTACAGAGGTTAGTTTCAGTTTCGTTTTTGCTGTGTTTTTGGTTTTTGTTCTTAGTTAATCTGTATTTATTTTCATTTAAACTTTTGTGATAATGGTAAAGTTTGATTTTTTTTTTCAATTGTAAAAAGTTCAGAGAGAACTGTTTTCATCATGGCTCCAGAACCAGACGAGACTCAGGCTCAACCAATCAAGTAATTAAAAATCAATCGACCGTCAAATCTATCCATTAGTTTCTTCATTCGTTCATTTACTCATTCATTCATTCATTTAATAATTTATTCTTGTTTAATTTTGTCAGTTTATTAATTCCATCAATCACTCTGGAATTTATATTCGATAAATTTATTTTCAGTTACTTTGGTCAATTCCCGACCTTGAACTCCGACCTATACCCTCCCCTATCGCCCACTCCTGCTGGCCAATCACGCTATCAGAAAAGTAGCAGCGGCAGCCAATCACGCGACTTCACCAATCCACCATCCGCCACGACACCCTTCCAAAACCGGGTCAACCATCGCCATCAGCAAAGTGGGTCAACGACAGCAACGTCATCAGCTGATCAGGTGAAAGTAGGTGCAAAGTTCGCTGGGTACAGCAGTCCTATGGTCTGTAGGACGCACCATGAGATCAAGCAGTCGCAAAAGTTTGGCTTGAAATACGCCAGCGTACCTCAAGCCTGGGCTAAGTTCGTTCTTTTTCGTCTTCTTCTTCCTCCTCTTCTTCTTATTGTTATTAAGTTTATTTATGTTGTTGTTATTTAGATATCTGGCATGGCATTGTTACAGTCTGTGGTTCATCCATCTGTCATCCTATGCTCGCTACGTTCACTCCAAGTCGAAAGTTTTGAAATCAGCGTTTGATGTCCTGGTCAGTATGCAGTCTGCCAGGCTCCAACCTCCGGATGAGGTATTGAGACGATGATGGTTGTCACGACAATCAATCACACAATCATTCAAACAACCAACCAATCAACTACGCTCACTCACTCACTCAATCAATCAACCAATCAATCAATCAATCTGTCAGGTATGTTATAGAGTGCTTATGCAGTTGTGTGGCATCTACCATCAGCCGGTCCTGGCCGTGAAGGTTCTCTTTGAAATGAAAAAGAGAGGCATCCAACCAAATGCCATCACCTATGGCTTCTATAATAAGGTGGGTGTGTGCTCGATTGGCTGGCTGACTGGTTAGTTGGCTGGTTGGCTGGTTGGTTGATTGTTTTTCTGAATAATTATTAACAGGCAGTCCTCGAAAGCAAATGGCCGACTTCAAACTCGACACCTGATCAACTCTGGAACAAACTTCGAAACGTCTTGATGGCGGTGGCCAGGTTCAAACGAAGAAGTTCGGCCGAATCTTCCTCCATAGCAACTCTGGCAAGTCTCGGCAGCTGTCACGGTGGCAGCAGCAACAACAACAGCTACTGCAACAGTAGCAGCGATCATGGCCGCTTGATTATGACACTCAATTGTGAAAGCGACGTTGAAAAGCAGAGTGTGGACAGCTGCCTGGATGCTACTATTTTAGCCAGCGATGTACCTGCTGCCAGTCGTGCATATAATTCAGCAGCTGCTTCGGTAGCTAGCACTTCCATCAGAAAGAAGAAACAGATCATGTTGAATGTTAGGAGCAGTGTATTAAATGATGGTGACGACGACGACGACGATGTTGATAGTGGGACTAAAAGTAGAGGCGGATTAAAAATGTCAGATGATGAAAAAACACCGATAATAATAACGGCGACCAATAAGCCACAGCCGCCCTTGCTGTCTCCTGAACAGCCTCTAACGGGAAACCTTGTTAAAACAGTTTTAAAATCTTCCACCAATGATAATGCTCACAGCTCATCTGATGTTGAAGCTCTGACCAATCAGAGGCAGAGGGCAAGGTCGACTAGTGAGATGGGAGGAGTCATTCAGTTAGCTGGACTGAAAAAAGTGAAGAATAATAATGAGTCCATAAGTGCCGGTTAGTTGCGATGATGACGATGATGATGATGAGAATGGTGATGATAATCATAATGATGATATTTCATTTTGGAATTCCCCACATTGTTAGGCGGCTTATCTGACAGAGGTTACGGTTCCTTAAGCATGGAAGACACCAGTCCAATCATCGCCAACTTAGCATCTGATCACGTGCTCAACAATGTGACCTCAACGTCTTCTATGACGTCATCAGTGCCATCTTCCTCTCTGACGTCGTCAGCAGCTGCGGAAGCATCAACACCAACACTTGCTGCTGCTGCTCTGAATAACCACAGTAACTGTAGTGGTGGTGGTAGTAGTAATAGCGATAGCAACGGTTGTCCAAGTGTCGTCCTTGCCAGCCCTGCTAGCACCTCCCTCACTATCGCCGCGAAAAATAGTATTTGCAGTGCTGATGATGGAAAATGTGATGATGCTGATAAAGATGATGATGACGACGACAACATTCTGGATGAGATGAGAAAGAAGGAAGAAGAGGAGGACGATGAAGATGTTTGTGATGTTGGGAGGGAACTCAATTGCGACTCCATCATTTCCATCACACACGCTGATGTTGCTGTCGTTAATCTTGAAGCTGTGCAAACAATATCGTCAACAGAGGCAGCAGCAGCTGTAGTAACAACCGCCACTGCTACCACCACATCGACATCCACAACGACAGTTACACCAACTAAGTCAACAGATCAACTGAACAACAATCCTAGCACTAATCATAGAATCCCTGTTACTGAAAATGACCCTTTAGGATTATTTACACCTCCTCCAACATCATCATCATCATCACAACAACAACAAGATTCATCGTCATCGTCATCACCAACTCAGCTACAACAGTCATTGTTATCACCAGAAGAGCAATCATCATCAGCACCACCACCAGAATCTGTACCATCATCAACAGGATCATTTTCTTTGACGCCATCATCATCATCAGTTTTATCTCCAGTTATGGAGAGGGAGACAGTTAAAGCGAGGATGTCCAAATCATTCAACCTGGCAATGTTGCAGCAACATCAGGGTCAACAAGTTGTTGGAAGAAGCTCTCCCCAGCAACAACACCTCAACGCGTCACTTCAACAACAACAACAACAATTCAGACAACAACCTTCCAGCAAGAAATCAGTGGAATGGTCATCGAGTATCGGCGGAGCGAGTACCCAACTAATTGGATCGGCCATCAAACTCGTATCGGACAAAATCTCGCTAAAATATCGCCAGGTGATGATGACAACCGCAACGACAACGCCGACATCTAAACACGACCACCACCATCATCAACAGCAGCAGCAGCAACAACAACAACACTCATCATCATCGACAACATCAGCTGCAACAACTCCGCAACAATTCCGTGCTGAGAGCTACTCAAGTCTAATCAGCGGCGAGTCTTCGTCAGATAGTTACGCCTCGTCCTCTATGGCCACAGATCACAGTAACAACCGTTGCTACGATGATCGAGACATGATGGTGCACGACTCGGAGTCTGGTATAGACGTCTGCCTGCCCGTTGGCTACGTCGCCAAGAGGAATTCAGTCACCTTTCAAAATAGCGGAAGTGGCAGTCGGAGTGCCACGTCCAAGTTGAATAAGTTGAGGATGGCCAGTTTGTCTAATCCGTTGGGTAAGATAGTGTCTTTCTCTCTTCTTCTTATTGTTTTCGGCTTGGTTTCAGTTTTTTTTGTTTTTGCTCCGTTGCATGTTTGCATGATAAATATTCAAGTTTTAAGTTCGTTTCTAACTAATTAATTTGCAGTCGTTTTCTTGTTTGGTTCGCCCAATTTCTAATAAAAAAATTCTCCCCTTCCTAATTTTTGCATTTATTCATTTTGTTATATTCTGTTTTTAATTTTAAGTTCAAATAACAAAACATTACAAACTCCAAAACAACATGAACAACAACAACGAACAACAACGTGTGTGTGAACCACATAACTCGAGTAGTTTCCTCGCTACTGACTGGCCTAAAAACTCTCGGCCAGAACGATGCCCTGCAAGGTTTTGCTTCCAATCTAAACCAGTTAGGCAAGCAGATGCGGATTAGTGTGACAGAGGGTTGGAGCGGAAGTGGTGGATTAAGAAATGATGGGAAGAAAAATTTGGCGGGCTCCAGAAGAAAAGATGGAAATGAAGACGACGACGATGATGACGTTGATGGTAATTGTGATGATGTCAGTTATTACAATAATGCCGATAATGATCTTTACCCTGGAGGTAGTTATGATGATGATGATGGCCGTGATGGTGATGATGCTTGAATTTTAGTTGAGTGCAGCTTACTATTTAGTTTCCTTAATTTTTCAATTTTTTTTGTTTTTCCTAACCCAAGCTGGCTTGAAGTTTTAGTTAATTACTTAAGTTCGCTTCTCTTTGTACTACTAAGAAATTAATTAGGGTATTGTTGCCTTTGTTGATGTTGTTGTTACGGCTATGTTAAAACCCATTGTTTTAATTAATATCATTTTAATTACTGCTCAAATTTGTTTGCCTCTGTCGCATATTTATTATTTCATTGTTTTTCTTAAGTAGGAGCCAACAGCAGCAACGACAACAACAGCGCAGATTACAACAACAAATCGTCGTCACGTCAACAGCAGGACGAATTCGACAAATCCTCAATATCAAGCGAGATCCTCTTGCAACATCAACAACACAACAACAGCAGCAGCAACAACAACATCGACAACAACTCGATGACGGCAACGACACCTGTCAACAACAACAGCAACAACAACATCAATGATAACAACAACTACAACAACAACAACGATAATGTTTACTACGATTTGGATCTCTATCCAATCCAAGTTGAGATCTCGACTTTAAATAAATGCCCAAAGTGTGGCAATCTACTCTATGATGAGGAGATTATGGCTGGCTGGACAGCAGACGATTCTAATTTGAATACTTGGTTCGTAGAATTTTATTAGCTGATGTTGCTTTTCTGGTCCAGATCTGATTGGCTGATGCTGTTTTTTAGTTCAATGTAGTTGGTAGTTGATGTCTTGTGATTGTTGAAGATTCGGTGGTTTGCCCTGGGGAATGTGATTGGTTATTGCAAGTTATAGATTATTCATCTTTTTTTATCGTTGAGTAATTAAATAGTGGTTTTAATTATTTTAGCCATTCATTCATCCACTTATTCATTCACTCAGTCATTCACTCATTCATTTTCCCAACAGCTGTCAATTCTGTCAATCACACTTTGTTCCATTCTTAAACGTATATATCAAGGTTGGTCTGCTGCTTGTTCATCTCATAAATTGATTTAAAACTAATTTGAACACGAAGTTAATTAAGATTCATATGCTCTTCATATTATAGTTAATAAATTATTAATTAATTTATTAATTTATTCAGGACTACAGATTGACAGGCCGTTCCTTTTACAACATTAGCCAATCATCTGAGAGCATAATCAGCTGTCAGTCATCTACGGCAACCAATCAGAGTGCTGCAAATAACAACAACGCCATCGGCGGGTCTGTTGCTGATGTCAGTTCGTTAACTGCTACGACTCCTCCGCCAGCAGCCGCGTCAGAAGCCACTGCAAGATCAACGACGACGGCATCAGATAAAGGAATAGTTGAGGCAGCAACAACTTCGCCAGATGAAAGCTCAATAACAACAGAAGCATTGACCTCAACGAGAATGGCGACAGCAGATGTTTTAGATTCAACGGTTATTGCTGTAACAGATGACGAGCAGAAAGGTATTGAAGAATCGACAACAAAACCAATTGCGTCAACAAAAATAACAACAACATCAACAACGAAATCACCACAACAAGATAACCTGACTCAGAGGCGTTGTACGAGCGCCTCTTCTCTCCTTGATGATACCAGTTCAACATCCATCAACAACAGCAACAACAACAGTAGCAGCACTAACATCAACAACGACATCAACAACAAGCTGAACAGTTGTTCTGTTGATGTTTTGAATGACATCAAACAACAGCCACAACGACAACAACAGCAACATCAACACGAAGACTTGAATAGCTTTGAAGATCCATTGTCTAAACTTGAGAGTGAAAGAACGTAAGTATCACCTCCATCATCATAATTTTCTCATCGCATCATCATCACCCAATCACATCATCGTAGCAAAAACACCATCATAACCTCAACGACAGCAGCAACAATGAAGCTGTAGCAGCAGAAGCAGCAGCAACAACAACAGCAAGACAATGCATCGAGTTAGACCCTCAATGTTTTGTGTACCTGAGTCCAATGGTTCTCAGAAAAAATGTTGAGAACGTTCTGTCGGAAGAAATCGTCATCGGTGACTGCTGCTTCGATGGGGATTCATTCCTGGACGAACACCCCATCCTCTATTGGAATTTGGTTAGTTAGGCAATTTGGGAAAATAGTGATGTGCGTTTTAAGGATTGTTTAGAGCTTTTTTTCGTTTGTGTGTGTAGTATTCATATGTTTTTGTGATGGAGCAAATGATTAAATGAATTCTGAATGAATGAATTCTGAATGAATGAATTCTGAATGAATGAATCAATCAATAAGCACATTTGATTATATATAAACTTAAAAATACATATGCACAGGTATGGTATTTCAGCAGGATCAACGTACCGAGCCATCTACCTTCATTCATCCACACTGCTCCTTCACTCAATCAACACCACGTCAGTCCTGTTGCAGTGTTATAATTTATAATATTAATAACAATAATTATTAATAATTATTAATAATTATTACTTTTGTTAACGTTGCTTTTATAATGTACAAATATCTATAAAATTCTCCAATCGATAGAGACTGCACAACAACAATTTGACGACGCCTCAAGATAACAACGCAACAACAACAACAACTACTTCTACTACTATCTTCAACAACATACAACAACAACATCATCATCATCATCACCATTACAATAAGCAAACTGTTGCAATACACGCACTCTGGGATAACGTGAGGTTGCATTCTCAAGAACATGTCACTCCCATGTACATTCTCTGGAGCCAAGGTTCGTGCGTGTATGTGTGTGTTTGTGCGTGTGTGTGCGTATCTATGTTCTTATATTTGTATGCATGCTTTAATTATTTTTTTAATTTTTTTTTCAGTTGATAATCCAATTGAAGGCTGGATATCTAGAGAGTTAGTTCTTGTTTTTCCATCCATCCTTCCGTAAATTTACTTATCTACTCATCCATTCATTCATTAATTCATTTATTAATTCATTCATTCTATCATTCATTCATTCATTCGGTCAGCCAGTCATTAATTCATCTAGATATTTTTATTTTCCAATCAATTCATTTCTTCGTGTTTTCTCTCGTCCTCTTACATTCTCTCTCTCTCTCTCTCTCTCTCTCTCTCTCTCTCTCTCTCTCCCTCTCCACATCCCTATCTCTCATTTTCACTCTTTCTATCTTTCACCTCAAACACACACACACACACACACACACAACAGAAAGATGGCGGCAATAGTGGACAGCATAATGAATAACGACGTGGCAAGCCCACTGAGGCTGATCCTGAACGAGAGGTCGTCGATAATCATGGAGCACGAGAAACAACAGATGTTGAAATCAACTACTTCACCAACAAAAACATCGCTATCAACACCGCCGTCAACAACAGCAACAACAACGACGACGACGATGATGTCTGAGAAGTTCGGCGTCAGATTCCACAGCATATACAGAGACATGCTCTATCTGTCCTTTGTGTCCCTCGGACGCGAAAATATTGACGTCGGTCGGTTGAGTGAGGGGGGCCTGTGACGATTTGTCACTAAATATAGTTTTTTTTTATAATTACAAATTATTACGCAATATAATTACAAATTATTACGCAATAATTATAACTAAGTAATTAGAAATAAATAACTACAACCATCTTGTTTCAAACGCAGATGCGTTCGACAAAGAGTACAAGGCCATGCTCCAGACCTTACCCCCGTACGACACCAACCGTCTGAAAAGGGCCGACCGCACCCCCCACGCCACGGCCGTCAACTGCCGGAAAATGTTCAGTGAACTGGAAATATAGGTGCTCAGTAATGCTGTCGTTACGTACTGCAGTGGATCAGAGCTGGTTCGGGCAGGGAGAAATGGAGATGTGCTCTGCATGAAATTAATGATATTAAGTAGCTTTAGTATAACTATCACTCTGTCTAATAATATTGTATGCTGTACGTATATATATATATATATATATATATATATATATATATGTGTGTGTGTGTGTGTGTGTGTGTCTATGTGTATATATGTATGTGTGTGTGCGTGTGCGCGTATGCATGTATGTCAATCAATCAATCAATTGTTGCCATGTTACTAATTAAAGATGTTGCCAGTGTATGATGATGCAACAACAACACAAGTATCATTATATAGTTAGGTCGTTAGTAATTATAGTACGTATAATAGTGATGATAATAATAATAATTGTTGTTTTTATAATTCGTTATAATTATTATTGTTGTTATTATTATTATTTCATATAATGATAATATTAAAATAATGATGATATGTAAACCAATGTGAAAAAAAATGGTTTTGAACACACACACACACATATATATATATTTATATATATATGTGTGTGTGTGCGAGTGTGTGTGTGTGTGCACGCCAGTGTATTATTATTATTTTCATGATTTATTGATATCATTACTATCATTGCGATTATGTTGAAATGTATTTAGGATAAATTAGACGCAGATACAATTACCATCTTTATACTTATTACTAATAATATTATTGTTATAATTATATTTATGTTAATTATTTGTTATAATAAAAATATTATTATAGTTGTTGTAATAATAAATTTACCTGCTATCCGGCTCACTAATTCACTAGTCTATTGATTGAAACTTCGGTGATGATGAAGCTGATGACGATGTCACATTCCCCAACTACCAACAATTATCATTTTATTATTATTATTATCATAGTTATTATTATTATTATTCGTTTAAATATATCAGTATATATATATATATCTTGTATGTAACAATAAACCATTTTAATCATTCCATACGTAATTACGTTATATATATATATATATATATATATTTATATAATAATATAATATATAAATAATATATATATATATTACTTTATTATATATATATATATATGAATATATATATATAAATCCATAAATGTGTATCTGGAAATTTGTCTATGTAAAAATATTTACTAATGCAAAGGCTAACATAAAATGGATTGGATGGTATTATTATTATTATTTGTAATATTCGCTATATTATTATTGTTATTATTATTTTGTTTGTTTGTTTGTTTGTTGTTGTTTACAAACAGTAGTTCTTTTCAATCAGTTTGTGATGCAATCGGATGGGGGAATTAATAATAAAATTATTTAAATTAAATTATCATTTGTAATAAAATAATAATAATAATAAATTATTATTATTATAATTTCAACTAATCATAATTATAATAAAAATTCTCAAAATTGTTATTATTACATTTTATTTTATTGACTTTTTGTAATGTAAAAATTAATGTATCTTAAATTTAATAGTGTGAAATGAGCCAATGAATTAATGAATGGGTGAATGAATGAATAAATGAATGAAATAAACTGTACGAACTGACGAAAATTGATAGCACGAACTGTTAAATGGATGTGTGTGAGTGAATGAACGAGTGAGTGAATTAACAATTGAGTGAATGTACGAAAGGAAGAAAGAACGAATGAACTCACAAACGGATGTTTGAACAAATGAACGAACGAATGAAAGAACGAAATGGATGAATTAAAATCACGAAAATTAGTTTCCAACAAACAGGCCATTATAGCTTGGCCTATGGGGAGCTGATGCTCGCCGAACTAATTGCTGTCAAATTACTCAAACACATCAACAATAACAATAACGTAATAACAGCAATAGCAATAAGAAAAATAACAATAAGAATATTAATATTATCGATAAGGCAATATGTATACAAATTAAAGAGTTGAATAAATATATATATTGTAAACAAGCTTATATATATATTTATATATTGTAATATATATATATATATATATATATATTGTAATATATATATATATATATATATACATGTGTGTATGTATGTATAAACTCCTACACATTCATACAAAGACTTGCACATAAAACATACTAATACAGCAAAATGTAAAGTCATAAGTATAAGGCGCTATATAAATAAATATATATTTATTTATATTATGTATATAAAGCATGCAATTATGTACAGAATGTAATGTATGTATATCTGAACTTGTATGTGTTTATGTATGTATGTATGTTTGTATTTATATATGTATGTACACATGTTATGTTGTACATATGAAGCTTTAAATTAATTTTGATTACAATTTTACGAAAGGTGTATAACAAAATATTTTTATAAATAAATAAAACAACAATAACAGCGACAACAACAATAATAATATTTATTAGTAATACTATTGTTGTTGTTGTTTGTGTTGTTGTTGTAGTTTTATAAGCCTCTGTTGTTCCACAACCCACTCGGCCACCAGGCTTGGACTGGTGTTTACGTACATTTGGATGAAAGGGTGTTGCTGAAGTGAATGAATGAATGAATTAATTAATTAATAAATGAATTAATTAATGTGTATGTGAAAAGTGTGAATGAATGAAGGAGTAAATCGATGAACGAATGAAAAAGTAGATAGATATATCAATGCATAGGTAAAGCGATATGAATGTATAGCTGATTTGATTGATTGATTGGTTAATTAATTAATGGACAAATGAATGATTGGATTGTTGATAGATTGAAAGAATCAATGAAAAAATGAATACAGAGTAATAAAAATGATTAAAAGTGAAATTTGATTGAACAAAAAAACTCAATTGAAACCATTAAACTTTCAGGTGCCGGCCTCATCAGGGGAACCTTTTGCATGCTGTAAAGTTTGATGTAAGACATTGTCATTAATTCTTTCATTCGTTCATTCATTCACACCAATATCATGTCAATCATTCAATCACCAGTTCGTTCATTCGTTCGTTCATTCATTCATTCATTCATTCAGATAACCATTTCGAAACGAAATCCACGAACTGCTCGGAAAATGAACTCTTATCCAACTGAGGTGGGTCGTCATCAACAATGGATCGCCATAAGTTTAAACTCTGTGTGCGTATGCATGCATGTATGTGTAAACGTATGTGTGTGCGTGAATGTATGTGTGCGTATATGTGTGTATGTATGTATGTTTGTATGTATGAACAGTCAAACATCAAGTAACGAACGAATGGATTTACACTTTGTGTGCATGTGTGTGTACGTTTTTTTTGTTTCTCACCTCGGAGCAAGTATATCTTGTCTGTTTTTGAAAGAAAATTCGTATTTTTATCAATAAGTCGTGGCAATATTATAAGCATAATAATTATAGTTATAATTATGGTTATAATTTTTAATAACATCGTCGTCATCGTCACAACTTACATTTTTATATGGAAAATGACCAGATGACAACTAGACGGTTTATAAGAACGTGGAGGAAGAAAAATTGATAATAATAATTATTATTATACATTATTATTATTATCGTTATCATCATCATCACAATCATCACCACAGTCAGCATCATTATCACAATCAGCATCATCACCACCACAATCAGCATCATCATCATGAAGACTGCCTGAACCTCGAATAAAGACACCCCAACGCTCCAGACTTCAGAATGTATACTATAATCGTGGCCTTGTATTCGTTCGGGCTGTCGTGATGATGATGATGGTAGTGATGATGATTATGCTGGTGGTAGTGATAATGATGATGATGGTGATGATATTAATCATGATATTGATAATGATGATGAAGAAGATGATGATGAAGAAAATGATGATGATGCTACCTACAGCCATGTATGCGTTTGTCCCTATGAAAGACTTGGCTATCGAGTCAATCAACTGCAAGGAAAGAACGTAATATTAATAATAACAATAATAATAGTAACAATGATAATAATAACAATAATAATAACGATAGCTGTGTTATTAAATGCTTACATATGGAAAAAAGTACTGAATGATAATATTTGAGAGATGGAAACCTGAACGCTGATGCCGAAGTCACAGAGTTTAACACTGCCGGCCGTGTTGACGAGAATATTCGAAGGTTTGACATCTGTAATTTTATTCAAATTATCATTAATTATTATTAAATTATTGTTAATTATTATTGATATAATGATAATTATTATTATAATTGTGATAACTAATGATACTGATATCATTATTGTTATCATTTTGGTCGTAATGATACTTATGCTATCACTGGAGTTTACTTTCTCCTAACCTCTATGCAGTATCTTTAGGCTCCAAAGATACTGCAAACCAGTAACAACCGAAACGGAAATAGGTCCGAGAATAGATTCAGGAATGTGCATGTACATGTCTAACGAGCCACCTGTCGTGTGGTGTTATTAATTTCTTTGGCTGCTGGTCATTTAGAAAAAGGTTCGGTCATTCATTTATTCAATCAACATTTATTCAATCAATCTAACATTCATTCATTCATTCATTCAATCATTCATTCAATCAATCAATTTCATATATATATGTATATATATCACATTATCAATCAATCAATCAACCAGTCGCAAAACAAGCCAACCAACCGACCGACCAACCAACCGACCATCCATATATTCCGTGTACATGGATATTTTGTTATCGTTGAAATGGGCTCCGAAGAATGAGATGATGACGGGGGATTTGCACTAAATGGAAGAAAGAACTGCAATGTGAACTTTCACAACTCCAACATCGAATAAAATCCAAACAATTCAAGACAGTTAAGAGTTTTATGACGAAAGAATTAAATAAATCGATTGATTAGTTGATTGATTGATTGATTGATTGATCGATTAATTGATTGATTGATTGATTGATAAGTCATCATAATTTGTCATTCCAAGATAGCGTAGGGTAGAATTTGTTTCACAGAATGTTTCTGTCACAATAATAAATAGCACGAGCTGACGATACTACACTGCTTGACAGACTATAAATAAAGAGTTATAAAACTTTACAGACGACATTTCAAAAGTGTGAATTAAAACATTAAAACGTTTAAAAGCGTACACAAGATTACATTTTTAAACTGTTCACATAATTAACACCATTTAAATAATTATCATTATAATTAATAATAACAATGAATAAATCTAGTAGGAATAACCTGATGCAAGATATCAAGTTCTGATATTATTTGATGTTGAACCTCCCTTGAAATATCTAGTGGTATGACCTTAACTGCTGCTAGCTCTCCCGTTGTTTTATGCTTAGCCCTGTTAAGATAACCACAATAATAATAATTACAACACTTTTATTGCATTAAAGTTATAACATTATCTGGACTACTAGCGCTACTGTTTTGTAAAAAAGTAACAGTGACGTTTGTCATTCGTTAATGATAGTAATTACTGTTATTATCATCCTTATTGTTAATGTTATTATTATTATTATTGTTGTGGTCGTTACTACCACTAACTTGTAAACAGCGCCACAACTCCCAGAGCCAAGTATAGTGATGAAGTCGAAGTCACTATCGCGAACTTTACCACTTGCCAATATCTCTTCTATGTTTCCGGACTTTTTTCTTTATTACAATAATATCATTTGTATTTGTATGTATATATATATATATATATACGACATATATATTGTATGTATATATGTATACACGGCAGTCTGAACCAAAAAATATACATATATATGTATATATATAAATATATATATAGCCTTATTAATGATTAATTAGTTAGCTTAGATCAGTTATAGGATCTCTACATTCAAAGCAGCATGACCATTACACCATTGTGTCGGGTTTTTATAGTTTATTAGTTTATTATTACTATTATTATTATTAGTAGTAGTAGTAATATAATTATTATTGTCCTAGCTAACTTGCTGCCTTCAATTTCCATTGGCTCATCAATCTCATCATCTTTGAGGTCTACCTGCATCATCATTAGCATAATTTATTAATTGGTATGCGTTATAATTAACTAATTAAAATTCATGAAATTAGTTAGTTAAATTATTTATTTTACACTATTAGTCAGCTAACTAATTAATCATTCATAAGGCTGACTTTTAATTTGGCTAGTTTGGCTTTCTTGACGGCTTGTTTGCATACTGTGTGGGTGTGTGTGTGTATAATAGTCAATGTTTTAAGATTTTATTTATTCATTTTTCAATCCATTAGCCAATTCATTCATTCATTAAAAATTAATTTGTTTATAAAATCATTCGTTAATTCATTCCTTCATCCATTCATTCAATCATTCATTCATCTACCCATTCATCCATTTTTCTAATAACTTTTAGGGTATAAGGTGAGTGGGAATCTTCTGCCATCTCCATCATATCTGCTCATCAGCATGCAACAGTACTAGAATATAAAATTGTTAATAATAGCAGTAGTACAACAAATATAATTAATAATAATTATGTTTATAATTATGTTAACAATTGCAAATAATGATTGATAGTGATAATGATGATGTTAATAATAATAATAATAATAACTTACACCGGATAGCATTGCCAATAGTTCATCATCACCTCTGACTGTTATGAGATCATCGTCTTCATCGTGATCTGGAATTACAATGATGATGATGATGACGATGTTGATGGTGATGATAACAGTATCAAAATTGTTAGGAAGTACGCGCACGCACACGCGCGCACACACAGATACTATTGTGAAGATGGTGTTCATTCTAATGGGAATATATATATACAACATATAATAAATTGCCACAGTGCTTCAAATACAAACCTTATGATTATTATGTATATATAAGTTCAGCTATAAAGTAATCTAATTAATTAATTAAAGTGATTAAAAATGAATTGTTAATGTAATTACAGATAATTATAAAATTAACTATGTAAATAAATATGAATGAATGATTAATTAATTAAAGTCTGACTCACAGTCAAAAGCAGTTGCATTATTGTTTCCAAGTACAGTTCTTATTCTATTCTGTAAATAATTTATAAATAAAATTATTATCATAATGTATTTATTTATTTAACATTATTTATTATTATTATTTAACATTATTTATTATTTTTATTCGGTTTATTAACATTTAGTTAGGTGATAGTAAATAAAACATCTTCTATTTTAATTTTTTTTAATCTAAAGCGAGAATGTTGTACACTATTAAAAAATATACCATACAATATTTATTAATTTTATCATACTTAAAACACTAACCAAACAGCTTTCAAAGGTAAGTTCCTCAAAATCACTAATTTTCCATTCTGTGAACTGGGGACTTGAACTCGCTCCAGGAGTGGGCTCCTGCTTTTTCATGTTATGAGAGGAATGCATAATTTTAATTGTCAAAGGCAGAATATTCTCCATTTTCTTTATTCATTATTCATTTACGAAACGAAATTTTTTAATGTTTTTTAGCCTTTTACTTATTTATTTCTATTTCTGGTCTCTAGTCTAGTCTAGTGAAGCTGGCTGAACTGAACTTACGGAGACCCGAAAAAGTCGAAAATAGAAATGAATACTTCAATTTTTTATAAAAATATCAATTATATTTTATTTTTCTCATCAAACATTTTAATAATTTTTATTGAAAATGGTTTTTTGTGGAGAAAATAATTAAGAGACAGGCCGACTAATTTACGTGGAAGTTTAACTTTGAAAACTGTTTAAAAATTAATATTCGCATAGACAACTTTTCAAATAAATTGCTAAAAAAGGCAATTTTTAGGACTTTTTTGTCTACCGTAAAATGCATTGAATTTTTTTCTTAAAGAAAATGTTGTTAAAAATGATGAAAATTTTAGTTTTTTTATCAAAAAAAATATTTTTTGTATTAAAAATAGTTTAGATGTTTTATTTTATTTTTAATTTTGTTTTTTTCTCACTTAAAATTTTTAAAGTTTAATTAAGAATTTCATGGACATAAACTCAATGGTTTATTTATTATTTAAATTTACTTTTTTACTCTTTTTTTTGTTTCTATAACAACGCACATAATCCAAACTTTTGTTTAATGATAATAGTTCGTTTTTCGTTCGTACATTCATTCATTCGTTCATTTATTCATTCATGAATTTTACATTTTGTCATATTTGAATCCGGTCACTGCATTAATTTCACGACAATTATAAGTCCCCATCGCCATCAGATTGAATGATAACTTTTTTGGGGTCACCCATCCAAATTGCTGGCCGCGGTTAACTGCAAGTTAAGAGTTTTTGAAAAAAGGAATAACACGCTTATCATTGATTTATTTTAATGTTCTCATCACCATGAAAATTTTGTAAAATTTGAAAGCAAGTGTATGTGTGTGTATGTCTGTGTGTGTATGTCTGTGTGTGCGTGCGTGTGTGTGTGTGTGTGTGTGAGAGAGAGAGTGAGGTGTGCCTCTGTAAGTATGTTATGTTTGCTTTTTAATTGAGTAATATTGATAACGTTGTTGGTGTCATTTTAAAAGCTTTCATTATTATCATTGTCAAGAAAGTGTTGTATTTCCATAGTGCAAATTTCCTTAACAGATTTAAAATTTAAAGGATTGCCATCCAGCCTTGATAGAGCTGCAAGAAATTTAAATATGGACAATTCACTCATTTTACATCTTTAAAAATTTTTAATTTATTTTATTCTTATTTTAAAGAATCATATATTTAGAATATTGCATTCTTTATACGTAGAGCAAAATAATTTTAAATAATGATCGTAACGGAAAGGAGCTACATTTTATTTAAGATCATACTCGAGTAGTAATTTATATTTGATTGTTTGTGTGTTAGCGTTGAAGATTGAAAAATCTTGTTGATACCATTTATTAAAAACAACCATAAAACTAAAAACTTGCTTTTGTCTGAATCAGTAAATGTTTCGTCAACAAAACGTCAAGAAACTCTTTATTTTCTCCAATACAAAACACTTCTTGGCTGTTAACAAAGTAATGGTACAGCAACAATTACTACTACTACTTTTGCTGCTACTGCTGTCGCTTCAATTACTGCTACTCCTACAACTGTTAAAACCACTACTATTACTATACTACTACTGCTACTTCTACTACCACTACTACTACTACTACTGCTGCTACCTTTACTACTATAATAATACGCAGAGCGTGCTAAGCGGCACCTGTTTAGAAGAAATGTAAAAATGCGGCGTTTCATCATCGTAGTCGTCGTCACCATCATAGTCGTTGTCGCCATCATACTCGTCGTCACCATCTTCATCATCTTAATGGCTGGTCACCATAATTCCATTGACCAATTAATTAAATTAATAGAACATAAACACATATATACGTGGGCGTTTTAAAATAACTGAGATCACAATCATCCTCATCATCGTTGATGACGTCATAATTTATTATTATTTTTATTATTATTATCATTCTTTTTATTATTAATATTATAATTTTCATTATTATACATATGATATAAGTAAAATATAGCACGATGTATACTATAGTTATAGTAGCATGGAAAAGACAGCAACACATTTCATTGCTGGATTATTGATTTTACGTTATGATAACAGATGTGAGTATTAATAAATGAGCATACACATATCATGTACATACATACATACATACGTACGTACACACACACACAAACACGTACACACACACACACACACACATATATATATATATATATATATATATATATATATATATATATATAATTTTAATTTTTGTAAAATACTTTTGTACGTACCATTATTATCTTTTGTGTAATGAAATTTCTGTTACAAATTAACAAAGTAAGCCTGCTTATTTTTTCTCGTGGATATTAATTCTATTATTATTTTTATTATTTATCTTCATTTTACACAATATCATTATTATTATTATTATTATTATTATTATTATTATTATTATTGTTATATGTTTTATTTTGAATGTATGTCGTTCATTTGTTTGTTCGTTCAATTTTTGCAACAGGCATTTGAATTATGTTAAAATTTTTGTTTTTGTTTTGTTTTGTTGCGATGGTTGGTAGACTCACGTGACTTCCCTGTGACGTCATCGTCACTCATGTTGTCATCATTATTAAAAACTACAACAACATCCACATCAACAGCAACTGGACCATCGACAACAATAACAAAATGATGACCGGACTGATAAGAGGCCTGAAAAAAGGTCGATCTAATAACGAAACCTTCTATCCCCACAACAACAACAACAACATCAGGACTAGTCCAAACAACAGCAGCAACAACAACAATGTCAGACAATTGAAGCATCAGCAGCGACAACGAGCGACACGAGCGAACATTAACCACACATTAAACTACGGTAGGCGTTATAATTACGCCAGCGTTGTTGCTCCGGACAGTCTCTTCATCAACAGCAACAACAACTTCAACAAAACGGACAACAACATCAACAGCAAAATTAATTTCTCCCAACACCAACAACTTTCGCCATCTTCATCAAGAGCGCAGATATCCCCCATATTGAAACCGCCAACTGAAATTTTTTTGTCAGATCGTCAACAACTTCAACAACAACAACATCATCATCATCAACAACAACAACAAACACAACAATCAAATTCCACTGATAAAATAATTATCCCAACAAAATACCAGCACCAAATCATTGCTGCTATTGAAAAAACACCAAACACCAACAATGCAAACAATGACATCAACAACAAAAACAACAACAACGTAAATAACTCAAACATCGACAAAACATCATCAAACATTATCTCAACTTCAACAACTCCCCATTCCAGCACAACACCTCAGCAGCAAGCAACGCCACAAGCGCCACCACAAGCGCCACCACAAGCGCCACCACAAGCGCCACCATTACTACCACAGCTACAAAAACCACAAACAACCACGTCATCAGCCCCACAACCTAAAACAACAACAACAAAATTTCCAGAATCAACAACAACAGCAGCTGAATCTCAATTCATAACGAATTTCAACAGACGATGCACACTTCTCTTGAACCCTCAAGAACGATCTTACCTCTACACCGCTCTTACCAACTACAGACAAAATAACAATCTCGATCAATTAATTGATTGGATGAGCCAAATTCTCGACAGTCCAATCAAAATGGAGCTTGTCGATGACGTCAGATACTTTGTTGATAATCGCCATCTTGAGACTTTTGACCGTAAGTTACCGTTTTCTGGTGTCGGTGGGAGGTTTGTCAATCTACTGGCCAAAACGCCTGTTTATAATAGCAGCAGCAGCATCAATGGCGTCAACAACAACAACAACAACAGTGATGTCAACAACAACAACATCACAAACAACCTGATCATCAAAGACAACATCAAAAGTAATACTCACGTCACCGCCAGATTAGTTAACATGGCAAGAGGCAGCGTTGAAGAACCTTTAGGTTTCAAGTTATGGGGGGGTTCGGAGAATAATAAATCCGTCTATGTTTGTGACGTCATGAAAGGCTCCATTTCAGGTTTCAAAAAATCGTTATTTATGAATTATATAAATTATGAATTATATACGTGTGTGTGTGTATAGTTGTGTGTGTGGTGTGTGTGTGTGTGTTTGTGTGTGTATGTGTGTGTGTGTGTTTGTGTGTGTGTGTGTGTGTTGTGGATGTTGGTGTGCGTATGGTTGCCCCGTCACAGATGTTGATGATGTTTTTCACCATCGTCATTATCACAACTATCACCATCATCATGTAGACAGAGCGGGTTTAATGCCTGGGGACTGCCTGATTGATATAAACGACAAATCCGTGCAGCAGGCCACACTGTCGCAAGTCGTCAAACTCGTCAGCAGCTGCCTCAACTTACGTCTGCACGTCTTAAGAATGGTCGAATTGCCGTTGCAGCAAAGTCGCGCAAACTCGCGAATTCGCGAATTCTCTGACGAAAATTTTGGAGCCGAGTTGATGGAAAACTCGAATCAGCAGCAATCACGCTATCAAACAAGATCGAAGTCAGCAATGGATTTAAGAGATGTGCCGAAAATTGAAATGTACTACAATGGTTATCAGAAGAATTCGTTAAAACCAAGTCAAGGAATCGATTTTATTCGACGAAAACCGATAATGAATAGCAATACATCGATCATATCTGATCAAAGGAATAATAATTCTCGTTTAATAAATCAAAAACTGTTACAAAATCCATCAGCTTACCTATCGAAGCCGTCTGGGATTTCCCATTGGGTTAAAAATAATCTGGGATTTTTGAAGTCAGGATCTTATGACATCAACAATGAAACTTCGGGTAATTTGAAAAGATTATAAATAATAATTTATACCTAAATATCTAATTTATTTCGTTGAATGATTTTGTTTAGGGATGTCAAAAGGTACGAGAAATCCTTCGATAAGAAACTTATTTCGCTCTTCGACAATGGCGGATCTGAGAGAGGAGGAACCATCCCCGCTAAGAAGGACCAAAAGTAATTAATATCAATATAAACATCTTTCAAATTAATTCTAGCAAACTATAGAATATAATGTTGTTGTTGATCTTTCCAATATCACAGCCGTGATCAATCTAACTGATCGACCGACCATCCACGTGGAGGATATAAAATCCGGACATCAGTACCACCCTTCGACGGCTCATCCCTACTTTGCTGCAGCAACACATCCCTATTTAGCCTCAAATGATGGGCGAAGTCAGTCGATGCAAAACTTGTCGGTAACCGGGCAGCGGTTTGTACCTTCTCCACTTTTCACGAGAAGGGATGCTACGATACCGACCATTCGAACATACGTTAGTTTCAATTCTATGGAGAAAAATCGTCAGCTATCACAACAACATCATCAGCAGCAACAACATCAGCAGCAGCAACAACATCAGCAGCAGCAACAACATCAGCAGCAGCAGCAACAACAACAGAATGAACAAGTGAATGACGTTGAAAAAGTTAATTTTCGATTGAGCAACATTGAAGAATGCATTCCACAAATGCCATCTCCAACTTTGTTGTATCATAAAAACAAGTCTCAGAAACAACAGCAACCGCCACAACATCAACCGCCACAACTTCAACCGCCACAACAACCTCAACCGCCACAACCACGAACTCAAAAACTCGAATCTTCACCGACCACACATTCGTTACCTCAGCAGACGTTATCACAACTACCCCAACAAATATACATCCAGATACCGTTAGATCATTTGTATTTGAATCAACATTCGATCGTACCCCATCATCAACAACATTTACAGCAGCAACAGCAGCAACAAAATCTTCAACAAAATCTTCAACAAGTTTCAGTGCCCGACTCCTTCAAAAAACAGTACCCAACGAACAACGTCGAAAGCAACAATGCTGCTGCCAACAGTAGTCCTCCGCAGTATTCCACCGCACAAATCCAACTACAAAATCCTCATCTTCAACCTCCCCCACCACACCAACTACTCAAACTCCACAAAGATACATCAACAAACACCTCACCCATCTTCTCGTCGAAAGCAACCCGCCACCAAAACGCACTCAACAACACTGACAATCAAATCAAACAACGACCGTACTATTACTACAAGAAAAACTACAACAAATCTCTGCCTAATTTAACTTTAGATGATGATTTCACGGCTTTTAATAGAACTTTACCTAACGATTTTACATACTCGACTGATGATATGCAAAACTATTTCTATTACGGCAATTCGCAACAGACCCAAGAAATTAATCGGACGAGTTATCTTCACCCTGATGACAAGTTTAGCACAGACTATCTGAATTATTTAGAGGAACGACAAATGAAAAAACCAAGAAATAAATTAACGAATAATCCGACTAAATCGCCTGCGAATGATATTCGTAACCGTCAAATTGTCAGTACCGACTTAGACTCGGATTCATCCATAATTCCGGATTCTCTATACCCATCTCTTTCCTCAAAAGAAGTTTTATTTGCCAGAAGAGAAAATTCGATCCGTCGGCCACCGATTCCGTCGTTATTTCGACAGAACTCGGTAAAAAAAGCACCGATGAAACCGCCGAGAACATTCCGCAACAACACAACTACAGCTGCGATTCCTTTGCTGTCTCCGCCAATCATATTCAAAGAAAATCCGCTAATGAAAAATGATTATGGGACTACTAAACAGGAAAATCGTGAATTCGTGCAAAACGAAAGTATAGCTGGGAATTTCCAGCTGAATTATCAAAGCATCAAATCAAGTGATTCAATTCCTTCTTCCTTTGCATCCGTTGATAAAAACTACAAAAAAAGAGTTGGAAGGTTATGGAAAAATTCTGAGAAATATTCGAACGATGATGTCACGGCAGTCGACGATGACGAATACGATCCGAATACTTACAAACCGTCAAACAAAAATAACAACAATATAACCTCGTACGATATCAATCCCTACGAAGATTTGAAAAGAGTTGATAGAGATACGAACGAAGATATGGAAGAGGATGACGACGATGAGTTACGGATAAATGATGATGGAGTTAATTTATTACTTTATAACAGAATACCATCTCCATTCGAAACAACTGGAAAGTCATTGACAAATGATGAAAATAAAAACTCATCACAATTACCAAAGTTTAATTTTTCGATGTACAATTTGTCTTCTCAAAAACAACAGCCTCCCAAAAACACTACACAACAACCTCCACAACAGCAAAAGAAACAGCACCAGCAACAACCAACTATATCCAACAACAAAATTACACCCAACAACAAAACTACAACGACAAACAACACTAAAAAAAGCACGTCACATTCATTGCAGACCGAATTTGGAACAACAACTTCCAGAAAAAGTTCCTCCGACATCTCCTCCATTGAAAGTGGAGTCACGGCAATCTCTGGACACTACGATTTTGTTAGCAGCACGTCATCAGATCAAATGCAGGATGTAGTCGTTGCTGGTCCTGCAGGTTTTGAAAGGTCAAGTCGTCGAAAACAAACAGAAGATAACAAACCGTCACAGAAGGTTGAAAATTTTAATGTCAACGTCAGCAAAAAGTACAACAGCATCAACAAAAACACCGAAGCTAACAACAGCATTAACAACAGCATTAACAACAGGAAAAACAGTATCAAAAACAGCATTAACATGAACATCAAAAACACGACAAGCGATGATTCGAGCAGAGACAGCTTACGAATGGTGAAAAAACTCTCTCGAGAAAAACTAATCTGGCCTCCACTTAACCAACAAAATAGTGAAGTAACAACCGAAAAACCGATGAATACCGACAACGGTGAAGCAGTAACCGGAAAATCGACGATTAACGATAATAACGACGATGGAATCGTACTGTCATCATTCAAACGCACCTCGGACGAGTTAGACACGAAATATGCATTACCTAAAGATCATAATGAGACAGGTGTGAAGAAGGTAATTGATGATAATAATACAGGTGTTCCTAAAAGTAATACAGGTGAAGCGATGATTAATTACACAAATGAATCTCTCTCGTCGAATGCGTGGGGCAGCAAAAGCGATAGTTGGAATTGGTCGAATTCGCAGAAATATCGCCCGTGCAACTCGTCTGAATCGCTGCTAAAAATATCTAACGATGCAAATTACAAGAGTGAAATAGTTAATATACCGACGGATATTATCGATTCAACTACCGATTCGGGTGTTTCGTCGATGGCAACAAATGAGTCAATGAAATCAAAAAATTCACAATTAATTCCGCAAGTCGTAGAAAGAAAGAAGACGGCGACGAGATGGGAAGGGGCGGATGGAATCGATCGAAGCAAGGACGGAACTCCAAGTAACTTACCGACTCACAAACCGGTTGCACTTCAAAGAACATTCAGTGAAAGACAAAAAAGTTTAGAAGAGCAAAATAGATATAAAACTATCAACGCTAATGAAGATGTCGAAAGAAATGAATCAACTGCCGCTAAAACGCTCAAAGTAACGTTGGATAAAAACTTCAAAGCATCAGGTACGAACTGATTCAATGAAAAAACATCACGATCCATTTAAATAAAAACATGCTTAATCAATAATAACTACCAATAAATAAAAATTTATAATAATGATATAATTATAATATAATATAAATAATAATTCCAGGGCTGAGCATATCAGGCGGTGCAGAATGCAAGGCACATCCGCACATCATCGTTGACAAAATTTCAGCCAATAGTGCGGCAGCGAGCGAAGGTCAGCTGAAGGTGGGTCAGTTATTATGATTCAGTAGCATAGCAAACACTACCATAAGTAATTAACCATCTATAATTTTCAGGCCGGAATGAAATTGCTGTCGATAGATGGCAGATCTTTGAAGGGAGTCAGTCACAAAATGGCGGTCAGCATCATCAAATCATCATTCGTCAATAAGAAAGATAGATGGATGCAAATTGCAGCCAGTGAATGAATGCACGAAGGAAGGAGTGAACGAATGGATGAATAAGTGAATTAGTGAATGATGGTATGACAAATCAAATGATTGACTGAATAAACAATAGCACATAAAACGACAGAAAAAGATTAGGATTACAAAGTCTTTTTATTCAAATTGTTTTGTTTAATTGCACCTATGAAACTTAAAATTTCAAATTTTAAAATTAAAAGAAAAACATCTCAGTCCTTCAAATCAATTAAAACAAAAATTTGACCCAATAACTCGACCTAATTAGTGACAAAAACGGGTCACTGGCATCATAAGGTAATTAATAATAAAGTGGATTACAGGACACCCAATGAGGTTTGGGCTTATTCTTGGCTGATTGGTGGGTGTTGAATAATGATTTGAAGGTCTCACTGGCCGTTGGATCGTTCTGAATGCTACCTGATGATGATGGCTTTGATGATGATGATAGTTTTGATGATGATGACGGTTTTGATGATGATGACGTTGTTGTTATTGATGATGATGATGGCTTTGATGATGATGATTTGGCATTTTTATAGTTGCTCTTTGTGTCGCCATTCGATTTTGTAGTTGCTGACGATGTTGATGATTTCAACTTTGTATTATTATCTTCAACGTTAGCATTTCCATTATTGTCAAGAGGTGAAGTGGCTGTATCCAATTTTGATAGCTTGCAACTCGGTTCATCTTCATTATTACCAACAGTAGCTGTTGATGAAGCAGCTGAAGTTGAAGCAGTTGCAGCAGCTGTAGACGAAACTGCTTGTTTCTTTCTTTTATTCTTCATCCTTCTTTCATTCATTCTTTTCTCCAGTTCCTCCGTCTCTTCAATTGACCCATTCAGAGTAATGACGTCATCAACTGTGTAAGCTGCATTGCACTGTCGAGTAAAAAATAACAAATAAATAATATTAAAAATAATTATATCTTATTCATAAAATTAATAATATAAATAATAATAATTACCTGGAGGCATATGCCGTCTCTGATTTCTTTCAGGGCTCTCTCAGAGAAGACACATCCACACGACCACAAGTACTGAAACCTGGCGATGATGAAGATAGAATTATAGCAAATATTTTATTATTTAAAAATATTACTTTATACTTGCTATCTAATAACTAATAAAATAAATTGGTTATTTTAAAAAAATTTGAAAAAAAAATAATAACAATGACAGGATTCTATAGATTTTTTTAGGTATGTTTGGTCAACAATACTAAAATTTATAATTTGTATATAGGAATAAGAAAAATTACCACAACAAAAAAGAGTAACAACACTAACTTATAGTTTCCAGACATCTCGAGACCAGAGATAGGGCAAAAATATTCAGCAACCTTTGAACCCTGGCCGATTTTATCTACCTCATCTTTGTGAGCTGGATTTTTCATGAGTTTTAATTCTTTTAAATCCTTTTGAATTTTAGAAATTAATTTAAAATGAAATTAAAATTCAAATGAAAATAAAAGAAACATGTATATTAATTATCTAATTAATAATTAATCTATTTAAAAAATATCTAATTCTAATATAAACAATTTTATATTTGGCACCTTAAGATTCCTGATGTAACTAAAAGTGGAGCCTCTAGATGAAGATGGGCCAGATGACTTGTCAATCAAATATTTGATGATGGATTCCTTGTTGAAAAGTCTGTTAGAATTTGATTAATAAATTTAAATAGAAAACTACATTTATATATCAAATTTATCAGAATAATAAATCAGTAAAAAAAAAACAAAAAATAAAGTAGAATCATCTTGGGTACGCACGCACCTGCCTAATTCACAAGCAACAATTGGCTTCTGTAGTGGCTCTTGAGACATAGCACAGTGACGCCATTTTGTATTCAAGCTGTCTTTTTTCTCGATCTAATGGTTTAAAATTAAAGTAAGAAAAAGATAATAAAGCAAAAAATTGAAAAAAATCTATGATTAAAATTAAAAATAAATTAACTTTGTTTCAGTCTTTGAAATTTAAAATTAAATAAAATTAGAACTAACTTTTTCTTCCTTCTTTTTCTTCTGCACTAATTCGCCCCGTTTGGGAATCGTTCCGCCATCACAACCCATTCTTCAGATCAAATAACTAAAATTATTCGGTAATCTCGGAGACGGCAAAGTGGTTTTTCCAGCAATATTTATTTATAGTCAACAGTTTAAAGAGACTCATAAGTTCCTCCTACGGTACAACTAAAGGTTAAACTAAATAATAAAAGCTTATAATAAAAGTTAAAAATAAAAATTTTAAACCAATTTTTACTAGAAAAACCACAAAACCTCTATAAAGTTATAAAAATATGATACATTACAAAATGTGTAACAAAATTTTAAACGTATCTGTTAAAAAGATAGTTTCACTTTTAAAACAAATTATTAATTTTTAGAAACTTGCTTCCAGAGGTAACTTGCCGTTGAAAAAAATTTTCAATGTTAAAACGCTGGTAGGACGCTTCCAGTTATATAATTCCATGATTCTTTCTTCATAATCGGCGGATACATCTATTTAGTTTTAGAAATTGAACTATAACATTATGTTGTATGAATTATTCTTTTCTTCGTTAAACGTTTTTCATTCATGTTTTTCAATTTTAAGGTCATTAACATTTAAAAATTAAAATTCTTCAAAAAACCGCTTATTTTTTAAAATTTTTACTTCATAACCGGCGGGTAGATCTATTTAGTTTTAAAAATTGAACTATAACATTTCTCAACGGATGCAAAGCAAGGGGAGGCTTATTTACCAGCATACAACACCTTCTTATGGGTTGAAGCAGAGATATGCAAAGAACCTCAATTTTTTCAACTTTTAATTATTTTCAGTAATGTCTCCCCTTGCTCCAAACCACATAACTAGAATAATAGGACTAATCGATCAATTCGATCTATCGGTCGGGCTACTTGTCATGCTTGGATTGTTGGCTTACGAAATTGCATGGATTTTAACGAGCAAGCTAAATGAAATATTTACTTGATTTAATATGCTTAAAACGTTGTAGTAATTCTATTTAATTTTAATAATGATCAATAGAATTATGTATTATTAAATTATTTTTGTTAATTTGAATATAAAAATTGCTTTTGTCAGGTGAAAAACAGTGGCTTACTGAAGCCGTAGGTTGGCTTAATCGGATTTTTTCTCATTACAATACTATAAGATAAATCAATCAAACAATCAGTCAGTCGGTCGGTCAGCCAGCCAGCCAGCCAGTCATATATGTATATATATATATATATATATATATATATATATATAAAGTAAGAAAGAGAGAGAGAGAGAGAATGAGACAAGGGGTATGCGTAAAAAATAACGTTTCAATAAATAGATAAAAATATACAATACACATACAAACAAACTCACACACACACACACACACACACACACACATATATATATATATATATATATATATATATATATATATATATATATATAACGCTTGTATTAAAAGAAGAATGCAAGCTTTTGAAATGCATAATGAGAACAACTATTTTTATTTCGTTGTTGTTGTAATTATTATTATATTGTTGTTATTATTATATCGTCATCATAGTTAACAAGATTAACAGAATAACATACTTAAAATACATTGACAGAAATGACATGAATGTTTATTGTACTGCGTATATATGATGGCAGTATGTATGTATGCGTGTATGTATGTATGTGTGTCTGTGTCTCTTTATGTGTACATGTTTGTATTCGAGATTTTAGTAAGAAAAGAAAAACACAACAGTTTTATTTGACATCATCAAAAGATGAAAAGTGACGAAATTAAAATTTGTTAAATGTCAATTTTTTAAAAAGTTCAGATTTTAAACGAACAAATATAACAAAATATCGATCGATAAAAAATAATTATCACGAATCATGAATATTTAGTAAGGACAGTTCACAGCATATCATAATGACTAAATCAACATACCAAACAGAAATTATTCATGCATGCATATATACAAAGTAAATCAGGAAATATCCAAAAATTATATAACCAAAATAAGAAACTAGAAACCAGTCAACATTTTACAAATAAATAAATAGACATTATTAAAAAGATTGTTCAAAAATGGTAAAGTTTAAGGCGACGACAAAAAAAATTGTAGTTTGTTTTGTTGGTGTTGTGTGGTGCTAAGAAGCGATAACAAACACACCACAAAAAAAAATATTAAAAAGTCGCAAGAATAGTAGTCAGTCACCTACCTACAATTAAATTACTCTCAGGGCCCTAGCTTACCTGTAATGATAACTCAACTCATTTATTTTGCATTTTTAACGTTTTAATTTTACTTGAAGCTTTTAATTTATGTTAATGTTAATATTTTACTTGAAACTTTTTAACTAATTTTAAGCCCTAGCCTACCTACAGTTGTTCAACTCATCTCAATCCCTAACTTACCTATGAATTAAATTAAGTCCGGTAAAGAAAATAGAAAGTTGAAGAGAAACATAACAACAACGACACCGAATGAATGGATGTTGTGTATGTGTGTGTTGTATTTATATGTGTGCGTGTATGTAATCGCGCGCGTACCCTCCAGAAACTTCTTCACCCACTACGGACGAACCTCCATTGCAACGACCATCATCTGACACGCACCGAGGAAATGAATTTTAGCGGATACTGAAAAACAAAATTGAAAGAAAAAGTTAATTTTTTAAAATAAAAAACAGGCCATTGAAAAAAAGTAAGAAGCAACTTATCTTACCATGAGATTACCATCATGAAACGTGCTGACTCCCACCACAACCCACCTCTGATCATTCTGTAGACAAATTTTTTTATTGGCTTAGTAGTAAATGAATGTTAAAACGAAAGAACAAACGAATAAATGATTGAGCAAATGATTGAGTGATTGAATGAATTAATTAACCAATCTATGATTCAATGAATGAATAGAATAAGTCAATTAATGGATGAATGAAAGATTGTGTGACAAAATGAATGAATGAAAAAAATAAAAACAACGAAACTAAACCATACTTCAAAAATCGTCGTTGTTGTTTTCTTCGAGTTGTTATCGGAACGATCATCATGAGACCACCATCTGAAACGTGCTGACGCCCACCACTGCCCACCTCTCATCAGTCTGTAGACAAGTTATTTTTATTAGCTTAGTAGTATATGAATGTTAGAATCTTAGAAGCAAAAAATTATAAAATGGAAATAATGGCAAATAAATAATATTTGAAAATAATAAAGAGAGTAAAATGTAAAAAAAACTTACCGTCGTCCATTCGACAAAGGCAAAATGATGAGTGCCTTCCGTTTCCTGCGTTGTCCTCCAGGTGCCAAACTGGTGCCAGTCCTCCTCGAGATTGTTGTTGAAACACAGCCCGTGGAATGGAGAAAGAGAAAATTCTCATCAGAAAGCTTAGCGGTGCCTGCATCTTAAATTGCTTAATAAAAATAATCCTATCTACCTATTCAATTACCTTAACTAATCTATAATAAATTGTTAATGGTACGATAGTCGAAAGTTCCCCTTCATTCTCCCTCCTTGCACAGAGGTTCACCGACAGCCAGGGCACCGGATAGTAAACCATTGCCGTGCGGATAGTAGACTACTGCCTTGCGGATAGTAAACCATTTGCCGTCCGGAAGCCGTGCGGGTAGTAGACTATGGCCATGCCGCATAGTAAATCATTACCGTGCAGATAGTAAACCATTGCCGTCCGGATAGTAAACCATTGCCGGTTCACCACTGGCCGCCAAGGCTTACCTCTGACAAGAGACTTCGAAATTCAGAGTCTATG